ATGGAAAGACAGCGAGGATCTCATTTTGGATTTGAACCCACAGTTCATGCGCGTCAAGCACGAAACCTCTGTCGAAACAGAAGGTGGCACAGTGGGCATGCCGGCACAACCAACGTTCGATTCAAACGATTGAATGGATTTGAGGCTTCGAGCTTGAAGAGCAAATCGCAAGTGAGCCTGGCCTTGTCGCTGCGCCGCCGTCTTTGGTAAATTCGTACTTCGGCAAAACGGTTCAAGATGGCGCACTGGCTCGGCCGTGGTCCAAAAGCACAGCTTCACGCGTTCCACGAGAATCAATCCCAGAGCAGACGGTATATCTAGGTCCAGTCTCTTAACCTGCTGCCAAATGCACTAACTGCGCAGCTGACGCACCTATTGGTCTCCATGTACAGTCCCTCAAGCGGATCCCGTCCTATAAAGGTGTGCTGAGAGTGAATCAACAAATCATTTGAATCGAACGTTGGTTGTGCCAAGGCCGGCATGTCCACTGTGCCACCTTCTGTTTCGACAGAGGTTTCGTGCTTGACGCGCATGAACTGTGGGTTCAAATCCTAAATGAGACCCTCGCTGTCTTTCCATTGGCGCTGGCCCCTCCATCAGACAGAGCGGAAACTATATTGCACAAGCCACCGTGCGCCACAGGTGCTCATGAAGAAAAATGGGCGTATTAGGTTCTGCAGCTCATCTCACAACCCAGAGCCATGATTCAGAGCTGTGTCTCACAGCCGTTTCAGATGTTAGCCTCCTCAGATTGTGCGGCCATCAGCGCTACGTGAAGACGAGATGCGGTCCTTCCTTAGATGTGGTATTGTAATATGCCACGCACCATTCGACCGACCCCATTTGAGCTCTCTATGCTCAAATTTGTGGTATTTGTCTCGTCCGCAATCTGGTACTTGGATGGACGACGTGTAGTAACAGGCGAGGACTACCACTGTGAAGACGCATAGCGTACACACCACGCGCATGCGCAGAATGCATTACCGCAGCAACCGGTACGTCACCGAACGCGTTGCACTCAAAACAGCTTGTCGCGTCTGGGTATGTCTGGCTCAGGACAAGACCAGCTGGACTAGGCCCGCCAAACGTATCTTGGTCATATTTGCATTTACCAGCAACAACTCACATGAAGTCGATTCTTGCTTTGCTCGCGCTCGTGCCGCTTGCGACGATGGCCAAGTCTGTGCCGGACTGGCAAGTGTGCAACTCGGCCACGGACACGTGTGCGTCCAAGGGCTGGGTCTGCTGCGTCGCCGCCGACACCCCCAACTCGAAAACCAAAACGTGCCGCTCGGGTGCCTCGCAGTGCCTCTCGTCCGTCCCCAAGTCGTTTGCTGGCGCCAACAGCTACTTTCTCCATACGCTCGTCGATAGCGACCGGCGCGAGGTGCTCGACCAGCTCAAGGCGAGCGGCTTCAAGACCGTGCGTATCTTTCTCTCGCGGACCGGCGCCAAAACCAAGGGCGCCAACAACGTCGGTGTCAACGACGTCGAGAACCCCGTCGGCAAGTACGACGACTCGATCCTCAAGCTCGTGGACAAGCTCATTCGCGACGTGTACGACCGCAACATGAAGCTCATCATTGCGTTCCACGACCGCTGGTCGCTTGGGTGCTGGGACACGGACGCGTACGTGGCCAAGTACAATTTGCCGACGACGACGAGTTGCCAGCAGCACGCCAACATCGCCAACGACTTTTACACGCGTGGCGACGCCCAGGCCGACTTTGACAACCGCATCAAGCACATCTTGGCGCACCGTAATCCGTACTTCAACGACCGTCCGTGGAGCGAGCTCTCGGAGGCCATTTTGGGCTTTGAGCCGCAGAACGAGTCGCAGGGCGGTCTCGAGAGCGGCACCAAGATGCCCAACCCGCAGTGGCTCTGCAACCGCGCCAAGACGATCCGCAACGCCGTGTCCAACCGCAAGATCCTCGTCATGTCGGGCGGCGGCACCAACTACGGTGTGTCGCAGCTCACCGAGTACTTTACTTGTCCGGCGCTCGACGTGGTCGCCATCCACTCGTACGAAGGCGCGAACGTCGACAAGCTCAAGTCGGCCGTGCAGCTCGCCAACGTGCACAAGAAGCGCGTCATCTTTGAAGAGTTTGGCGCCTCGGGGAGCAACAAGGCCAGCGGTCTCGCCGCGTACTTGGCGGCGGCCAACGCGGCGGGCGTGCCGTGGATGGTGTGGCAGGTGCTCAAACCAAGCAACCACGGCGACTTTGAGACGTGGACGGACGAGAAGGACGCGTGGGCCGCACTCGCGAATGCGGCGCGCCAATCGAACGGGCGCAAGGGGGCGTGGTCGTGGCCCGAGCTCAACAAGTAAGATGACAATATGAATGGTGTCATCCGGTTGCATGTGATTGCAATCGTCACTTTCTTTAAGTCGGTCGAATAATATATGGCACGTACTAACTTGAACCTTTTCAAACGCGGATCGCTCAGGCGCTCTGGTCGAGCGTGCTGCCACGTCACATGGGAGAACATGGGCATTTGCCTGTGTGTTTGAATGGAATCTCATCGGATTCTTTGTTTATCAGTGGCGTAGAGAGCACATATTCTGTGCACTCTTGTCCTTGAGCTGCGGATAGCCTTGGACTTGAATATAGTATTATTGGTGCTTCGTTCGCGTTCCGCCGAAACCCCAAAGCCACGTTGATGATGGTTGATGATTGGCGTTCGCGTCCCTTCGCTACTTCTTGTGGCTTCATATTCCGCCAATCAGAGCGCGCTGTTGCACCAATAGAATTTTTTGATTGCGCACCAAGTTGCCGTTTGGGAGCTTGAAGGCGCACCTGCACTCAGTTTTCAATAAGCATCCACGGACGACCATGCAAGCACTGCTGTGGGACATGGACGGCGTCCTCGCCGAGGTCTCGCGCTCGTACCGCGCCGCGATCCTCCAGTCAGCAGCGGCCTTTGGCGCGACCGTCACGGACGCTGACGTCGAGGCGGCCAAGCTCGCAGGTGACGCGAACAACGACTGGGTTCTCACGCACCGCCTCGTGCATACCAAGGTGCCATCGAGCACGGTGACACTGGCCGAGATTACAGCCAAGTTTGAGGAAATCTATCAGGGCACAGCGACAACGCCGGGCCTCTGCAGCCTCGAGACACTCATCACCACGAAAGGCCTCCTCCTCGAGCTTCATCGGCGACTACCCAAGGGCATGGCCATTGTGACCGGACGCCCGCGCAAGGATTGCGACAAGTTCCTACGCGACCATGCGTACGTACCGTCTCTATATTTTAACGACATGTGCTCACCGAGGTATCTCTTAGACTCGAAGCCCTTTTTCCTGTCCGCGTTTGCATGGAAGACTGCCCGCCCAAGCCATCGCCAGCCCCGATCCTTCTTGCGCTGCAGCAAATGAACGTGGCGGCGTGCGAGGTTGCCATGCTTGGGGATACCGTCGACGACATTACCGCCGCGGTGCGCGCCTCCGTCCTTGCCTACGGCGTGCTCACGCCGGGAGCCTACGCGACTGCAGTTCTCACACACACGGCGGCGCCCATTGCGGACAAGCTATTGGCCGTCGGTGCCAAGAAGGTGCTTCGCCCAGGCTGCGACGAGCTTCTCGACGAAATTCCGCTCCAGACCAATCGGACCTTTTCGACGCGCCGCATTGGCACGATCCACCGACAGACAAAGGAGACGTCGATCGATGTCGTGCTCGACCTCGACGGCAACGGGTCGTCCAACATCAGCACTGGCATTGGCTTCCTGGACCACATGCTGGATGCCGTGGCCAAACACGGCCGCTTCAACCTCGAGCTCACGTGCAAGGGCGACACGTGGATCGACGACCACCACACCGCCGAAGACTGCGGCCTTGCGCTCGGCGAGGCCCTCGACAGCGCCCTCGGGCCGCGCAAAGACATTGCCCGCTTCGGGTCGGCGCTCGTCCCGCTTGACGAAGCGCTGGCCCGTGTCATCGTCGACATTTCGAGCCGCGGCTGCAGTGCCGTCGCGCTCGATTTGCGGCGACCGAGCATCGGGACGCTCTCGACCGAAATGATTTCGCATTTCTTCGTGTCGTTTGCGAGTGCCGCGCGCCTCACGCTGCACGTGGACGTGATCAAGGGCGAGAACGACCACCACAAGGCCGAAGCCGCTTTCAAAGCCTTTGCCCGCGCCTTGCGGCAGGCCGTCGCGTTCGACCCGACCGCCGGTGTGCCCAGTACAAAAGGCATGCTTGCCTAGTGTTTACGTTCCGTTGGAGCCATTCTTTGCGACCTCGATTAATATTGATTTAGACCACTGGTAGTATCGTGTTGCCCGTCACATATCTGTGTCACACCGCCTCGTTTTGCTGGATCGCCGAAATCTAGCCATCGTTGCATACAACTCTGTCCAGCATGTGGCGTCTCGATGCGAACAACAAAAATGCACATGCTTCACGGCAATGACCCATTTGTACACGGTTAATGATGAAAATTAAAGATCTTGACGGTGGTGTCGGCCGAGCCCGAGATGATCTTGGTCGCATCGGCTTGCAGCGCAAAGACGGCCGACGAGTGGCCTTGTACCGACGTCACGGGCGCTGCGATATGGCGGATGTCCCAGCACTTGATGGTCATATCATAGGCGCCCGAGACGACCGTATGCTCGCCAACGTTCTCGACACACATGACAGCGCCAGAGTGGCCGTGCAGCGTGTGCGTGCACGAGCTGTCCCGTCGGTCCCATAGCTTGACGGTGGCGTCCGAACCTCCGGACAGCACGGTCGTTGCGTCGGCCTACGTCCTTAGTTCAACGCACTGTAGTACACACTATTGCGACGTTGTACTTTGATGCCGTTGACTTGGTTGCCGCGAACGTGCCCGGTAAATGTCTGCGTGCATCGACCCGACTCGACGTCGTAGATTTGGATGCCGTGGCTGCGACAGCCGGCGACGATGGCGTTCGTTTCTGGCTCCCACTACCCGCGTCAACTATCAACTATGTATCAAGTGGACGACGAGCGGTACCTTGAGGCAGTAGATCGGGTTGGCCGGGACGTCTAACAGCGTACGAAGGAGCTCGCCCGAGTCGGCATCCCATAGATTGATGCACGAGTCCCAGCTGCCGCTGGCAATTTTGCCGGCGTGCATGTCGAGGCTGCTCACCCAACCGGTATGGGCGCGAAGCGTGCGCACGCAGCTTCCCGTCTATCTCGCTTGGTACCTCGCTCAGGATACACCATGCCTACCTGGAGGTTCCAGAGCTTGACAGTCTTGTCGTACGAGCCGCTCACTAGCGTGTGGTTGCCATACATGTGGAGGGCCCAGACAGGCCCGCCGTGGCCGTAAAACGAGTGGAGCTTGTGCACGGTTCGCGTCTAGGCAAGCCACATTCTCCTACTTGAATTTGGACGGACGCGGTATGTGATACCTGGCGGTGATGTTGCTGCGCTAGCATCGATGGAGGTAAGGCATTGGCACGGTCGAGGCCCGTTAGATCTACAGTCTTTGTGCTGAGTCGAGCGAGAAAGGACCAGGTAGTGTGCACCCGCATCGGCATTGCTTCGGGATGCTGCTAGCGACCACAGCATGAGACTACCGTCGTCCGAGCCCGAGATCTACGCGGCGTTTAGAGACGCAAGTATAGCACCGCTTACGAGCTGCGTGTCGTCAAACTGAAGGCACGTCACAGTGCCGGTGTGGCCACATAACGTTGTAATGACGGCTTTTCCAAGGCGCCAGTTTCTCTCAAGAAGGTAGCGGTCACGGCAGTGATCAAGCCACGCGTGGTCCGAGGCCTGGTTCTCTAGAGATGGCGGCTGGGGTCGTAATGGCAGCAGCGCCGACCATTGGCGCCAGTACAGAGCTTCCCAGACGCTGTCGAGCATGACCATCGCATACCACGAGCGTTGCACGGCTGCGGCAGCGCACAAGCTCGCGCTGTCGAGGAAGCCAAAGATGCGGTGGGCCACATCGTCGACGAGCCAGGCCGACGGCTGCTGCGAATCGGAGTGATCGTGCCTATAGACCCAGTGACGTTTGCGATAGTTTTTGCCGTGAAAACGCACTGTTGCAATCGCGCAGTGGCTTCCTCAAGGTGTTTTCGAACGCGCGCAAAACTGATGTCTTTGGCTCGCAAGACGCACTGTGACGTGGTGGTGTCTGGAGGCCACCGATGGATTCAAGCACGTACCTCGAGATGGCTCACTTTGTCCTGCAACACCTTTTGGTTGGCTTCGAGCGACTGCGCCTTGTGCACCAGAGACGCTTTGAGGCTACGTCGTTCCGAGTTGAAATCAATGGCATTCGAAAAAAATATACTAGTAGTACCTCTTGTAGATGTGCTCGATCTGCTCGGCCTTGACGTTCAAGTCTTCCTTCATGACCGAGATGACGCCGCGGTACAGCTCGACCTCTTGGAGCAGGTGGTCGTTCTCCCGGCGCAAGTCGCCATCGCTGCTTGCACTGGCCATGCTGCGGCTCGAAGGACTATGCGCAGGTTACAGCGCGTATTTGTGCGCTGGGCGACGCTGATTGGTGGGATCTCGAAAATCAGTTTCATTGGCTAAAATATGCGGTGGCAGCAGACGCCGCCACGTCAGCCCACGTGGCAAGCTGTGGCTCCACAGCGAACCCGCAGCACTTTTGCCAAACAATGTTCACCCAACGAGCTCGATGGCACCATATGAAAGCCATGTAATTCGTGTCATGATTCTTACCTAATCCGAAGGGACCTTTTTGGCCAACCAACCTAGCGGCCTACAGTAGACAGGGTCGTGTGTCCGATCGATTGTAGCAAAACGAGACGTACGCATCTTGCTTCCACAGCACGGGTACCTTGGGAAACACAATGTATGCGTCATAGTCGATGCAAAGCAAAGAGCCGTCGCCAAAGCGGCCAATGGGCTCGTGGGCCGGCACGCACTCAAAGTTGTGGCCGCCGTGATTATTGAGCCACGAAAAGCCGCTTGGTGGCAGTCGAAACACCTGAACCGCCGTTAATCCTACCATGCCACGTACGTATCAAGTGCTGCGTACCTCGGTGACTTCATAGATCGTCGATGGTTTCGGCGGCGGCGGAACGGCATCGACGGGCGCTGGAATGATGTTTGCCTCGTGCGACAGAATTGCAAGCACTGCCTGCGTGAGCGCGGCAACCTGCGACGTGTCGGCCGCAAGACCGCTCTCGTAAATGAGCCCGATGCCTCCGTTCGCACCGACAAATTCATCCGAGAGCGCGATTTTGCCCGCCAACTTATGTTGAGCGTCATGCAAGATGGTGTCGCACGGAAACCACCTACGATGATGTCGACTAAGATCGTAGCGTTCGGATATGTTGCACGGCGAGTGTACCGGCAAACATCATAGTGCGCTGGCGAGAGCGAACCCGCAAGCTTGAAGAAAGGCTCGGACGGCTTGTTGGTCGCGTGCAAATCAAGCATGAGGTCGCTACGCTACACATGCTTAGCGCCAAGAAGTTGTGTAAGACATACGCGCAGGTATGGCGCAAGTTCACGAGCTCGCGTCTCTTCGTACAAAAAGGGGCCGCTCGGGGCCGTTGTCTCGATGTCCAGCGTGAAGCAGCGATTCAGATCGGCATACGGCGTGCTGCCACGCGTACCAGCCTCGATGGCTTTGGGGTTGCCCAGAATCAGCGTCAATGAGCCCGCAATCAACGGCGGACAGCGCTCTCGGAGCTGCTCAATCACGTGCACGCCGCTGAGCTCGTTGCCGTGCACGCCTAGCACCGAGTGCAGTCAGGACGCAAGAGGTACATAGGGGTACCTCCAAGAATAGCCACGTGCTTCCCAGCGCTTCGCGCTGTTGACTGCCAAATGCAGTGGCCGACCTCGACAAACGACGCGGCGGTCATTACAATTGTCGCCTTCGGCTCTAATCGCTCATTCTGAGGTTGCCCTTTTAAGCCAAAAAAGGGTATTTCATTGCGCGTTAGAGACAGTTTCGGGTCATAACATAGGTACATCACTCGTGCTGCTGCCGTCGTCGGACGCTGCATCGTCGACGGCAAGGACGCTGGGCAACGGAGGATCGTCTGCAGGAATCAATGGCGAGCTCCGCATCCGAACGACGGGTGGTCGCGACCGCTGGACCAAAACGTCGGGAGCCGATGGGCGTCGACGCATCTTCGGCTTCGGTGTCGCTGCCAACGACGTGGGCTGCGGAACGCGCCTCGGGCGTGCCAGCGTGCTGCTACCTTGCGTCGGGAGCTCGCTTTGCGCTAGCATTGGCACCAGACTCGGTAGTTCCACGACCACGGGGGCTGGTGGAAGTGGCGTCGGTGGTTCAATCGCGACCGCTTCAATAAGCTCTGGCAGCATCGGCACCGGGGGCAACTGTATCGTACTCTCGTCGGCCGCTTCGAGCGTAGCTTCTACGCGCGACGTCTCTACCATGTCGTCTTCACGCAAGGCCGTTGTTGAAGCAACTGTGTTTGGCTCGATGGCCAGTAACGGAATTGGCAAAAGGGCCAGCGTAGGAAGCTTGGGCGGCGGCAGAAGCAGCACTTGAACGCGCGCGATCGACTCGGGCAGAGTGCTAGTGACAACTGGTGCGGGTTGAAGTGCGTTGGCCATGTCTTGCAAAAGCCACGCCTCGGCTTGTGTGTCGGAGTCGAGGACGTCGCCAAAGCAGTCGCTGCTGTCTTGGCGTGGAAGGTCGACCACAAGAACGTCGTCGGTCTTTGCCACGAGGCTACAGTCGAGCGCCTCGACGAGCGACACCATGGCAGATAGAAGCGGTGCAATCTCGCTTTCCACGAGCGCACTATGGTCGACCTTGGCTCCGGTTGTCTCGTCTGCGTCTTCAGAGATGGACGGAAGCCGCTTGAGACCTCCGGATGGTCTTTTACTGGTGTCGGGCAGGAGCACGGCTACTGTCTCGGTGCGCGCTTCAGGCTGATCGACATTCGGCTCCGGCTCTTTCATAGCCGAAACGAGTGGTATGTCTGCTTGACTTGTCGACGGCGCCACATCATCGGGTTGGGTTTGCGGTGGTTCGTTGCTGCTAGGTACTGAGGCCGGAGGTGACGCGTCGGCGTGTTCTGCCGCATCTTCTTCCGCGAGGCCTTTGATCCACGAGCCAAGACGGTCGTCGTCGAGCTTGGGTTTGCTCTCGGGGCGAGTCTTCTTCTTTTTCCCAAACGACTTTGTTTTCTTGAGCTCGCGGGGACTGAGCAGGAGCGTCCGTAGCTCGACCATGGTGCGCTTTAATATCGCAATCCCCAGTAGTCCGAGCTACGTGCTATTTAGATACGATGCATTCGCAGTATGTGCAGTTGTACCACAAGACCGATCGTGAGGGCGACCGCGGTCGTGATCCAGAGACTGTCGAGGTACGAGACGAGCAAGAACGTGGTGAGAAACTGGGTCATGGCCTACGAGCGACAGGTCAACCCGAGGCGCGATTTGCCGGCATACCAGCGAGAGGAGGAAGACAGTGAGCGCGCAAAACATGACAGCGAGGATGAGGAGAAAGAAGCTGTTGTAGAGGGCGTGGCACGCGACGCCAGCCTCGCTCAAGCTCAGCTTGATGAGCTCGATTTTCTCGTCCAGCACTTCGTTGGCGAGGTGCGTGAGCGTCAGAAGCACGTGATTGTGCTCCTTCTTTGGACTTGCTTTGGAGACGGCTTTGAGCAGACTCAAGAGGTCTTGGTACTTGTCCGGCTCCTCCTATATCGTTGCAGTAGATAGCACCGCAGCGGTGACGCCGCCTACGCTGTGGCTCGCATGGGCAAAAGTCGTCTTGAGCACTTTGGCGGGGAGGTTGCAACTCGGGTGGCTACGATAGCGTTAGATAGTAACTCATGGCCAAGTAGTACTCGGGACTGAGCTGATCGGCGAGCGTCTACAGCATCCAGACAGGCCTACAGTGCGGCAGGAGGCTGAGCCGAGTACCTTGGCTTTTCGCAGTATGTTCTACAGTCAATCTCGTTAGACACACTCGTCACTCGCGCTCACGAACCGGGAGATCGGATGTAGACGGCGCATCAAGCAGCTGTTCATGGTCAATCACTCGCTGCCATGGAGATATGTAGTACTCTGTTGAGGAGTGCGAGCTGCTGCATCGTCTCGACGGTCGGTGCTTGATGCGGCAACAACCCCCGAAGCACCTCTTCCTTGAGTCCGAGCTGCTCCACAAGCGTCTACAACATCGTCCTGCCTCATCGGACGGGTGCGTTTCTCGCTCTACCTTGACACGGTCGAGCTCCTGTGTCGGCGGATGCCCAAGGAGCCCGTGCAGCTTGCGTTCGCATTCGGCAATGATCTCGGGTCCCTACGCATCAAAACGTTATCTTGAGTCCGCAGCACGGGGACCATGCGTACTTGCTGCACGAGAAGATGTTTCTCAATCTCAATTTCGCGCCAAATGTCCTAACACCCCACTCGCTTTGAGTCCATCGTCGTAGAGCCTTTGGACCTCGAGGGCAATCCGGGGCGCCGCCGAATGGGACTTGGCTGTCGGTAGAAACGATTTGAGTGCGTCGAGAGGCACTCCTGCGGGCAGCCGCGAGGGGCTAACTTCGCTTGCTGCGTGGTGCCGAAGCGACGTGAGGCGGTCGGCCACCGCCTCGACCGGCAGGACGTGCTGCGCCGTGGCTTTGGCTCGCTGGAGCGGGCCCGCCACGGCCTCAATGAGCTCTGGATTCAAGAGAATCGTGCGGTTGCTCGGGCTCCGCACAAAGGGCGTGACCGACTTGATGGTCGACCACGCCTTGGCCAGCGAATGTCGGCGCGATGGCGGCATGACGCAGTGTGAGAGACCGAAACGGCGTCGACGTTAAATAACGTCCTCGTTGTGTTAGTTAAATCGCCTAAGCGTCCCATCGCGAGCGTTTCCGGCGCGGACCTTCCTCGTCTGTGGGCTTGTCGGCGACGTGCACGATCGTCGGTACCGTGGCGAATGCGGGCGTTGTCGCCGCCGGTGTCGTGCCCGGTGCCTCGTCGCGCGCCGGCCGAGGACTGTCTCTGGCGGCCCGGGCCGCCTCCCGCGCTGCCTCGCGCGCCGCGTCGTGCTGGGCCTTCAAGCGCTGCGCAGCGCCCATGGACTCGCGCACACGCATGTCCGAGTCGCGTCGCTTGAGCATGGCTTCGTGGCGCCGCTTCTGCTCCCGCAGCCGGCGCTCGCTAAAGGTCTGGAAGGCCAGCGCGGCTTTGGCGACCCGGCGTTCGACCGTCCAAATATGCTTTTGGAGCGCAAAGAGCGCGTCCGTGTCGCTCAGATCAAAGAAGGACCCATAGTGCTTGGCGACCTACGCACAGGTTTCTGCCCTCCTGCTATAGAAATGCCACCGAGTACCTTGAGCAGTGTCTCGTCCGTGAGCTGTTCGAGTTGGTGGCGCTCGGTCCACGCGGCCGCACGCGATTCCGTCGACTGCATCGCGTCCCACTCTTCCAAGAGCACTTGCTCGTCGTCCTTGTCTTCGACGGCCTTGAGGCTCTTGCGGAGAAGGCTGTAGTTGGGCGCGTCGCCGTACGCGAGCTCGGTTTCCAGGTACGTGGCAATCTTGAGCAGGTGGCGGGCCCCGGGCAGACTCTCCACGAGCTTCTCGGGGTGCATCTCCGAGTAGAACTCTTTGAGCTCGACGACCACTTCGCGGTTCTTCTTTTGCGCATCGTAGGCCCACGGCAGTTCGCCGCGAATGAGGTCGAGCACGAGGTAGAACCATGAAATGAGGTCGTCGCGCCGCCCGAGCTCCTCGCGCCGGTGCGCGCGGAGGGACGCGTACATGGACGTGCCGCGGAACTCGGCCTTCTCGCGCGCCGCAATGACATCCCCGTCCGGCGTCAAATGCTGCTTGGAGAGGCCAAAGTCGATGACAAAGTACTTTCTACGAGGAAAATGAGCATCGCGGACCATGCGGCACAGATGTACTTGCTGGCCGCAGCGCCGTTTGAGAGTGCAAAGTTGGACGCCTTGATGTCGCGGTGGAGGAACCCTGCATTGTGGAAGGACTCGAGGCAGTCGAGCATTTGGATACCGGCAGCGACAGCCTTGGAGAGCGGGACGCCGTGGGCCGCGTCGGGCGCGCCACGTAGCTTGGACATGTTGTCGCCAAGAAGCTCCATGATCAAGATAAAGTTGTCGCCGTGCTTGCCGTGGTGGTAATACTTGCACACATAGGGGCTGCGCTTCTGGAGTGCAACGAGCACTTGGCTCTCCCATTCGAGCACGGGCTTCATCTCGCTCGGCGCTTCAACCTTGACTGCGACCTTGAGCGCCGTGTTGGTGATGTCAAAGGCCGTAAAGATCTGGCTAAACGTGCCTTCGCCAATCTTCTCGAGCACCTTCCAACGGCCCAAGAGCAGCTCGCCCGCCTAGCCGGCATATGAATTCACGTCCGTAGGCAGGGACATGCAGGCTGGCTGCATGTACATGGAGCTACCGTACCAAGAGGAGGTTCTTCTCTTCGTTCGTCTGCATGCTTGACCAAGGAATCGGGCCGAAGCGGAGCGCGAGGTCCGTGGGTGGCTCGGTTCACGCAATTAACAATAATATTACAATTCAACCGAAGCATAATATAATACCGGTTTTGGGACCAAAGGTCCTGCAAATCTATGGGATACAGCATAATAAAAAGCAAAATCTATTGTTTTTCGAACATCAGCAATGCACGTGGACCTCGACCAGATAATGGCTGCTTTTAGCCAATCACAACGCTTGCAAGAAAGATTCTCGCATGGGATTCGCTCATTTCGAAGATGCGTGTTTCTAGAATTGTTTGGTTGCATCAACTAGTGCACACGCAGCTCACATTTCCGGCTGCAGCACGGTGCAAGCGCGGCCATGGCCTCTTCGCCGATCGCCAAGAAGCAGAAGCTGCGTACGCATGGCACGCCCAGGGTCCCGATGACGCTAGAGATCTGTGATGGGCCTGAGGATGAGGCCATGCACCCGGATACTGTCCCGAAGCTCAGGGAGCTCGTCCGCAGCTGCCACGCGACCAACCAGCACCGCAGCGCGGTCTTTTTCGCTGGGAAGCTGGCGACGATGACACGAGACCCAGCCGACTGCATGCTTTTGGCGCAAAGCTACTTTGCAACGGGCGACTTCCATGAAGCCATTCACGCGCTGCAAGGCCTTGTGGGGCAGCTGGACGCGGGCTCGCCGCGCGCCAAGCCAGCGCGCTCGCCAGCGCACCGAACCCTGTCGTTCTCGGACACGTCCATCTTGCATACGACCATGGACTACGACGAAGAGATCGTATTGCGCGCGTACCTGCTCTTGGGGCAATCGATGGTACGTGCAGCGCCACGTTGAACCCACGTATATGGTGTGTGCAGGCCGCCGTCAAGCAGTGGGAAGACTGCCAGGAAATGCTCGAGGGCGTCCTCGGCGACGAAGAAACGACGATCTTGCGCAAGGCCGGCAGCCTCGCCTTTCCCGAGACGATGCAGATCAACGTCGTCGCCTCATTATGCTGTCTCCGCGGCGAAGTGTGCGAAGCGCTCGAAAGTCGCGAGCGAGCGAGCTACTGGTACCGCGTCGCGCTGCAGTGCGACGTGCACTGCGCCGACGTACGTCGATGCCCACTTCTTCCATACCTCATGCAGCGATAGGCGTTCACGCACCTCATCGAAAAGCACATGTTGTCGTCGTCGCAGGAGCGCCGCATGCTCGATACGCTCCACTTTCGACTGCCTCATGATGCGTACCTCAAGGCCCTCTACACCGCCCAGCTAGGGCGGGTGCTCCACGCACCTCCTTCTGATGCTTATGCTCACTCCCGGCTGTCTGTAGTACGATCACGCGCCTGCGATCGCCGACAAGTTTCGTCCGTTGGAGGAGGTCTTCAAGCTCGCCGACAACGTCGACGTCGTATGCACCCAAAGCGTGGGAAATATCAATGTATCAAGTAGCAATCTAGGTCGTCGCCAAGGCCGAAGCGTATTTCTACCAGCACAACACGGAACAGGCTTACCAGCTCTGCAAGTGGTATCGTACGGACGATATACCATCACCTTAGTCGGGCGTAGGGTCCGCGAGCGCGATCCATTCCACTACCAGTGCATCGCGGTGTTTGTCGCGACGCTCGTGCAGCTCGAGCGCAAGAGTGAGCTCTTTCATTTTGCCCACCAAATGGTTGCCAATATTGTCGTATTCCGCAATACTAAGTATCGCCAACACATCCCTTTAGGTCGACATGTACCCGAGAAAAGCCGCGTCGTGGTACACGGTTGGCTGCTACTATGTGCTCGTCAAGAAGTTGGACACGGCCCAGCGCTACTTTCAGTGCGCACGACCGAGCACGCGTCCGATGATTTGACGTGTATACGTATATAGCAAAGCCACGAACCTCGAGCCGCAGTTTGCGCCGGCGTGGATCGGGTTTGGCAACGTCTTTGCCATGCAGGTCGCCAGCGGCCTCCACGTGTGTTTGTTTCCTGAGATTGCAATGGGTAGGACGAGAGCGACCAAGCCATGTCGTCGTATCGCACGGCGACGCGCCTCGTCCTCGGGTGCCACGTCCCTCTGCTCTGCATTGGCATGGAGCATTACCGCACCAACAACCTCGCGCTCGCGTCGCATTTTGTGCACCAAGCGTGCGACGTGTGTCCGTCCGACCCGCTCGTGTACAACGAACTCGGTACGATTTGCTTTCGACAGCGCGAGTACAGCGACGCGGTCGACCACTTTACAAAGGCCATTGCGCTCTGCGAGCACTTCTCCCAGGTAGCGTCAGAGCTTTCTCGCACGCGTTTTCACACGAGGACGCAGACGCGCCTTGTCGCTTGGGAAGCGACGTTCTTCAACCTCGCCCAAGCCTACCGCAAGCTCGAGTCTCTAAATCTCTTTTCATGATGAGTCGGTTGCCAACGTTTATCGACTAGACAGTACGACGCGGCGATTGCAACCTACGAGCGCGCACTGAGCTTGTGTCCACGAAATGCGTCGACGCATTTTGCCCTCGGATTTACGTATCACTTGTGCGGCCGCTTGGACGAAGCCATCCAGTGCTACCACACGGTAAGCGTTGCAGATCCCAGATCTGGTGCAACACGCACCTTCTAGGCATTGAGCTACGACCCCGAAGACCCGATCGCGATCCAGACGCTCGACGATGCGCTCCAAGATCTCTTTGCAAGCGCCGACTTGAACCAGCCTGCGCCAGACGACGTTCAAGAGACGAGCGAGCTGCTTCCGGAGAAAGACGTTAGCATTAGCATGGATATTTCAACCGAGAGCATGGATCTCTAACACGTCTTCTTCAGCAGTCTCGTCGTATCCTCTTGGTCGCGACGCTCTTTGAATGCCCCCGACTCCTTCAGGGTTGATCAACCGTTGAGACCCTTGCTTGCGTCGACAGCATCGTTTCTCTGAACGCGCCAAGTCTTCGGACGAGTCACATGCGTTGGTGGTGCCGACGTCCAGCGGTTCGGGAACTCGATACCTCGTTGGCCACCTGCACGGCAAGGTCCGCGTTGCCGTCGGATGCTAAGACTGCTTCGCACGAGAGACTCTGTGAATGCTATGGATCGTAGCATTAAGTTGATTAAAAGCCGACGAGCGAGAAGAGCGCGATGAACGTGACGATGAACGTAAGGCCGAGGAAGACCGTCGAGAACTCGAGGGAGCTGACGATCGGGAGGTCGAACGGCGTCGCAGCAGCCTCGAGGTTGCCATAGACGCGGCGGAAGAACTTGGTGCCAATGACTTGGAACCACGCGGGGATGATGAGACCGAGCGCGAAGCCAAAGAAACCCGCGAACGTAAAGATGGCGTCGAGCTTCTTGAAGAGCGTCGCGAGCACGAGCGGCGGGATGGCCGCGATAAGGCGCGAGAGGTTGCGCGCGCCGGACGGGCCGAGCGGCGCCGTGATCGACTTGGGGAGCGACGTGAGGATGTTGCCGCCGACCGTGAGGCCGACCATCGGGAACGTCGACGTGACGTTCACCACCGGGAACATGAGGATCACAATGTGCACGCACCAGCCAAACCACGTCGGGTTGCCAGACGGGCACTTGGACCAGCCGTTGCCGCAGCCCGTGTAGTCGCTCCACATGAGGCTTGCGAGCGGGTTGACATCATCGAACGCAAGCGCGCCAAGCAGGCCGAGGAGGAAGTAGCAGATCGCCGATACCGTCATCGCGATAAACGTGATCGCGCGCGACTTGCCCTTGGCCGACTGCTCGAGCGGCTGAAGCGCATCCGGCATGTTGTACTGGCAGTTGAGCGCGAGCAAGGTCGGTCCAAAGCCGGCGCTAAAGTTGTGCAAGTTGAACGCCCAGTGCTGCCGCGAGGCAAGGCGCGTGGTGATGGCGTCCGCGCCGTCGACGCCGAGCTTGACTGTGATCGTCACGAGCATGAGCGCGAACGCGAGGATGCGGTAGGCCGAGAGGAACTTTTGGATCGTCGCTTGGTCGCCGAGGTCCATGAGCACAAGAACGATCGAGATGACGGAGAAGACCGCCATGAAGCCGTAGTAGGCCTCGAGGCAGCCGCCCGACGCGTTGGCCGCGTACGCGTCGCAAAAGTCGCCGACGACGAACGTGTGGAAGATGGACGCCATCGACGACGCAAAGATGCTCGCGTACGACCAGAGCGACCCGAGGCAATAGAGGACGAGGACCGTCTGCACGATCGCATAGCCTGTGCGACCCGCAAAGATTTCGCCAATCACGGAAAAGTCAATCTTGCGGTACGTGAGGCGGTTCTCGGGCTGGGCGTCCTTGCCCGTGGACATGACGCCTTCGGCGCGCGCCATGGCTTCGATCGTGTAGTTCATCGTGATGAGCGCGGCGATGAAGCCGAGGATGAGGAAGATGGACGTGAGACCGATGCCCGCCACCGAGAACGCGTACGGGAGGCCAAAGCAGCCCGTGCCGATCATGTAGTTGAGCGTCATGGCGACGGCGACAACGGGGCCGTACGTCTTGACGCCCATGGCCGACGCATCGAGCGGGTTGAGCGTCTGGCAGCTCGCGCCCTTGGTAAGCGGCGCTTCCATCGTCCTTCTGTGACTTGGCGCAACTGCGAAAATGGGCTCCAGTCGCCACCTTCACCGACTCGGCAAAGTCCGGCCAACGCGCCGAGGTTAAAAACACCCAACCGTTTTTATTCCACGCCCAGAGTGGGCCAGCATGCGCGCGCAGATGCGGCCAGCGTGGGCCGACGCAGAAACCTGGCCGCGACAAACCCAGCCACGTTGATTCGTTGGGTACTGTCCGACATCTCCCGAGGAGGTCCTCGCATGCGTTGATATAGAAAGGCGGTGCTGGTGATACCCATTTTTCCGGTGCCAGTGACGTTGAACCCGCGTACGTGGATTTGTATGCTGCTAAAGAAGGGTCGCTGATGCAGCCTTTGAATGCACGCGCTGGCTCACGCCCTTGTGTCGGTGCTGCAGCCACGCGACCTAACGGTACGACTTAGAGCGCGTGTTTTAAGCCTATCAAGCATCGGGCCTGGCCATCGCACCTACTTGAGCCATGTTTGGAGGAAGAGGACCCGCGACCCCAGCTTCAAGTCCCCTTCTGGGACGGCGCTGGAACCTGTGGCTACAAAAGCTCCGCGCCGTCTGCGATGAGCAAGACGCCTTCGGGTTGCATGGTGTAGTAGTAAACACCCCGTTAGGCTGGACACGCGACTTTCGACTTGGCGTAGCTTCAGCACTCGGCGATAAAGACAGGTGAAGCGGACGCTTCGAAAGCCCACGGGCTGTCTGCCTCTTCGCATCCACGTTTCCGAAAGCGAAGGCAGGTGACAACGTACTCGGGTGCGTTGAAGGGAAAGAAGCCACAACGCCCGGTTTTTTCTTGTGCAGCTGCAGTGATGGCACACATGGGGTATCGACGTGCAGAGTCGTATATATTGACGGCAGGATTCAGTGATGTAGGCTAGTCGTCGATGAATTGCTCGCGCAGGTGCTGCAGTCGGCGGCGCAACGCTACGATAACAATGTAAGCTCGACATGCAAGCCGTTTACAAGATATGGAGGTGAACCGCCGTCGTCCAACTTGGAATCACGGAGCGCCATGAGGCGATGGAGCAACTTGTTGTTGAGGTTCTTGTTGCGATGATTGACGACGAGGTTCATGTCCACGTCTTGGGTCGAAAGCATGGTTTCTTGAAGAGCCTCGGCATCACGCACGGTTGAGGCCGGGATCCCGCAAATCTTGGCCATTTGGATGCCATAGCCATGGCTGCGATCCGACGGACCATCGCTCAGCTTGTACTTGAAGTCGAGCAGATTCTATGAGCGCACTTTCGAACCAACATCGGTTGCACCCGGGTACCGTCGAGGTATTGGTGGCTTGTAAATGGAAGTTGCGGCAGTTGGCATACATCGTCGAGAGCTCGCGCAGGCCGTGGAAGTGGGTCGCAAAGCACGTGTACGCTTTGGTTTGCATCAGCGTCTCGCATGCGCTCCAGGCGATGGCGAGTCCTTCATCGTTCGAGGTACCACGGCCAAGCTCGTCAATGAGGATCAAGGACCGCGCCGTAAGGTTGTCCAAGATGAAGGCCAGCTCCAGCATCTCGACAGTGAACGTGCTAGCGTTTTCCTCCATGTCATCCGAGGTTCCAAAGCGCGTGAAGATGCGTGTCCGAAGCGGGATGCGAGCCTCCGTCGCAGGCACGTAGCAGCCCATGTGAGCCAGAAGCGTGATGATGGCTGTCGTTTTGAGATACGTCGACTTGCCAGAGCAGTTTGGCCCCGTAATGACTAACCATAAGCCGATTATAGGAGTGTGGATTGGCCGTTGATACGCACCGTTAAAGTTGGTCACAGGATCGAGAAACTAAAGGAAGCATTGTACAACCACAAAACGTGTGGCTCACGTACGACGTCGTTGGGGACAAATGGGCGATCCTGGACGACTTGCTCAATGAGCGGATGGCGTCCCTTCTTGATGACAAAATTGCCACCCGGGCACATTTGCGGGCGGCAGTCTAGATAGCAGACCTAATATTTTACCAACTAAACTTGGTATGCATCACGTACATGGCTGGTCAACTGGCGAGAGGGCGACGAGATTGGTAAAGCTAACATGATGTGAGATGATGGATGAAGGGTACGTATATACCTGAGCAGCATGTCAAGCAGGGCGACGCTTTCAACCATTGCGTACAAATGGCACACAAAAGGCCGGATCTCGTCCATAAGTGCGTTGATGACACCGTAAGACAGTTGGTAGATGTCGTTCATGCACTCCTTCGTGCGAGAGTTGAGCGAGCTGATGTCTTTCGTCGTGCACGCCAAGGCTACATCAGTCATCAAAGCCAGAAACGTTGGCGTAGCAGGGTCGTACATTTGCTGAATTTGACCCGCTGCTCAAAGATCTGGGGAATGTCGCGAGCGCCACCGTTGGGAATGAGCAGGTGGTAACCCCGACCGACGCTATGTAGAGCGTCCTAAACGCATATTCATATGGCGATAACATGGTACCTGAAGTGAAGCTTGATGGCAATGCCAAACTGATCTTGATACTCCTCCACGCGTTCGTTGATGCTGTCGATCGTGCTGAGGTATGTTGCCCGAGCGACGTCGAGTTTGCCATCGATGCCCGCTTTGACGGCAAGACTGCCACTGATCTTCATGTGCCGCACGGATCGGTTCCATTGCGAGCTAGACTGATGTGTAAGAGACTGGCGCGATCATGTCCTTCCTACTTGGGGTCGATCACGCGGTCGATGCTTTCTTGGATCACGATGAACTCATCGCAACGAAGGCTAATCGGCGTACAATGAACCTTTTTACATACCCCAAGATTTTCACCTGGTAATAATGCTCTCGAGAAGCTCGACTGGCTCGTCCATGTAGCTCGTAGCATTCGAGAGGCACTCGTGGAGCTGGGGTAACAGCTCCAGCGTGCTCTTGAGAGCGACGACATTGATGACGCCTTGCTGGGATGTTCGAGCCGTAATCACTTTTGGCACCATCACCAGCTGCGACTACAAGGCACTGTAAATGCATTTCCTGCATGTCAGAGAGGAATGGGACCAGCATTTTGTCAAGGTCGGCAAAGTCAGGTAGGATTTCCAAAACGTCAAAGAAGAGCGACGGGTTGTTGAGGAATACACCAACGACGTCTTGGCGCGCTTGACTACAGAGCAACAGGTTTAATCACAGTCGATCGCCCTTTCGAAGCAGAGTACATGGTCTCGAGCGCGCAGCTTGGACGCAAGATCTACGTCAGCACACCTTGGTGATGCGTCACAAAGCATTGAAAAATACCGTTTGGCGCAGCAAGCGTCGCCCGATGGTCGTGCGCGTATTGTCAATCTTGGCGACCAGCGACTGCCCGTGTCATCACGCAACTGCGGTACAATGGAACTCTTACGTGCTGGATCAAGCCATTGCGCGCTCCGCGTGTGATTTCCAAAGCCGCGATCGTTGCATAGTCCATTAGGAGCACGGGGCTTGCCATTGTCAGCACAACCTACTTCAACTCATGGTACACATACGATTCGAGGCTTGCAACCTTGATGGTCTTTTGTGCGATATAGACGCCTTGGATGAACTCGATGTACTTCATCAAGCACGCCACCGCACCCATGACGACGTGGTTCTACCCAAGAATGAATGCAATCGTGCATTTTTCAACAGTCATTGTACCTTGAGGAGGCTCGTGTCGAACGAGTTGACGGCAACGCGCTTGAGGTCTTCTGCCCCTTTTGACTGACTACCGAGGTAACGTGAAGAGATGCAGTCTCAGTTGGTATCCTTACTCGTAGTACTTGCGCACAATCGCAACGATGCGTGTCGTCGAGTTCTTGAAGCGCTTCTTCACCTCGAGATGCAGTTGTCGCGGAGTCCCCGCGTCCACCATGAGGATTTCCACGGGCTATGTCATGTATGTGGACTCGTCGAGGGAGGTGCTCGGACCTGGTAGCTCTCAAGAAGCGAGATCGTCTCCACGAAGCTCCTCGAGTCGACCATGCTCGAGACGAGCATCTCATGGGGCATGTGGAGGTCGAGGCAGCAGAGCGCGACCTCGCGGTTCCGGCCCTCTGCGATCACCGTGATGCAGTGGCTCCGTCGGGCGTTGGCCGTCGTTGCGCGCGGGGTCTTCCCTCGCGTCCCCATCACCGGCGTCTCGGACGCGACTTGCCGCTGGCCCGTCGTCCCGCGGAAGCGCTTGGGGCCGTCCATGGTCCTAGTGTGCTTGGGCTCGGCAAATGGCGAATGCCAGAAGCGGATCTTTTTATCCGGCAGTCCGGATAAAAATGGCGCGCAACTTTCATCCGGATGATTCCGGACTTGCAATCGCAGCATGCATCGAGCTGCGGTATCTCCACGCCCACGCAGACAGGAGCTCTGCAGGCTTCGGAGGACGGTCACGAGGGACGTGCCATAGCACATCCATGCTGGTCGGGTGTTATACCCCACTGCGTCCACGCAAACTCTACCTGCAACATGCTTTGCCGAGCCATTTTGCGCAGCTCCGAGGCGTTGCTACGATGGCAGTTAAAGATACATGGAGAATTCAATGGCCTCGACCTCAAGCAGCAGGAGGAAGGCTTTGATCTATCGCCTCGACACCTTCTTTACGTCGTGTTGCAGTGTTGCAGTGCTGCAGTGGGCCCCCGTTCAACTGGCAAATCTCCTTCCAGCATTTTGACCAATCATAGGTACATATACGCCCATCCCCCATTTGATTGGCTGTCTCGTTGGATTTCGTGGCAATCCCTCAGTTTTGCAATTGCCGTGTTGCAGGTGAGTCCGATGAGCCCCAAGCTCGTTGACTTTCTCGAGGCGCTCGAAGTGGCCCGAGAGGCCAAGGCGACGCGCGACGAGATGGCTAAAGCAGCGAAGGAGTACATCGTGGACGCCGACTCGATGCCACCGCAGACCTTTGCGGCGGCGCTCCAGCACATCCCGTTCAAAATGTCGGCGTACGATGTGGTCGAGCTCTGCAAGCGCGCCGGCGTCACCGACATCAAGCAGTGTATCATCACGACACCGTATCGCGCCTCGCCGTTCAACACCACGGCGATCGTGTCGGTCAGATCGCGAGCAGCCCACGACCAGCTACTTCAACTCCACAAGACGCCATGTCAGGGCCGCACCTTGAAGGTGCGCGACTACAAGACGTCACGCACCGTGAGCGGCGAGCTCTCGCAGCGCTTTGACGGCGTGAGCTTGCACGTCGTGCCGTCGCGGGACTGCTTCGACACGGTGCCGCCGCGCTTCAGTGCTGCACAAGCCGTCACGCTCGTGTGCACGGTCCACCCCAAGGTTGCGTTCGCCATCGAGTTCCAGACCACGTACCGCGCAGCGTTTTCCTCTCTCGACGTTGCGGCCGTCAGCGTCGGCTCGGACGACCGCGGGTTTTGCGTCGTCTGGTTCGAGTTGCACCAGCCGCCGCTCATGTACGAATCGGCGCCCCCACGCGCCGTGGCCGCCACGTCGTTCCTCGAGCAGCGCCAGCGCGAGAGAACGCAATGGCCGTCGTCGGCCACACCCATCGTCGAATGGACGCGCTGCGTCGACCCGAGTCCAAGCAAGGCGTTTGGCGCTTACCGCAACTACCAAGTCACGCTGCGAGAGGTGTTTCCCGAAGAAATGCACGCGCTCCTCCAACGTCTCGGCCTCGAGCGCGTTCTCCTCGCATCGGGGCAGCAGCGACGCCTCACACCCGCGCTCGAAGGGTATGCACGGCCCGACTCGGACTGGAGCGGCGGCTACGACCACATGTTTGCAGGCCTCTCGTACGCGCGGCGGTACGCGCTGCATGTGCTCGTGAGCCACCACGCAATCGTGTTCACCCATGCCCGCCAAGTCCAGAAGCTCGTGGCCGCGATGCACGCGTCGGATATCTCGGCCGACGCGCTTCTGCGGCTCGTGCAGTGGAAATCGCGCCGGTCGCTGACGTGGCACAAGCTCCTTGAGTCTCTTGCGCACCCACCGGAGGCGCCGTTTGCAGATCCACCCGGCTACGTGCGCGTCCAGCGGGTGCGCATCACGCCACTGCGCATCCTCGTCGACGCGCCCGACGTCGACGTCTCGAACCGCGTCTTGCGCCTCTACCCGCACGCCGTCGATCGGTTCGTGCGCGTCACGTTTGTCGACGAAGATTTCGCGTCCGTCCATAGCGTCAAAACCGCCCCGAGCATCTTTGGCCGCATCAAGCAGTGCATTTCGAATGGGTTTTTCATTGCCGGCGAGCACGTGGTCTTCCTCGGGTACTCGAGCGCGCAGCTCCGCAGCCACAGCTGCTGGTTCTACCGCGTTCCGACCTCGTTTTCCGACGACGCGCCGACGTTGGCCGAGATCTACACGTGCCTCGGCGACTTTGGCGCGATGCCAACCGCCGGGAAGCGGGGTGCGCGCCTCGGACAAGCGTTCTCGGGCACGACCGTCGCGCTGCGTGTGCCACGGTCGCAGTGCGTCGAGCTGGCGGACGTGAATCGCAAAGGTTTTTGCTTCTCGGACGGCGTCGGCACGATTTCGCCGGCGCTCGCAAACGTAGTGGCCGACGCACTCCACTGGCCGCACAAGGTCGTCGCCGACAAACTCGGCTGCGGGTATAAGCCGTCGGCTTTCCAGATCCGGTACGGCGGCTACAAGGGCGTCGTGGCAGTGGACCCGCAGCTCAAGGAGGCGGCGCTCGGTCTCCGCCCGAGCATGCGCAAGTTTGAGACCGACTTGGACGACCTCGAGATTTGTCGGCCGGCGTTTGCGTCGCCTTGCTACTTGAACCGGCAGCTCATCAACGTGCTCTCGTCGCGTGGTGTGCCTGACGAGGTGTTTTTGCAGCTGACCAACACGATGCTGCAAGCGCTCGACACGTGCCTCAACTCGACCGACGAAGCGCGGGCCTTCGTCTTCCGCCATGATCCGCATAGCCTCGCGGCGACGCTGCTGGCAGCCGGCGCCACGCTCGAAGATCGCCATGTGTTTGAGTACGTCGACGCGATTCGTCGCCGCCGGCTTCTCGACGTGCAGACCAAAGCGCGCATTTACGTCGAGTGCGGCGTCATGCTCATGGGCGTCCTCGACGAGACGGGCACCTTGCCGCCCGACTGCGTCTTTTTCCAAACAAGCGGGAAGCAGCCGCCGCCGCATGCGACGCTCGCGGTCGGGCGGTGTCCGTGTCTGCACCCGGGCGACATTCGCCGGCTCACGTACGTGCACGTCCCCGCGCTGAGCCACCTGCACGACGTCGTCGTCTTCTCGGCGCACGGCGATCGGCCAACGCCTGACACGATGGCAGGCGGCGACCTCGACGGCGACATTTACTTTTGTATTTGGAACCAAAAGCTCGTGCCACCGACGGAGTTTGCACCGATGACGAAGCCACCGTCACCCTTGCCACCACGCATCACGACACCGTCGATGGAGGTAGTGCATCCCGAGGTAGAAGTGTTTCTGAGAGCGCGTCGTAGGTCGTCGGAGCCTTTTACCTCGAGTACCTGCGCAACGACAACCTCGGTACGATTGCCAATCTGCACATGGTGCTCTGCGACAGAAGCGTCGACGGGGCGGCCGATGCAATCGCGATCGAGATGGCCACCGCCCACGCGATCGCCGTCGACTATGCGAAAACGGGCGAGCCGGCGTGCATCCCGCCGCACCCGCCGCTGGATGCGTACCCCGACTTTCTCGAGAAAGCCGACAAGCCATCGTACCGCTCGACGTCCGTGCTCGGCCTGCTGTACCAGGCAACCTGTGGTGTCCGGCCCCAGCCGCCGCCGTACCGCGACTTTTCCATCGACGCGCGGTTCCTTGCGCCGGGCTACGAGCGCTACCTCGACGACGCGCAGGCCAACTTTATCGATTTCTCGGTCGCATTTCACGACATTGCGACGCGCTTTGATGTCGACTCGGAGATGGAGCTCGTGACGGGCTACGCACGTCGGAAGCGGTCGGCGGACGTGGCCGAGCGCCTTACGCTGGCGGTCAACCACGTGCTCGATGGATTTGCCGCCACATTTTGGGCCGACTTTGCGGCCGACGTGCCGCGTGATGCGGTGCCTGTGCTGCAAAAGGCCTCGGCGTGGTACTTCCGCGCGTACTCGTACCGCTGGCCGCACGGCAAGCCGTCGTACCTCAGCTTTGCGTGGGTCGCGATCGAGCCCATGTGCCTTCTACTCGCCCGGCGCACGATCGCGTTGGAGTAAAGTGGATACGAGTATATTGGTTTCGTACATTGCGGGGTAGGGTTACAGTCGCCTAGTCTTGTCTGCCGACAGCTCGTGCGGTGTACATACGCGTAGAGATGCCTTAGTTGGCCTCGACCTTGGGGTCTTCGTCCGCACTCGGCGATACTTGCGCTGGGACAAAGCGCTGGCGCTGCCGACGCAAGAGATCGTGAAAGGCCTACGTCCCAATGTCGCTCGCGTCATCTCAAACGTGGTGGCGGTACCTCGGTCGCAAACACCTGGCGGAAGAAATCGCGGCAGCCCATTTCCATGTGCCTACGACAGCCCAAAGCGAGTCGATGCCAGTGGCAAGCAAGAGATGTACGCATCCAGGAAGCCTTCCGCGTCAAACGCGAGAAACTGGTCGTAGAACGGCGCGTCGGGCAGCGTTGGATGGTGCCGCACGTGCTGCAGCGCAGGCTCGTGCGTCCCGAGGTCGATTTGATTGGGAATTGTCGCCAAGTGCTGCGGGACCGACCCAAAGAGACTCGTGAGAAAGCCGAGAAAGCAGACGCAGAGCGCGTCAGACGTCTTGACATCCGAGAGCGACGAAGACGACACGACGTCGGCGACGGCCGCACCGACACTGGGGGCTGGTGCAAAGAGATACGTGTCGGCGTGGGCGAGTTGCGGGTGCTGCACGGCGCGCAAAGCGAGTTCGAGGCTGCGCACTTTGGCCACTAGCGTCATGTAAGCCATAGGACCGTAAAACCACTTCTGGTACATACGAGGCAGCTCGGGCAAGTCTTGTTTGAACGGTGTGTATACTTCGTCGTGGTCAAGGTCGACAAGGACGGTCCGCGCTGCGTAGAGCTCGCTCGGGTACGTAAAGGACTCGTCCGGTGTCTTGAGAACGATGTTGGCACGCTGGAGGTTGCTCAAGCTGCTACCTAGTCGCCAGGTGGACGGGGCACTCGAACCTTGAACGAGAGTTACGAATGCGGTGCGTGTGGTTCTCAGCGCGGCGAAGGTGGATCGACGCCTCGAGGCCGATCAAGAGGGGCCCTTCGTGCTTGAGCTGCGCGGCGACGTTGGTCGGGCAGAAGGGCAAGTACGTATGCTACAAAAGATCGATGGGTGGCTAGAGAATACAGTGGGTCCGACTTTGAAGCGGAAGGGGGCAAAGAGCCGGAGAAGCGACTCGGCGCCGGTGAAGAGCGTGTCGCGTTGGCGCGCGATTAGAATCACCCGGTGCTCGACGAGGAGCGCAGTCAATGCCAGCACAATGTTCTACAACAGCTCGAGTCTATAGACATAGAAACAGCGGACCTGGACGTTGAGGTCGCGGAAGAGGGCGCTCGGGACGTCGTCGGCCGCTTGGGCGGGCGGCAGCTGCATACTGAGCGTAAACGCGCGATACAGTGGCTGTAAGACGATCTCGCGCTGGCGCTGCTGAGCTTCGTGGTACTGCCGATGGGCGTCTTCGACGGCTTTGACCCACACGGAGGCATCCTTCGTGTCCTGCGACCACTAGGTTGTATCCCTTTGCTCGGGATGATGTATCGTACGTGCGGAATGGACGGCAAGGACGCTTGAAGAAACGGTGCGAGGTGCCAGAACGACGTCGACGTGAGCACACACGTGAAGATGGGGAGGAAGACGAGCTGGTCGGGATCGATCTCGTTGTTGACGCGCCATGTCGTCAAGCAAAGTCCGTACCGGATGCCCGTCAGCGTCGGACACGCAAAGGCGTGGACACGGGGCGCTTCGGGGCTGCTGCGACGCGGTCGCAAGACGACCGGAAGGCGGTCCCGCACGAGGCAGAATTGCTGCCACCACCACTTAAGCGTCTCTCAGACAGATGTGAGTACCTTGATGTCGTCGTGCACGTCGTCGGCGCCGCAGCACAGATGGAACTCGTACTGGAACGCCGTGTCATTCACGGTCGCATAGAACGTCGTGCTGGTCGTCTTGGCGGGCGCAACGCCGATGCCAAACACAATCACGTGGAGGTCGAGGAGCGCATCGGTCGCGCAGACCACGTTGTATGCGGACGCGGGCAGTGAGCTCTCGATGCAAAAGCCTTTGGGCAGCGCAGACGAATGCTCGTCAAGAGCCGGCGAGAGCGGCAGTAGCACGAGGTGCTTGGGGTCGCGCTTGGGCGCATATGCTTTTCGGCCAAGAAGGTCGTCGTCGAGCCACGCGAGCTCGACGAGGAGCTGGATGCAGTGGAGAGAATTTTGAAAATTGGGGAAAATCTTGGCGCTGAGCCACTTGAGCACTTGGTCTTGCGCTCCCTTGAAGAGACTCACGTAGCGCTGGGGCGAGAATGGCTCGCCTTGGTACATGAGGATGCGTGAGAGCACGTCCTTCTTCGTCTCGTCCGAGACGATCGAGTGGTTGTTTTCGGCCAAGTAGACGTTGAAGAGGCGGCGGACCGTCACTTGGATCTCCTCGAAAAGGCTCAGCGAGAACGTCATGGACGGCGACACGAGCGGTACGAACGTTGTTTGCACGTCGACCCAGAAGAGGAGGTTGCTCACGCCATTCGGGTGGAACGTGCGCAGCCACTGCTCGAGGAACCGGAGCTTGATCGGGTTGCACTCGCAAAGCACATCCTGCAACGTCAGCGGGTAGCGCTCGCGGATCGCGTTGCAAAAGTCGCCAAACATATCGCTGCCAAAGAAGGTCGACCACTCGAGCGTCGCCTTGATGCACGTGTCGAGCTCGTGCCACATGTCGAGCGTCGTCGTCCGCTGGTCGACCGCGTCGAGGAGGGTTGTTAGCAGACCGCCGTCAAGGCACGACGTAAGGCGCGCATCCGGGGGCATCAAGTGGCTGCGCACCATGGCCTCGGCCTGCCCGCGATCCATGAGGCCAAGCTTTAGATCGGATCGTGGGAGTACCTGCTCTTGGCGCTTGGCCGCGTCGGGCTGCCGCTTGTACTTGTAGATGTCGGCGACGACGTTGTAGACGGCCTCGAGCCCGTGCTGGCAGAGGTACATGTACAGGATGCGATCATGCGGCGACCCGAGGAGCGCGTCGAGCGAGAGGTGCAGGTCCTCGCCGCTGTGCGTCTTCACCGTTTCCATGATCGCCGATCGAAAATAAATGCAATTTCACCTCTGACAATGTGGCTAATCGCACCCAGCAATCCCATGCTCCTCCACGAAAAATTCAACAATATGGAGGAAACGCGCGTGTAAATTCGCAAGGGTCTACTTGGTGTGCAGCGTCGTCTTGCGCTTGAGGAGCTGGAACGCGTAGCGCTTGGCTTCCATTGCGTCACAGCGCTGCTGCTGCGTGTAGAGACACGAAAACACCTTGAGCCCAGCGTCGTACGGGTTGATGTACGCGCGCTTCTCGTCCTTCTCGCGCAGCGCGGCTGTCATGGCCATGAGCCGCCCAAACGCATACCGCAGCTGCTCGTCGTTGCTCATGTCGGCCAGTTTTCCCTGGCGCATCGTCGTCACAACGAGCGACTTGTGCGCCGTCTCGCGCTTGTAGTCTTTCTGAAGGTACTTGGCGATCGCCGGCGTCACGGGCACAAAGCTCTCGTTGAGCTCCTGCCACCTGTACTCGATCCTCAGCCCTCCATTCGAACCATCCGCTTCCATGTCGTACCACGAAAAGTACAGAACGATCGTGGCTGCCACGAGGAGCGCCATGGCCAAAAACTGCTCGCGCTGGCCGACCTCGAGGATCACAAAGAGCACGCACGCCTACAAGGTGCACGTGTGAGGAGGTGGCGGCTGGATGGGTATAGAGCGACCTCAAAGATGAGGAGGCATGCAAACACAATGTTGTAGGCTGAGCGCGCGACGTCGCCGCGCCCCGAGCTCCGCGGGTGGACGTACAGGAGGTTGTACTTCATCGTGTAAAACTTCATGTAAAAGTAGAGAGCACCGAACGGCGTCAGGAGTGGCGAGAGCACAATGCCGAGGAGGGCGACCATAAAGACACTAGGAGAATAGCGTCCATGTACGTCCACCTCGCGTCATTTCCATGTGTACCTGAGCACGATCGAGTAATCGTAGCCATAGTAGAACGGCCACGGCAAATCGGCTTCCTTGGTTTCGGCGGCCGTGATCGCGCGGGCCTTGAGCCTAAGGACGCCGATACGACCACATGATGCAGAGATGAAGCGACAGTACCACGGCTGGTACACGAGGCGCTCGCCAATGCGCAGTAGCTGGAAGATCGACCCGAGAAACGCCCTAGACACCGTCATTACGTACTAAGAAGCAAGCCGACGAAGGTACCGCTGGCAGACGTAGGCGATGAAGAAATTGCGGCACAATTGAAACATAAACTTCTCCACGTACGCGACTTCGGACCCGCGGTCAAAGCCGCCTTGGCCGTTCGCCAAGTAGACCGCCGTGACGCCGATCGACGGCAAAATGATCGAGCTCTATCCTTGATGCTTGGAAAACGCAAGCTCAACAATGACGTACGAGGAGGAGGTAGGCAAAGCCCTTGCGCAGAAAACTGCGCTGGCGCTCCGACTCGGAGAGCCATGGCTCGAAAAACGACGTGTAAAATAGGCACGTGAGCAAGCACCAGTTGACAATGATCTACATCGCAGCGTACGCAAAGGTTGAGGAGGAACACGCAACGAACGAGCATGAGCGAGGGCAAGTAGGCCGTGATAAACTTGGTCACGACGTTGTTGACTTCGCGCGTAAAGAGCTTGTACACGGGGCTGTCGTTGTCGAGGTTGACGTAGATGAGGACCGCGGTCGGCGTCGAAAACACAACCAGAATGAAGAGCGTCGTGCACTGGTAAAAGATAAACTTGAGAAAGCGCTTGATGGACCGCGGCTGGTACGTCTGCAGAACCATGTCAGATCGAGGACCAGATACAATCTGCAATCGTACCAGATTGGTCCAGTTGACGTCTTGCGGCTCTGGCGCATTTTGCACGACAAGCGGCTTGAGCACGCTCAGATCTTGCGGCTCGGCGTTCTCCTCGAGCTCGAGCAAGTCGCGCTGCGAGATTTGCGGCCAGTGCAGCAGCTTCTTGGAGCGCTTTGCCTTGGCCACGAGCTCCAAAAACCGGCCTTTGGCCTCGGTCTATACGCACACAACCATAGTCTGCGTGACCACAGCAGTGGAACGTACGCTGCGAAAGACGACAAACGCCGCGCCCGTACCCCGCCGCTGCGCGTAGAGCTCGAGAACGTGCTAGATGCACGCCACTTCAATGACCACAAAGGCGAGAGGAAGCACGTACCTTGGGGAACGAGTTGAGGCGGTGATGAATGGCTTCGGCGCGCTGGCGGTCGCGCGGCAAAGCGAGCTCCAGAATGCGCTCAATGTCGCGGTCGCCGCTGTGGTTGGGCGAGTACTCGATCGCGAGCGGGTGGCGCCCACCCGAGCGCGCGCAGCACAGCGCCTTGCACGGAAGGCACTGCGTGTACGAGCGAAAGACGTTGGGGATCGACGGACAGCAAAACGACCCGGGGCACCAAAGCATGAAGCTCGGGAGCGTCCCGGACTGCTGCTTGGCGTACGTTTGCAAGAGGCGGTTGTACTCGCTCCGGAGCGCGACGCGCTCGTCCAAAATTCGATACAGCGCCTGGAGGTCGTGGACAGCAACCGCGGTTTTGATGTCGTCGACCGGAAAGAACGTTGCGAGCTGCCGCTTGAGCTGGTAGCTGCTCCACTCTTTCGGAAGGCCAGCGTGAATGAGGATGCTGCGTGCGCCGAGCATGCGCGTGGCGTCAACGTGCAAGCGGCGCCCGACCGCATTTTGCCTAGTGCAATACATGAAGGTAACAATTGGCGGGTTGTACAGACCGCTTGAGGAGAAGGATGATGAGGGCGGCGGTGACATAGCACATGGCCACGTGGCCCCAGTACCACGGGCTCTGGAGCGGCACGTTGCCGATCGTCGTCTGCTGGAACGCGACGATATTACCGTCGCGGCTGTCGCGGCCCGAGACGTAGTGCTATACACCATTCGAATGAGAGATTCTAGGATGCTAGGGAAGATGTACGATGGGCATGAGGACGCCGATGCTGAGAACGCTCATGATGGCGAAGAAGTGGGCCATGTCCTTTTGCAAATGCATGCTCAGCGCAGCGTCGACGCCGGCAATGTCAACGACGTCCTTGCTGTCGCACGGCAGCGCGAAGAAGCGCTGGAGGCGCTCGCAGACCGTGGGCGCACAGATCGATGCGTACTTGTCCTGGAACTTGATGGACGTCAAGCCTTCGTAGTTGAACTTTTCAAAGAGTCCTTCGCGGTGGGCGTTCCAGAAGGGCACTGCGAGCTGCGGCCAGACGCGGCGAAAGAGGAAGAGGAGAAAGCCGGCGCCAAAGACGGCAACGTTGAGCTGCACTTGGAACCAGATACCTTCCCAGCCGTCGTTGGCGTTGAGCACGAGGATCACCGACTCGTCGTGGTTGGTCTCGTAGACCGGGCCTTCCGCGAGATGGTACTGGATGTAGTAGCGACCTTCGCCGTGGCCCACAATGTTGAAGGCCGATGCATTCGCGCCTACCGCCGTCGTATGATGAGACGACAGCATCGACCGACGCTAGGTAATACCCGCGGGGATGCGCACGGGGTTGGGCGTAATGACGGGGAAGCTATCAACGTCAGCGCCACCGCGGCTCGTGAGGATCATCTTGACCAGAAGGTCCGAGGTTGGCGGCGGGTCGCAGGAGACGCCGGTCGTGATGTTGCCGCCGACGACGAGCACGAGGCTGCCTGACGGGAACTTGAGTTTGCCGGCGTCGACGAGGGCGGCCAGCGCCGTCCACGCGACGAGAGCGTGGCGCAGGAGCAGCATCCGATTTCGTTCCTGCTGCTGCTTGCGACCGATTGTGTTGCGTTGAAAAAGTCACAACCCCGACACGCACTTGATCGACATCATCTTGCGATTTGTATGGAGCTCGGTAAAGTACGGTTTGCACTTGGCGACGACCCTCTGCAAGCGAGTCGATCTTTCGCGGATCCAGCGATGGCACGACTAGTATCCCTCCCACATCCAGGCTCTAGCATTTGCGTGTGATGTTCTCGTTCTGAATTTGCTGCCAAAAGAAGCAGCCAGACTACCAGAATGTGATTTTGACCACCAAATGTGGACAGGCGACTCTACCAGAACGGCCCACAACGCGACAACAGAATGTCGGGCACGGAGGACTGAGGCAGTGCATTTCCTGAAGATTGCTCTTGACAGTTTTCGCCACCAACTTGAATCATGGCACCAGCTCATGCGCTCGCAACGTACCATAGCTCAATGCACCCCGTGCAACAGTCGACGAAGCCACTCGTCGTTGACCAAGGTAAAATTACCCCTGTCCCTGACGTTATGGGCTGGTCAACGTTGGAAGGGGCGCCAACGTCGGATCGTCAAAGGGCTTATCTCACAATACGCGTCTCAAAAGCAACGACGACAAATTGAAGAACGTGGATTCTCACTAGTCCTCGTCCCTTTCCAAACGAGATGATTGCCCTCTTGACTACAACCTACGAAGTCACGTCCCTCACAGTAACGTTTGGTGCAATTGTCCGGAGTTGATACTAGGCCGTGCAGGCGACAGTGTCCAACGCCATGGCCGGGGCATGGGTGCATCATGGTATCCCGGGTCCGCGGTGACCAATACTTTTCAAAACGTTACCGCCGACAAATCCTCATTTTCGAAAGTTCGCGACGCGTATAGGGCTGGGTTAATGAAATCTTCGCTCTTTTCTCAAAAAACTGCAGCGGAGTCGGCGATCAGGCAGCAGCAGCCGGTTCCAGCAGCTGGACACCATCAAGATGTCCAAAGTTCAAGATGGCCTTACCACGAGGCTGGTGGTACGGCCCATTTATGATGCCTCGAGATGGAGCGTGCGATCGCCAGGTCCACTAAGGCACATGTTGCGACGGGTACATGCGTGCAGTTAGTTGCTCCGAGCCTTTGCCAGCAAATCGCTTTCGACGCATGAGAGTCATCTGCCCTTGCACGGAGGTGTCGTGCGACACCCTCGGTCCCCAAGATGGAGGGACCCAAGTAATTACTGTTGCTGGCGCTGCCACTATGATAAAAATTACCTCTAAAGTTCGCACCTCCTCCGAAGTCCAAAATCGACGCCTTGTGAACCGCCAATTTATTTGAAACAGACGGTCGTTTCACCACATGTTGTGTCCAGTTAGGTGACGTGGGCAGTGCTTCAGTGCGCATTTCGGCCACAGCTACAGAAGTGTATGGCGACCGCGCTCTTTCTCCAAAAGACGTTCGAGATGCTCAACGTCTCACAACCCGATGTGGCGGCGTGGACGCCAGACGGTCGTGCGTTTAATATCTACGACCTCAAGACCTTCGAGTCGACGATGCTCGTGCGCTTCTTCCGCCACGGCCACTTTAGCAGCTTTGCGCGCCAACTGCGCTTCTATGGTTTCACCAAATGCCGGCGCCACCAGCACATCGAGAAGGAGCCGGCGTGGGAGTTTACGCACCCCCACTTCCAGCGCGACGACCCGATGCTCATGGTGTGCATCACGAGAAGCACCAACCCGGCCATGAAGGCAAGCAATAACAGTTCCAACAACGAAGTCCACGAGCTCCAGCACCGCGTCGAGACGCTGGAGAATAACATCTCAGCGCTCACTACCCAGCTGGGTTTGCTCACAAATGTGCTGTTATCACGCGGCATGGTGCCTCCGACGGCTCCGATCGAGGATACGACAACGACCGCACTGAGCGAATTCTTGTACACCGACGAGTTTAGCGGACTCTAACACGCTCCCTGCAGCTTCTTGCGCCATGATGAAGTGATTGCGCACCTGCTACCTCGTATCTCGTACCTTTTACATAAGACTACGTAACGACAAGTGTGATAAATTGTGATGGCTCGTTGTTTATCACGACACGTGGCAAGTTGGGACTAGAAAACAACACGCATGGTGCTAAGTTCTTAGTTGCGCGCAACGTTGCAGACACCGGTGCACGTCGCACCCTTGAGCTGCCCGCCGTTGGTCGTGCCCGTCAGCACCTTGTACGCCTTGGGCTCGAGCTCGACATACGCGCCTTTCGTGAGCCCAACACCGGACGCTTGGAACGAGATGACGCACGTCACCTTCTTCCCGAGGTAGCTCACGCTCATCGACTTGTCGCACGACGGAGTGTAGACGTTGTTCCCCGGCGGCTTGGGCGACCCGCAAAAGAGCGTCGAGGCCGGCCACCGCCCGCGAATGCCGGGGCAGTCGACGCCGACGTGGCTCTCGACGGCCAAGTTGACAAGGATCGGAACGGCCGCTTGGACGGTCGCGAGCGTGGCGGCGAGAAGCGTCAAAAGCTGCATACTGGAAAATGAAAAATGACATCACCCGCAAGACTTGACTAAGCTCGTCGCTAGTACACCTAGCCGCCGCATGGTTTGTCCGTCCCTTCTGTATTGCCACGTGGTCGTTCGATCGCAGCTAGCAACAGCGCAGCCATCGAACGCGTTCGAATGGCCGACGAGATTGGAGGTGTTAAAACCAGAACAATTTTGTACTTGGTTGCTGAGGTATCCCACGCCACGGTATTCGTGCGAGTTAGAAATCCCACCATTGCCGCTGTGTACGGGGCAAAGATCCCGACGGTGCTAGAACCACGGACGTCCCAGACCAAACACTCAGTGACTATACTAAATCTGAGCCAAGCACAAGTCTGATCCTTACAACGCGCTGCACGTATTGCACGACATGTGTTTTCACTCTGCGTGCATATGGGCTACGGTCTTTATGGAACCAAGCGTGCGGTGCCGAATGCAGGATCTGGGTGAGGGTGATGCCCACGCCTTGTATCTGTAGAGCTCAGGACCAGACTCAGACACAGGTCGACCCAAGATCTAGCAGGATACCATGCAACGATCGTTGTGGGGAGGTTGCGAGCACGTGGAGTTGCTCTGTTGTTTGAAAATCAAATGACGTTGTTGAGACTTTAGGCCGTCTTGTAGACGGAAATGTAGTGCGTGCCTTGGCTGGCACGGCGGCTGTCCTGCTTGGCGAGCCGGTCAAAGTACGACGACGATTTGGTGTCGGCGACGCCGCACTCTTTCGGGGGGTCGCCCATGTACAGATGGAACGACCCATTGGTCGTCTCGAGAACGTTGGCCTTCTTGAGGACGACGCCCTTGACACCGTGCACGCGCGCGATAATCTTGAGCAGCATTTGCGCATACCACTTGTTGTCGGTCACGATCGTAAGCCGACCGTTGGGCTTGAGCAAGCGCGCGCAGTCGGTCAAGAAGCCTTGGGTCAAGAGGTGCTTGGCCTGCGACGAGTCGCCACCGGTTTGCTGCGGCGGCTCGGGAAAGTTGATAAACATGAAATCCACAAGACCCGGCGTCAGATGCTGCGGGACGGCCACCGACGCGTCACCCGCGACAATGCACAAGTTGTCCACGCGCTCAAAAACCGCTTGCGTGAAGATCTGGTACACGCGGTCATGGCGGATCTCGAGCGCGACCCAGTTGGCGTTCGGATCTTTCTTGGCCTGGGACACGACCCACTCGCCCGCGCCGGAGCAAATCTCCATCTTGATGGCCTTGGTGCTCTTCTTCCCAAAGACCTTGTCCATGCGGATGACGGCATTATCGCGAACGAGCGACTTGAATGCGGGGACAACGGCCTCTGTCTGATCGGCGTCGTGCTTCTTGAGAATAGCTCGGAGACCCATCGTGTCGAGCACACCCGTGCCGAGGGCGGCCGGGAGGTCCTCGGTCGTCGTCGCAATCGGAATCAAGAACACGCGCTTGAAAAAGTCCACGAGCGTGGCCCAGCACCCAGCTTGGTCGGCGCTGTCAAAGTACGCTTGGATCACACCGAGCTCGCGCCGGAGTTCTTCGCGGCGGTGCTTGAGAAACACGACGAGCGACTCTTGGCGCGTCTCCGACTGCGCACCCCACCCACGCTTGCCGCCCTCGGCAGTCGTGGCCGCCGCCGACGCCGATGACGGATCGTCCTTGGCGGCGTCAAGCGCGTCGAGGCAGGCTTTCGTCATCGCCAAGTACTTTTGCGCGTTCGTCCAGTCGCCGAGGATCGTGGCCGCGCGCGCAATACTGAGGAGGACGTTCGGGTTGGTCGACATTTCTTGACCAAGCGCCATAAGACCTTTCCCAAAGAGCGACAGTGCCTTCTTGAGCTGGAGGTTGCGGCAGCAGAGGGCGATCATGTACTCCCACGTCGACACATCCGGGATAACCTTCCACTTGGGCATGTCGTCAAAGATCTTCTCAGCGTCCGAGACCGCGCCAACAAGAATGCAGCCGCGGAGTAGCGTGTTGATTGTGCGGACGTTCAAAAGCACGCGCTTCGTCTCCATCTCCTTGACATACGTGAGCGCCGTCGAGAGCTTGCCTTCGCCGCAGAGACCCTTGAGCAGCGTCGTGTAGGCCACGACATCGGGCTCGATCTTAGCCGTCTTCATCGCGTTAAAGACACCGACCGCCGCGTCCATTTCTCCGCAGCGCACGCACACGTTCATCATGTTGACGTACGTGTACGAGTTGGCGAGCTTGGCGGCGCGCGCGCGGTCGTACACGTCGTTCGCCTCGGCAAACTGCTTTCGGCTCGCAAACTGCGCGAGCTCCTTGTTGAGCTTGACCGTCTCCGGGTTGTCCTTTTGCTTCTTCTGCATCGGCTTCTTCGTTGGCGGACCGCCCTGTGCGCCATCCGTCGCCTTGCGCTTCTGGAACGGCTTGCTTTGCTGGTTGTTCTTGCCGGCGTGCGGCCCCTTGCTCTGGTTGCCCGCGTTAAAGTGGCCTGCCGGCTTGCTACCCTTGGTATGTTCCTGAGCAGGCTGTTTGGGCTTGTTAAACTTGGACTTGGCCGCCTCCTTGGGCTTGGACGCTTCCTTGGGCTTGGACGTTTCCTTGGGCTTGGACGCTTCCTTGGCCTTGGATGCTTCTTTTGCTGCCGGCGTCGCCTTGGGCGTCTTCTTCTCGGTCTGTGTCTTACCCTTGGACTTCTTCGCTTGGGCCTGCGCCTGGGGCTTGGTCTCCTGTGGCGTTGTGGACATGGCCGTGGTCGCGCGAAATCCCGGTTGTGTTGCCACCAATTGTGTGAGACCGGATCATCCGGATAAAATTTGAACCGCGCGAGCCAAAACATCTATTGGGCGAGTGCTATGGGTCTACGCTTGGGACCGCCGGAACTCTTCGTGCATACGCCGGGCCTACACGTTGCTTCAGATGCCACTGAAACATAGGCTCAGACGCACCAGGTCGAGCACACTGCGGTCCCGAGAGCTCGTGATGCTGGCACAGAGATGACTAACCCGTCGAGATGGAGGTCCGTACACTTTGAAAAAGTGGAACGTCGCGTCGTGGCGCTGCTGCTTTAGCGCGTGGTACTTGGTGTGCTGCAGTAAGTGCTGGAGGAGCGCCAGGAGCGCGGCGTATACCGAAGGTGCGATCGTATCGCAGAGTCCATCTGCACAGTCCGCGCTCAATCCACAAGCCACGACAAGATCGACGCACCGGAGGCGATGATCTTGAGCAATGGGACAACCAAGTTGCAGCCCACAAGCACCGATGTGCCCCTGGAACTATAATGGGAGGTAGAACGCTGCAGCAATATGTGTCCTTGTATACCTGCTGGCCATAAGGCCAAAAATCGGAACCAGTTCTTGGAGCATGCTGCACGGAATCATGACTGCAGTAGATGAGCGCAATTCGACCGAGAGCGCTCGTGATGGATACCAGTGAGAAGAGTGAGTTTGATGAAGATGCTCTCGACGGCCGCGAGGATCGATGGCAGGAGCAAGCACGCGGGGTCGTGCAGGACGCTCCCCAGGGTTGACGCGATGCACTTGAGCGTCATCGGGTCGGCGTCCGAGTCCAGCTAACGAAGACGCTTGCGACCTCTGCTGCATACGTATCCGTGTGTTACCATGTCTTGCAGGAACGAGTCCATCGCATGGAGCACCGGAACTTGCGTCATCGGGTTCAATTGATGTCCATGGGCCAGCGCGTAGGTCGTCGCTTGGACACACGAGAGAAGAAGTTGGCGCTGGTTCGCATGCTCGCGGGACGTTGTATCCATCGAGATGGCGAGGTAGTCGTTTTGCAAGCCCGCGACCTGGTTCTCGAGCTCATGGACCCGCGCATCTCGCTTGTGCAACGCTGCTGTCGTCGATGCATGCTTCTCCTGGAGCGCTTGCACCTGCTTGAGGAAGCGCGGGAGGTCCCTAGGTTCCATGCCCATGAGCTTCCTTTCTCGGCCTCATCCTCATGCGCATGGCAGTACTCTCCGAGGACGTCGGCCAAAAGCTTGTCCGCGCTCATTGCTGTGTTTCGAGAAGATCGCGTTGCGGTCCGGAATCTCTCCGGCTGTATTTCCAGCTGGTTAAAAAATTGCATAAAACAGCCAAGTTGACGGTATTTAATTTCGTACGTCGACCTTGGCGCGACGCTTTCGGCTAAACAAACGCAGCTTTAATGAATCCTAACCACACAGGCGCAAGCGCAGCGTTGCAGTAGAGCAGGACAATCTATTCCTGCCTGTCACAAGTCGACCTCCGCGATCCATTCAGGAGATCCTTGGTCGAGGCTACTTCGTGGGTGTCGCAGCCCGTGCCTTCGCATCACGTTCTCGAGCGAAAAGTTGCGTGTTATTAATGCCTGCCAACGCGCACGTCGTCATCGTTGGCTCTTTTTAATTCATTTAGGCACAACTTACTTGGTATTTGTATGTATCAATAAATATGGAATAAAATCGAGTCGGTGGAGTTTAAACAGGGTAGAATCTGTCCCACGGATGAGCCAATGAGCCGGCGGCAGTAAACAGTCTCCAAGTCAACGAAGCAGCGGCAAGTCGCAGCCCGTTCGCCTACCGCCTACTACCCACGTCCAAGGTCCTCCCGCAGAGACCTGCAGATCGTCGTAGCGTTACCCTCCGAACGCTCACCCACGCCGTCTCTACCTGCTTTATGCTCAAGGACTGCCCGCAACACCAGTGGATCACCGCCCGTAGTCACGAAACCCGCGCCGTCTCCTGTCAAGACACGTAAGCGCCTGACGACAACCAACCGAAGAAGAATCAACATGAGCGACGGACGTATGTCCGCCGCCGCCGAGGGCGATGGCTTCGCGGCCTTGAGCTCGGCGACGCTCGCCCACGTCCTCGGCTACCTCGACGTGGGCGACAAGGTGCGCTTCTTGAGCACGAACCGCACGAATGCCTGCGAGCCGCTGGCGCGTCGCATGCAAACGTTCTGTGGCGCCTGCGATGCGTGCAAGGCCAAGACCGAGTACCTCTGCGCATCGTCCCGCGAACGCCGCTGGACCGTGGAAACGTGGGCCAGCATCTTCCAGCGCTTTGGCCATGGCATCGAAGAGCTGCACCTCGTTGGCTGCGATGGCATCGACCCGAGTGTCTTTGAATCGGCCGAGGCCCAGGCAATGCTGCGAAACATTGTCGTCCTTCGTCTCGAGCGCTGCGCGAATTTGCCCGTTGAGGCCATCGCAAAGCTCGCTCAGTTTTGCACGCGGCTCCGCGAAGTTCGCCTCCGCGATCTTGGCATCGACGACGCCACCGTGTCTGCGATCGTCTCGGCGAACGCGTCGACCTTGCGCGTCCTCGACCTCCAGGGCTGCCATGCGATTACTGGCGCTTGCTTGGACGTAGTCGGTGGCTCGGCCGTCGAAGATCTCAGCCTCCAGAACTGCCACAACGTTGCAATGGCGCACGTGGAGGCCGCGGCGCCGCATTGTGGCCATATGAAGCGCCTCAACCTGCGCTTTTGCCACAAGGTGACGGACAGGTACTGTTGCGGATCTCGCCTCTTGCTGCAAATTTTCTTATTGTTTATACTTAGTGTCGTGGCTTGTATTGCAAAGCACATGCCGCTGCTCGAAGACGTCAACCTGCGTTATTGCTACAAGATGACGGACGCCGCTGTCTCGGCGCTCTGCGCGGGCACGCCAAAGCTCCGGAGCTTAAACTTGTCGCAATGCTGGCGACTGACGGACGCGGCCATTTGGGAGCTCGCCAAATCGCTTTCGTTGCTCAAGGAGCTCCGGCTCTGGGGCTGCATGAAGCTCACGTCGGCTTCTGTTGTCGCGTGCTTGACGCTGCCGAGTCTGACGCTTGTCGACATTCGCAGCCGCGACAAGCTCGAGGCGGTCATTGGAGGCTTCTCGACTGTCAAGCACGTCATGGAGAGCCACCGGTCGACGCTGCTCAAGTGGGAGCAGAGCGGCGACAAAGTCGGCGTCTTTCACCGCAAGGCCTTTGTGCCCCAGCGCGCCCAAGTGCTCCAGCGCTGCTAAGACGATGTATCGACCAGCCGAGACGAAGCCGCGTACTGCTGCATATCTGTTAACACATAACACAAATACTACATATCTTCTTGCATTGAGTGATGCCTTGTCCACGTCGACGGTGAACCGACCGAGTCGCGCTATCGAGAGATCGCTAGACGTACGCAACACACGTAGAGATTATAAGTCAAAAGAGGACTCATGGTAGCATCTACTTGCGCTTGGGCACCCAGACCCAGCGCATTTCGCACTCGACGGGGCTGTCGCCGGCCGAGTCGGTGACAACAACGTTCACGAGCACCTCGCCCTTGTCCGACTTTGCGATTTCGTCGCGCTGGGCGTCCGTGAGCGTCGCAACAGCCTTGAGATCGCCCTTGGCGCGCTTGACGTAGCTCATCGACATGGACTTGAGCAGCGGGAGGTGCGAGTCGCGCACGTTCATGCCAAAGACCATGCCCGACGCCGACTCGGCGAGGAGCGCCATGCCACACGCGTGGACGCCGCCAATGTGGTTCTGAACGCGGAACGAGTTCTTGAGCGACACGACGCTCTTCTGCTCCGTGAGCGTCTCGACGTGGATACCGGCGACGCCGGCCATCTTGACCTGCGCGTTGAACGCCGTGCTGAGCGCGCCTTCGCGGAGAAAGGCCGGCGCGCTGCTGCTGTTGATCTTGGCGACGAGTTTCCCGAGCTTGTTCACAGGGCCAGACATGCTACTTGTTCGGCAAGGTCGAAAGTGGGTCGCTCTCGACCGGTCGCTGGTTCCCCGATCGCGTGTTTCGCAAACATTCCTTGGGTGTTGTCACCGCAGTCATCCCGAACTGCAATCTGACGGATCCAACCGCCAACCGCTCGGTTAGACGAGCCGAACCTATCCACTCAGTTAAGTTCCCAACGTCTGGTGTTGAAGAGTGAGCTTGCTCTTGATGGCAACCAGCTCTATGCTAGAGGTTCTACTAAGCGTCCTAGTATAGTACATTGCACGACGCCAACGCTACGCCAAAGCCAGCTACATTTATGAATGCAAGAAGCTAACAAACTTGGGCTGTAGAGGAGGGTGACCTCCTTGTTGTTGTACAGCAGCTCAGCGACAATACGGTGATGCATGATAATGCCAGTAAGTGACATGGAGAAGTGGGCTCTTGTACGGTCCAACTGCATTCTTTCGAGGCCCTTCTTAAACGCGACAAGGCCGCCGATCGACCTCGTTGTGCTACCACCAGCATATAGAGGCGAAGCACAATAACGGTAATACACCGCCTGACAAGAGACGAAGCACAATAGTTCTCCAGTGCTAGCACGGTGCGATTACGCTGTGCCTTGAAGTCGTTCGGGCAACCAATGGCCAACGGTTGCCGACAACGTTCCTTGATCGCGCAATTCGCGATCTTGGCCACGAGGCGGTCGCTGGAAAAAGTTTGTGGCGCAGTCCCGTACCATGGGTCATTGACCCATGCCCGTACGTTCCGTACCGTTCATTGCCCAGCTGCACCCACGCGATTGTATAACAACAGCTTACCCACTTGACCGTACATAAATGTACGCCAATGTACGTACGCTGTCCCACCTCGCGCAGGATACCGTGGCTTCAACTTCACGGTCATTCGGGATTTTCATCCGCCGCTGCCATGTCCAACAACGCGCCGTCCGCCAACACCACACTGCTACTCAGCGTCGCCGTCGCTGCTCTCACGCTCGCATGGGGCGGGACCATGGGTCTCCTCCTCGGCCTGCACCTCCAGCAGCAGCAGCAACCGGCAGCGTCGTCGGCCAACAGCGAGAGCAAGGACGGCAAGCGCACTGTCGACAACCAAGAGCCGCGCCGTGACCGCGTCGAGTCGCGCCGAGGACGCGAGACGTCCATTACGAACGGCGAAGACGTCAAGCTCATGGACAAGCATGCGCTCGTCGACGTACGTATCGCCGAAATCCGCCCGCTTCTACCGCCCGCATGCCTCCTCGAAGAGATTCCGCGCACGGTTGAAATTGCTCGCACGGTCAACAAGGGTCGCCAGGGCGTCGCCAACATCCTTCGCCGCGTGGATGACCGCCTTGTCGTCGTCGTCGGCCCCTGCTCGATCCACGATGTGGAGGCGGCCAAGGACTATGGTACTTCCGAAGACCCTGCGTGACGATGATGACTCATATTGTGTTGCGTCGTTTAGCTGCCAAGCTGAAGCCGATCCAAGTAGCGATGGAGAAGGATCTGCTCATCATCATGCGCGTGTACTTTGAGAAGCCGCGGACGACGGTCGGCTGGAAGGGCTTGATCAACGACCCGGACATTGATGGCACGTTCAACATCAACAAGGGTCTCCGCGTCGCGCGTGAGCTCCTCGCCGAGATCAACGAGATGGGCCTCCCGGTGTGCTGATTCTTATAGCTGGGATCTTGTTGCTCACGCGGATGTATTCGTAGGCGGGCTGCGAATTCCTCGATACGATTTCGCCGCAGTTCTTTTGCGACCTTGTGAGCTGGGGCGCGATCGGCGCGCGCACGACCGAGTGCCAGCTCCACCGCGAGCTCACGTCTGGTCTCTCGATGCCCATTGGCTTCAAGAACGGCACGGGCGGGTCGCTGCAATTGGCCGTCGACGCTGTCGTCTCGTCGGGCCACCCGCACTGCTTCCTCTCGGTCTCGTCGCAGAGTTTGGCGGCGATCGTCAAGACGACGGGCAACGACTGCTGCCACGTCATTCTTCGCGGCGGTAGCACCGGCCCTAACTACGCGGCCGAGCATGTCGAGAAGGTGTCGGCGCTCCTCAAGAAGGTCAACCAGCCCCAAAACGTCATGGTCGACTGCTCGCATGGCAACTCGAACAAGGACCACAAGAACCAGCCGCTTGTCGCTGCCGACCTTGTACGTCTCATCCTCATTCATACAATAGCTCACGTCCTTGTAGGCGCGTCAGATTGCGGCGGGCAACGACCGCATTTGCGGCATCATGCTCGAGTCCAACATTGTCGAAGGCGCGCAAAAGCTCATTCCGAACGCGCCGTTGGTCTATGGCCAGAGCATCACGGACGCTTGCATCGGCTGGGAAGACACGGTACGAGACCCGGCGACCTTGCGTCTTTTCTTATTCTCTTTGCTCTTAGCTCTCGACGCTCGAAGTGCTCGCGGACGCCGTGCGCCAGCGCCGGGTCGTCAACAAGGCCAACAAGTAAATAGTGTAGTTGATGATTATTAAACGAGCCAATTCATGGTGATTACCGTGCGTTCTGGGAGCTTGACCCGCGCTTGGCACTGCGCATCGACTGCAGCGGCGCGCGCGAGAAGGGCGAAATCACGCGCGCACTCGCCTCCTTAAGCGCCGCGAGCTTGGCGCGCTCTTCCTCATACTCGTCCTGCAGCACGGCTTTCTCAAGGGCCTCCGACGTCGCCGGCCTAGACAAGCCATCAATACCAGAGTTGCAAACGACGCTACGCGTACGCGGGCTTTGGCTCGTCGTCGTTGAACTCGTCAATGGTCATCACCCCCTCGTCCTCAGTGACCGAGCTTGTTGCCTTGGGCGGCGCTTCGTCGACAGCTTGGACCGACTCGTGCAATTCGGCGCTCGGTTTGGCCTCGTCGTCATTGTCGTCTGTGGGCTTGGCCGTCGCTTCAGCATCCCGTTGAGTGGTGCCTTCGGTGACCAATGACGCCTCGGCAGGTGCATGCTTGGCCAGCATCTTTTGCAGCATTTTGCGCGCCAGTGCCGCGCGAGCAATCGACTGAATAGACGTCGCGGCCGTTGCCGTCGCTTCCTTTTCTTTGGCGGCTGCGGCGTCGTACTGCGACACACTCACGTCGTGGATCATACTGAGAAGACCAGCGATGCGCGCTTGGACCTCGGGGGGCTGAGCCTCGCGCGCCGCCGTGAGCTGCTTCATGGACGCTTCGTACGCGTCTTTTGAAAGCTGCCGCGGAATCCTATCCGCGGACTTGCCGACTTTGAAGGCGACGAGCTTGGCATGGAGTGCGTCCGTGACCTTGCGCGTGTGTACCTCGGCGAGCGTCGGCTTGTGGGCAATGACAACGGGCGGCGCTTGCAGCTGCGCCAACCGCGCATCGACGAGGCGGTCAATGCGCCGCGACGCAGCTTCGCGCCGCGCAAGCATGCCCCGCGCAACGCTCTGAAGACGTACGAGCGCTGCAAGCACGGTTGCATTCTCCGGTCGCACGTGCGCGGGCAACGTCTCCGTGCGCAGGCTCTACACCATGTGCTCGTATCAACTTGATACAAAACGCATTTTACTTGAATCTGGCCTTTCTGCGCGGCCAAGTCGATGACAAGCTCGTCGATGACCGCAAAGTGGTGCATGTCGTCGTGCATGGCGGGAATGATTTCGATTTCCAAGTGCCCGTTGGTCTCAAACACCAAGAACGATCCTGGCAGCTCATCGCCTACGACCAGATGCCATCCGCCATTTCTCAGCAAACGGCAACGATACCAGAGTGTACGTCGTGCAGCAACACGCGGTGGAGGTCGATGTTGCCAAGTTCCGAAGCGATGACGCGGCGCACGTCGAGTGCGGTGGTATCGCGCGTCACGGGCACCAGCACGTCGTGGCCTTGCAGACGCAGATGCCAGCTGTGCGGATGGGCGAGACGCGATCGCGTGAGAAAGCCCTTGGTCACGCGACGGATCGTCGTGGCCGCGGCGTGCAGACGACGCAATTGCGCGTCCTCGCTTGGCGCTGGTGTAGGTGCCTCGGGCATTGGAGGAGCTTCGACCACCGCTGGCGGCGTCTCGATTTCGACAAGAGTTGGTGCTGGGGCAGGCACCGGCGCAACCACTGGCGCTGCCACCGGTGTTGGTTTCGGCGGAGGTGCTTCCACAACCACGGGTTTGGGCGGTGCTGCCTTTGCTGGTACCGGTGTCGGGACAACGTCAGGCACTTGGATCGATGGCTGTCGTACCAGACAGGGCGGTGGTGCTTGCTTGGGCTCTTCAGCAGCTACAACTGGTGTCTCCACGGCTGGCGGCGGGCCGCGTTCGACGACCACGACAGTAGGGGCCGCGGACGGTGGGAGACCGTAGTCGAGGCCGTACTTTTGCGCTTCGAGCGCCATCAAGTGCGTGAGCGTGAGTTCGTTGGTCGTTTGCTTTTGCTTTTCGTCGAGAAGCTGCTTTTGGAGCTGGAGCTCGCGGGCCGCCCACTCGCGCTGCTCGGCCTCGAGCTCAAGTCGCCGCGCGAGCTCTTTCTCTCGCTGCTGCATGAGGTCTTGGACCATCTCGCGCGTAAGTTTGTCGTCGGTGTCGTGCATAACGTGGCCAATGTGGTCGGCGGGCCGCGGCTTGGCCTTGAGAATTTCCTCCGTAAAGTGCATCCACTCGGTCTGCGTCTTGGCCTGCATGTCCTGCAGCGCTTGCTGCATGCGCGCCATTTGCTCGACGATGCTCTGCGCAAAGGCGTTTTGCTGTTGTTGGAGCAGCTGCGTCTCTTTTGCGCGCTCTGACTTGTCCTGAAGGAGCTGGGCTTGCAGCGTCTCGAGCTGCTTGGTGAGGGCCGTCGTGTTGGCGGCTACGAGGGCCGACACCAAGCTGACATCGGATGCAGCGGGCTTGGCTGGCTCAACCATTACTGGTGGCGTCTCGATCGGCGGTGGTGCTTGCACGGGCGGCGGTGCGTGTACAGGGGGCGGTGCCTGGAGCGGTGGAGGTCCCTAGCTAATTGCTATGGCTTCCGTAAGGCACGAGGGCGACGTACCGACTTGGTCGCTCTGAGTTTGCTGTAGTCGTCAAAGTGTTTTTTCTTTTGGTGCTTGACGAGGTACTCGGTCGAGAGAAATTTCTTGTTGCAAAACACACAGTCGACAGCTACACGCCGTGGCTACAGACGGTGCAGATGGGAGGTACGTACGCGCCGGTGTTGGTGACGTCGCGGGCACGGACGCGCTGCGCTGCTGCGTGAGGAGCATCATTTCAAAGGTCGCAATCGTATTTTGCTTTTGCTGGATCTCTTGCTTGAGCAATTTGACTTCGGCGTCGAACGTTTGGTTCTCGGCCTCGAGCGTCTTGCAGTCGGCAGCGACGTGGTCGCACTGCGTCTCGAGGTCTTCCGTGTGAAGCACCAGCGACTCTTGAACGTTCAAGAGATACTCGACAGTCAGCTACCGTGTCGTCGAAACGGCAGTGCAAACATGACGCACGTGTACCTGCGCGACTTGGAAGAGCTTGAGAAAGTACTCGTCCGAGTACTGGTTGACGTCCTGGAGCGTCACGTCCGAGAAAGCCAAGTTCTCCAAGTGGTTCTACTCGACCGGCTGTGGTAAAGCAGGGCTTGGCGAGTGCGTACCTGAATCGTGTCAATGTCGGTCTCCCGCACGACCTTGTTCAGGTCGATTTGGGCGATGGTCCGCGTGTCGAGTTTGCCTTGGCGCTGCCGAAACGAAAAAGGCCGCGGCGGCAGCTGGATGGCTCGGCGGTTCTGCGTCGCGCGGTTGTACGCCATGGCCATCGGGCTGGACTCGGACCGCTTGCGAGTCTCATGGCGCTTGTGGAAGGCCGAGTGCAGCTGCGTCAGCGGCGAGAAGAGGCCCGTGGAAGGAAGTCCATCGCGCGCATATCGGCCATCGCCGTGTCGCTCGGCGCGCGTCGCTGGCTGCCGCAGGTACCGAGGGTCCATGGCCACGCTGCCGTCTATACTGCAATTTCGAAATGGCCGCGATCTTGTAACAATATGGCCAATCAGAGATGCCCGAAGGCAGAATCGTAGTTATGATTGGTTGAAATTAGTTGCCACCAGGTGTCATCACATTGCAACACGAAGCTGCATGGGCACTTGCTGCAGCTCGTTCAGGTGCATGAGCAGCCATGGACGAGGCAGCTTCCACTCGACTCTCCAAGGCACCAGTTTTGAACAAGAGGCCAGCCGCCGAACCTTTGGTACAGAAAGACGCTGCGTGCTCCAACGATTCAAAAACGATCTTGGCGACCAGAAATGCAGCTGCACGCACAGTGCTTTGGTGCCCGGTCGTAGCTCTCGGTCGTGCGTCGTTGCGCATATCGAAGGCCACGGAAGCCGCCTCGTCCAGCGTTTGCCGGTGGCATCAGTTCAAGAACCCTTCCGAGTGTCTACAGTATTGTCTATGTTTCGACAGCTGTGTGCTGTGTGTAATTTCTAGCACGCCGAGCTGCCCAGACTGGTGCATCCTAGGTGCAAAAGCGATGGCGTATCTGCGGGATCCAGACCGTCCGCGCCAGTCGCCAAGCACCAGTGGTTCGCAGTGTGGCCCTTGCGTGGATGCCTTCGCCTTAGTCGTTCGGAACGACTACGGCGATCGCCCACTAAGATCGACGCGCTCTTATCCAAACGGGAGTGCTCCGCGTCGTGCAACGTTGATCGCTGGTTCGAATTTCTTCAAGATACTCGCACGCCATTGGTCGGCTATAATTCCAATGCCCAATCAGCAGCCGATGGGTGCGTATCCGGCGCATCCGGCCGTGTTTCGGCGAAAAAGCTCCGCGAACGACCGTGGCATTCCGCAACTGGTTGACCGTGCCCAAGATGTCGCGCCTCCTGCTCGCTCTGGCGACGGCCGTCGGCCTCGCGACCGCCCAGGTCCCGATCCCGGCGTCGCCGCCCGGCTTCACGTACGCCGAAGGCAGCGCCGACGCGCACATCCAACTCGACATGTTCATCGACCTGCTCTGCCCCGACAGCAAGGCTGCGTATCCGGCACTGCAACAAGTGGCGGCCAACCTCTCGTCGAGTGCGTTCCGCCTGCGCTTCCACCAGTTCCCGTTGCCGTACCACCACAACGCCTACTCGTTTGCGCAGGCGAGTCGCACCATCGCCCACGCGCTCGGCGACGACACCTTTACGCGCTGGATGGAGGCCGTCTATGCCAACCAGGACGCGTACGCAGTCTTGCCGGCACGTACGAAGGCTGTGACCATCTCGTTTGAGTAGGTATTGGAACAAGGCCACGGAGACGCTCGGCCAAAAGCAAGTGACGGCCCAAATCGGCGCCCTGGCCAAGAAGACGTTTCCGGAGCTCACGGATGCGCAGTGGGCCGAAGGCATGACGGGCCACGGCGGCACGCAAATGGACGTGGATACGCGCACGGAGTGGAAGTATGCGTGCACGCGAGGCATTTCGGGCACGCCCATGTACCTGGTACATGTACATCTCCGCACCATGCCGGTCCCTCATGCGGTATGTGGTAGCTGAACGAAGTGCCGTTTGAAGCCGATGCGTCCTGGACGTACGACGACTGGATGAAGGCGATCGCGCCGCTCTTGTCGGGGGCCGAAACGATCAAGAACGACGCCAACGTGCGTAGCGTCGGCGCACCCCACGACGCGGCTGTCGACGTGCACCATGGCTACGAGTTTCTCGCGTACATGGGCGTCGGAACCTTCCTCGGCGTCGGTGTGCTGTTGGCTGCCCAGCGCTACGACGCGGGGTACCAAACGTTGAGATGAGATGTGATAGTCGTCGTTTTTTAAGTCCACCTCGCAACATGTCGCCGGGATGCTTTGAGAGCTCCGTGGGCGCTACGCTCTGGCGCCAGATTCGATCCGGGCTCATCCCATGCCTGCCACCAAGACCGTCGTCGTTCGGCAAGTGCCATGACGTCGGAAAGTGCACCCAATTGAAGTGCGCGCTCGCCTCGAAGCGGGCGGCGCTTCGTTTGCCTTCGCGGCGGCCTCGATGCTACTGCTCTTGCGCAACCGCATACGCGACCGCAGCCACGTCCACGTTGCAGTTGGAGCCACGTGGTTCGTGCTCGCGCCGGTACATGGCGCTTGTTGGTGCAAATGCGTAGCGTCAGCGGCGGCTGTCACGTGCAGGAGGCCGCATCCGTGGATGAGTACAACACTTCAAGCGCCCTCTCGCTCTAAAGATACTACGCAGGTGGCAGGGACGGAGCACGACGTTGGATGGCGTCGTTGGTGGCGGCGGCTGGCGCCAGGAAGCAGCGCACGCCCGTGCAGTGGATCGAGTCCGATGGTGGCTTCTGCTGGCGCGGGTGCGCGGGCCAGCCATCCGGCAGCAGCTCCGGCGTGGCCAGCCAAAGGTCGGGCTGGGACACTTCTCTCTGTGACTGCATCAAAAAGCCCACCACAAGAATCCTGGTGGATCTATTTTATCCGGATGGCATACAAACACCAAGTCACGAGGCACGTGCCACATCTATGACCACACGCGACAACCGGATTTGGATTGCCAAACTGAGGATTTCGCCACAAATCCATTCTCGTTGTCGAAGCAAGATGCTGCACGCGCGCCGCCTTCTCCGCTCCACGAAGCTCCAGACCCGCGCCATGTCCTGGCTGAAGGACGTGCCCATGGGCCCCGCGGACCCGATCTTGGGCCTCACCGACAAGTTCAACAAGGACACGGACGCCCGCAAGGTCTCGCTCGGTGTCGGCGCGTACCGCGACGACAACGGCAAGGTACGCTTCGCCGCCTCTCGCCGGTCATTCACGATGATGGCTCTAGCCGTACGTCCTTCCGTCGGTTTGGGAAGCCGAGAAGCGTCTCATTGACGCCAAGAAGAACAAGGAATACGCTGGTATTGCCGGTATCAAGGAGTTTGTCGACCTCTCGTTGAAGTTCGCCTACGGCGACGACTCGAAGGCCATCAAGGATGGCCGCGTCACGGGTGTCCAGGTACGCTACCCTTGGATCGTTGCGATAGACATCTCATGGAGTGTTCCATTAGACGATCTCGGGCACGGGCGGCTGCCGTCTCGCTGGTGATTTCTTTGCCCGCTTCTTGGGCAAGAACACGCCGATCTACTTGCCGAACCCGACGTGGGGCAACCACATTCCGATCATGAAGGATGCTGGCCTCGACGTCCGTCGCTACGCCTACTTTGAGCCGGCCTCGCGCGGCCTCAACTACTCGGGCTTGATGAGCGACATCCAGGGCGCCCCCGAAAAGTCGGTGTTCCTCCTCCACGCGTGCGCGCACAACCCGACGGGTGTCGATCCCTCGAAGGAGCAGTGGGCTGGCATCTCCAAGGCCATGAAGGAGAAGAACCACGTCGTCTTCTTTGACTGCGCGTACCAGGGCTTTGCCTCGGGTGATGCCGACCGTGATGCCGCCGCCATTCGCCAGGTACCTCCCATAATAAGGCTTCCTAAATGCTCAAGTCGCTCCGTAGTTTGTCGACGATGGCCACAACATTGTCTTGTCGCAGTCATACGCCAAGAACTTTGGCCTCTACGGTGAGCGCGTTGGTGCGCTCAGCGTCGTGTGCAAGGATGCCGAGGAAGCGGCGCGCGTCGAGTCGCAGCTCAAGATTGTGATCCGCCCCATGTACTCGAACCCGCCGATCCATGGCGCGCTCCTCGTCTCAGCGATCCTCGGCGACGAGAAGCTCAAGCGCCAGTGGTACGGCGAGTGCAAGAGCATGGCCGATCGCATCATCTCGATGCGGTCGCTCCTCAAGGCCAACATTGCCAAGATTGACGGCTCGACGACCGAGTGGAACCACATTACGGACCAGATTGGCATGTTCTGCTACACGGGCCTCACGGAGCCGCAGGTCGACCGCATGATGACCAAGCACCACATCTACTTGACCAAGGACGGCCGCATCTCGATGGCCGGCGTCAACTCGAAGAACGTCCAGTACATTGCCGAAGCCATTGCCGAGGTTGTCCAGCACGCGTAATTCAAACTTGAAGTGTACTTTTTTAAGGCAATTCACGACCCCACGTGTTGCGCACTCCCACTGTATGAGCCGGCTCGTGGGACAGGCGGCCACCCTGGTACCGGTACCGAATCGGACGATGGCTGCAGAAGGGGCAAAGACTGTGCACGTGCGTATAACGCACCAGCTCGCGGCGAACCCAGCCGGTGACGCGGGCAAGGCCGACACGATCATACCAAGCGAGCACCGTCGACCGAGTCAAGCGTTGTGTTGCAGCTTATGGGACTCTACTAGTACTTAGCAGCCGCCGACAGTGCGGTACGCTGCAGGCGGCAGGACGGATGACGCCAACAGAGACGAGGTCGCCGGAGGTGCGAGCGGAAAGACCAGCAACAGCGCGGGGTTGAATAAGGTATACATATATACTACTGGTAGATAAGATGGCGCCTACAGCTCCACATTTTCGAGCACCTCGTCGTCGTCGTTGTCGTGATCGGTGACGAACCCAACCTCGTCTGGCAAGCACAGTTCTTGGAACGTGTCATCAATCATCGCGCTTGCTTCGAGGTCGTCGTCCGGGAGCGACGGTACCCACAGCGGTGACGAGAGGCAGCTATGCTCTGCGTCATGCTCGTGTTCGTCGCCATCGTCGGCCAGCATCGCAAACTTGAGCTGTCGCTGGTGCCGCTTGGCATGGAACCGCTGGATGCGCTGGCGCCGTGTCTGCGGCGAGTAATTGCCGACGCGGCGCGGTGCAGCCGCTTCGTTTCGCGTCGTTTTCGGGTCCATCGAGCGGCTCGGCCACGTGAGCGAGATGCGCGGGTGGCACTGCGTGGCCGGCGGCGACTCGGGCGCCGTCGGTGAGAGCGCCAAGAAGGCCTCGTACTTGAGGCCGAAGCTAGCGTCGAGGTACCAGAGGTCGTCGGCGAGGCAGCGCGCGGACGAGCAGGCAATAGGAGACGAGCGCATGCTGCTGATGATCGCGTTGTCGGATGCTCGATGTCGTTTTTTAGAAATGATCTGACGGCAACAACCATGTCGCGTTGAATCTGCAAAAGGGGGTTCTCGCGCGAAAATGGTGACAAAAAGGGGTACGACCGTTGCTGCTTCGGCAATCTCCGCCGCACGCCAGCGCCCTCGCCGTTGCTGTCGCGCCTCGGAGGGGCTGCACCCCGCGTTATCAGGCGAAGAGACATGCCTGTCAGCAAGGACAGTCGGCGGGACGACCGCCTTTGGCGACGACGTACCCCAAAATGGCACGTGGGAATTCCGGGACTGTTCGAAAAATCTCAAGCAATGGCCGTCGTCCCACACCGAGTAGCATCTACGGTACGGAGTAGCTGCGCATCGTGGTTCCATGCAAACCACCGGTTGCTTCTTCGCTCCTTGTGAGAAGCTCAGCGACCGACAGCGAGGTTTTCCTCCAAAACGACCAGGCCCGAGTCCTTGACGAGGGTGCCGCAGCCGTCGTGTCTGCCAGCGCGCATGCGTCGTCTAATGGGTGGTGTCCATCGCCAGTTGATCGCTGTAGCCAGTCGCGTTGCGGCTAGGTGTAAGTATTAAATTGCGGGTTAGTTCAGCTTGGCGGCGATCCGTTTTCGGATCCAGTTTGTTGTGTGGTGGAGTGTCTATGCTGCAACTCAGCCTTGTTTCTGGCCCCGCGGACGCACGCGCGTCTTTTGCTTCCTTGCGTACTGGACGTAGCGTGCAATCGCTTCGTGCGCCAAGAGCTTCTCCAGCGTGTTAAACTCGCTTGCGAGCACCTTGTTGTCTTCTGTTGCGTGGATCTTGGAGTGGCATTGCCGGCAAATCAGAATCGTCCGGTTGAGGTACTCACGGCTGAACCCACGCTGGAGAAACTTGGCGTGGCACTGCCGTGGCACGAGGTGGTGCGCCGTGAGGTTCATGGCTCGCTCGCAAAGCTCGCAGCCGGTCACGACATCGTCCTCGCTGTCTGCAATGTCGTCGGGCAGCACGATAAGCGAGATGGGGACGTCCTGGCGCTTGTCAAACTCGACAAAGTTGACTTGGATACGTTGTGCCACCAAGTCCTCAACCGACGTGATCTCTGCCTCGTGCCACTCGTCGTCTTCCTCCAGAATGGCCAAGCAAGTGCCACCCACGACAAACGGCGACGTCGTTGGCGCCGGCGCCGGTGGGTACAGCACATCGTGCAGAAGCGCCTGGGTATCCGAGATGAGCGACCGAATGTCTGCGGCTGGGTCCAGCTGCAGAGTTGGCTGTGCGTCCAAGAGCGTTTCTTCAAGAGCGGAGGCTAGACACTGCGCTCGCACTGCATCAGGCTCCAGCGGCACCGCCTTCTTCTTGCGTGGCTTGGCCATCGTGGTCGTGTAGGCGTCGTCCCAGGCCGCCAGCACGAGCTCGACGACGTAGTCGACCATGGCCCCGTCAATCTTCGCAGCGACAAGACCGTCGCACAGAGCCTCTTCCACAGAGCACACGAGGGTCTCGTCCATGGTGCGCCTTGGGTAATCAGCCGCGCCGATGCGCGGGCAGTTGGGTTTCTTACTACCATCATTCACGCCCTTCACAAGAATGTGTGCTCATCCACTTAAGTTTACACTCTCAAGTATTCAACTTAACGGGAAAATTGGTGGAGAGAAGACTGATAAAATAGCACCATGTCCGTCGTTAACAAAGAGCAAACTTGTTTCGATGGTGTGGCCGGGGGTATCCGGACGCTTGAAACACCCAACTTGACGTTCTGGAAGGCAGCCGAAGACGCTCCATGATGCGGCATTCCACGTGCCTTGCGGGATCTCGTCGATATCCCTGCAACCCAGCTCTATCGGCTTCTCTTTCTATCCCGATACGTGTGGCTAGCACCTCGAGCCGCTTTTTTGCAGTATTTCTTATCCCAATAAGTGCTCAGAACTCTAAGCAGGCATAAGCTGGCATGCTCACCTGGTGGGCATCCGCAAATGTGGTGTGCGATTAGAATACATGTGTCGCTACTGCTGTGTCCGGATACCATGTGTCATTGGTCGGTCTCATTCCAGCACGTCAGCGTAGCACGATGGAGTACATTGGCATCGACCTCGTGCGTCCTGGCTTCCATAATCATCGAGCATTCGTGTAACCTCTACTGTACTCTATAGGGGTCCCAGCGCTGCGTCGTCGCGCGCCCGTCGGGCGAAATTGTTCTCAATGAGCTTGGTGGTATGACCACGGCGACGCTCGTGGCCTTCAAGGACAAGGAGCGCTTGCTTGGCGAAGCCGCCGTCTTGTCGTCGAGCACGAACCCGGCCAATACTGTCGACCACATCAATATGTTCCTTGGCAAGTCGCACCAAGAAGTTCTTGCGCAGATGGCCGCGTTTCCGTGTCCGCGCGCCGCATACGTCCAGACGGCGTCCGGCGAGGCTGCGGCGCAGGTCCAGTACAACAACGGCGAGAAGCTCTTCACGCCGGTGCAGCTGCTGGCTATGGTCTTTGGCAAGATCGGCAGCAACGTCCAGACCACGCCGCTCGAGAACATCCTCGTCGGTATTGCGGTCCCGAGCGGGTGGGGCGACGCGGAGAAGCGCGCAGTTCTCCAGGCGGCCAAGATTGCAGGCTTTGGGGCGGCTGGTGTCGTTGGCCGCGATGCTGGTTCGGCTCGTCAATGCAATCTCTGGTGATCTTAGCCCGTGTCTGTAGCTCTTGCACGCTGCTTCCATCGCAAGCACCCCATCAAGGACGAGACCGAGACCAAGACCATCATGATTGTTGATGTCGGCCACTCGACGACGAACGCAGCGGTGGTGCGCCTCAACGGTAGCCTCTTCTTGTCACATTGGTGTCATCACTGACGAGTAGCGACGGGTGAAACGGTGCTGGCTCACGCGTACAAGGGCGATCTCGGCTCAGTGTACCATATCATCGCACTGCCGCGTCCATATCTCTCACGACAAGTGTTCTAGCAACTTTGACAAGTCGATTTTCCATCACTTCCAGGCCAAGCTCAAGGCGTCTCACGGCCTTGACATCCAGGGCCACTCGCGCCAGGGTCGCCGGCTTCTCGCGGCCTGCGAGCAGCTCAAGAAGCTCCTCTCGACGATCCCGGAAGCCATCGTCCAAGTCGAGAACCTCGGCAATGACTGCGACCTCACGCTTACGCTCACCAAGACCGAGTTTGACGCGCTCAACGCCGCGCATGCGGCTGCGCTCGAGCAGCTGCTCGTGGGCCTCTTGACGTCGGCAAACGTCGCGGGCAGCGACTTGGTTTCGGTCGAGATTGTCGGTGGCGGCACTCGCAAACCGCTCCTCCAGGCTGCGATCACCAAGGTCGTCGGTGACAGTGTGCCCTTGGGCCGTATGCTCGACAGCGCGACTGCGGTTGCGGTCGGCGCGGCGTCGGCCGAGGACCTCTTGGCGACGCAGGATGTGGACGTGTCGCCCGAATGGATCGCGCTTGAGACGGCGATGCAGGCGCAGGACGAGGCCAACTACCTCCTTGCGAACAAGCGCAACGAGATCGAGACGTTCGTGTACGAGATGCGCGGCAAGGCGAACCAGAAGCATGGCAACCTCATCGACTACAACGTCCTCAACCCGTTCTTGGATGCGGCCGAGGACTGGTTCTACTCGGAAGAAGCCGAGGTCGCGACGCTGGAAGTCGCCACGCAGCGCGTCGCGCAGCTCAAGACCGTACAGTCGCTGACGACGGGATCACATGTCTCATAGTCATTGTTAGGACATTACGAACTCGTGCAGTGCCTACTTTGCAGCGGTTGCCAAGGAAGACGCTGCGCTTGAGGCGCACTTGGAGGCCGAGTCGGCCAAGGCAGCACTCGAGACCAAGGACGACGACGACCATGACTTTCGCAAGGTGCGATGTCGTGGCAAGCCACGTCACTGTGACGACATAGTCTCTGTAGCTCAAGACGCCGGACCGCATGCGCCTCGTGATGAAGAACAAGGTACAGTTGTCGCCAGTTGGAGTCAATCTTTGAATCCGGGCGTAGGATGAAGGCAACGAGCTCTTCCGCGGCGGCAACGTGCAGCACGCCGCGGCCCGCTACGTCAAGGTACCTAGCGTGCCTTATCACATGCTATATGGTCTCCTCGAATAGGCGTTGACGCACGCGTCCAAGTTTTTCGACTTGCGCCCGGAAGATGCGGCCGAAGTCAAGGCCGTCAAGCTGAGCTTGTACCTCAACTTGGCGCAGTGCTACCTCAAGCTCGAGGCGTACCAGAAGGCTGTGTCCAACTGCAAGGACGCGCTCGATTTGGATGCGACCAACACCAAGGCACTCTACCGTCGCGCGATCGCGTACGAGAAGCTCAAGGACTACGAGAAGGCCCACACCGACATTACGGTTCGATCGCACACTTCGTCTACAGCCTCATGACACGTTTGCATAGGAAGCGCACCGGTTGACGCCGGACGACCGTGCGATTGTGATTTGCCACGACCGCCTCAAGGCCTACATGAAGAAGCAAGCCGACAAGGAGAAGAAGATGTGGTCCAAGGCGTTTGCCTAGTTAGTCGCGAGGTACTCGACGCGCGCGTTTTGCCTCCTGCCGTGCCGCCGCGGTAATGTACCTTGTACGAATGCAGACTCATGCACGGTGTACGTCTTCTTGTTTGTATGCAGCCGTACAATCAAGGTCAAAGAATCGAAAGATAGCGCGCGGGACGTTCGATCCGGTGGCGATCCATCTTCGGTTCCAACGCCATTGATTGGTCCGTCCTTTCTTGTTATTCGGCGCCGAAACGCCACGTATAGCACTCACCCCTCCTTTTACACAGGATGTTTGTATGGGACGCCGCTTGGGCGTGGCCTTTCAGAAGATATCGAAACCCACAAGCACAGCATTTTATTTGATGCAATAGCTTGGCGTTTGTATAGAATTTAATTGTCGCGCCAATCGGTTGTTTCGGGGGTTTCGCCAACGAACGCTGCGGCGCGCTGCGGCGGAGGTCGACATTCATTTTCAGATATCCGCGGTCATGGCCGAGAGCAGCAGCAACAACCAGCTGCCGTCGCCGACGAAGGACGTCGTCATGCACGACGAGACTCATGACGACTATGACGACGAGGACGACGAGATGATCGACGTCGACTACTACAGCTCCGACTCGGAGGTCGACGAAGACGTCGAGCCCGAAGTCGACTCGTTTGGCAACTTGACGCTCAACAGCGCCAAGAAGTGCTCGGTCGACGACTGCCCGCGGGGCGCCAAGCGCGGCGGCCTCTGCATCGCGCATGGCGGTGGTCGGCGCTGCCAAGCCGCCGACTGCCAAAGCAGCGCGGTCGGCGGTGGCTTTTGCATTACGCACGGCGGCGGCAAGAAATGCAAGTTTGCCGGATGTGAGAACAGCGCGCGGTCCCGCGGCCTCTGCCCCGCCCACGGTGGCGGCACGCGCTGCCGCCACGACGGCTGCACCAAGCATGTCGTCTCGGGTGGCAAGTGTGTGGCGCACGGCGGCGGTCGTCGCTGCCGGTACGATCAATGCGCGTCGAGTGCCGTCTCAAGAGGCCTCTGCGTCTTGCATGGCGGCGGTCGCAAGTGCAAAGCCGACGGCTGCAACAAGCACGTCGCGTCGGCGGGGCTGTGCCGCGCTCATGGCGGCGGCCGTCGCTGCAAAATGGACGGGTGCATGAGCAGCGCTCAGAGCCGAGGCCTCTGCTACGTCCACGGCGGCGGTGGTCGGTGTCAAATGGGCGGGTGCAGCTCCAGCGCCAAGAAAGGCGGGTACTGTATCGCGCACGGCGGCGGCCATCGCTGCAAGGTTGACGGCTGCAAGAGCTCGGCGGTCTCGGGCGAGCTCTGCCGCGCGCATGGCGGTGGCAAGCGCTGCAGTATTGCCGATTGTAAGAGCAGCGCCAAAACGGGCGGTCTCTGCATTGCGCACGGCGGTGGTAAGCGCTGCATGGTCGAGTCGTGTCGCAGCAGCGCGCAACGCATGGGTCTCTGCAAGGCCCATGGCGGCGGTCGCAAGTGCAACTCGGACGGCTGCGGTAACAGCGCCGTGAGCCGCGGCAAGTGCATCGCGCACGGCGGCGGGAAGCGCTGCATCGTACCTGGTTGCTCGACGACGGCGCGCAAGGGCGGCTTCTGCTTTGCCCACGGCGGTCGCAACGGCGACGCACGCCTCGGGGACCGTGTCGTTGTCGGCAAGATCTCGGTCGAGGCGTACGACGACATGGACGACGAAGATGACGTCGATATGAAAGCCGAAGAAATTCGCGCAACCGAAGAGCCCGTCAAGGCCGACTCGCCGAGCCGCAACCAGAAAGATGAAGCCGCTGCCGAGAGCCGCCGCCCGAGCGGCTACTCGTGGCAGCGACTGCAAGAGACTGTGCTCAAGGAGTCGGTCGCCCAAGGCATCGCCGCGACTGAAGACGAAGACTCGGGCGAGGACACGTCCGACTCGGATGCGTCCAACCCGTTTCGCATGCTCGTCTCGGCGGTTCTCTGCAAGTAGCTTAGCCTCCTATAGACGCCCACTGCCTACGCAGTGACTAATATTTTAATAGACGTTCCTTCCAACGGACAGTACGTCCGTTGGAAAGGACACTTTCACTCTGAAAACAGCTCAAGAAGATATCTCTAGTATCATGTATATTGGTCGGCGCCAACGAGGATGATTATGTTTGGTGTGTAGCCGTCCAAGGTCGTTTGCGAAGGTCAAGACGCACTGAGGTATTTTGTGGTGCTGTGTAGGAATCTTATTGCTTGGAGTGCGGGGGCGTTGTGAAGGCACTTGCGATTGGTCCAAACTTGTATAAAGCACTTGATAGAACAACATTATCAAGTTGATAATTTATGCAACGGAAGCAGTCGGATGCATCGATGATCACTTTTGAATTTGCCATGAGTGCCTCCGACGCCAAGCCAGTGCCGTCGACGCCGCATCCGATTTCATGATGACGTCGCGTGGTCGGCCGGCTGGAGCGGCTGCAGAGAATGCATGCTCGCACTCCTCGAAGACAAAAAGCACCTTGCCTTGCCAGCGCGCAAGCACCTCGACGAGATTTACGAATCCACACTGCGCGGACTGGAGACTCACCGAAGTCTGACCTCGTTATCGTCGGCATGGTGTGACGACGTCATCAAATCCCTCGGTGGCTTCCTCACGGCCAAAACAGAGGCCGATAAAGGTCGGTTGCTAGCGTTAACAACCCCGCCTCTTGAAGATGCACTAGCGATGGTTAAGGCTGTCATTTGCAACATCGAGTCCGAACGGCAGGCCTTCAACAGCGCCATCGGGGGCCTCTTGAGGTTCCGCCTTAAAATCCTCGAGGCTTTTCACACCAGAGGTTTCCACTCGTCCAGCGAGTGCGTGGCGATCGTGGCCAAGCTTGAGAAGGCGATGACGTGCTTTCTGGCAACCAATCACACCCTCCGCCATGCTGGCTCGGTACTTCAGCAGGACTCGAATGATATCGCACACAGCGTAAATATCGTCGAGACGCTTCTTTCGGCTGAAACCATTGCAATGCCCAAACTCGCGCCACCAGGTAAACAACTTGTTCGGCTCTGCCAATTGTACAAGAGAACCCATGCCGAGTATGGTCGTGTCCTCGTGTAGAAATGTACAACTCGTAACGCGAATGACAATATTGTCTTTTGTACTCCTAGTAAGGTCGACAAGCAATTCGCTGTTTACTTGCACGTTAACCGAGCTGCTGCCAGAGTTGCACTATCAAATACAACTCACACCCAGACTCACACCTGGACACACGAGACGTGAGAGCGAGGTGATTTGTGGAAAAGCCCTGGCAAACATTATTGCAACGTTGTCGTCGCCTTCATGGTTCACCTCAAATGACTGCTGGTAGGACGCACGCAATTCATTTGCCGCTAGGTTCTGTCCCGTAGCAGGTCGAACAGTTGCCACACGTCACTCTACCATTGCTCCTGCAGCGTACAAGTACCTCGCACGACTGGTTCTTGCACAACGATGACAGCTTTGGACGCGTGAGAAGGGGCGCTGGAAGATCGCAAAGATGCGGCCTGCCCAACCGCCTGTGCCGATCGCCTCTATTCATTGGTCGAAAGCCTGCGGAAAAGGATCCTATTTCAACCAATGGTCGAGCCGTATTTTAAACCACTTGGTTGGGCGAATTCAAAATTCACATTTTGCTCAAGCAGCGCGAGCGCAAGAAGTCCAATGCTGACCCAAGCGCTCTTGCCGCTTCTCGTCATGGCCTCTGCCGGCTTGACGTACTACAGCGCCGTCGCTCCGACATGTACATGCTCCTTTCCCGGCGAGGCTCATGCAAACTCCTCTTGCGTGTAGATGCTTCGTGGGAAGAAGACTGGATGGGCGCGGCCGAGGCTTCGCCGTCCAACACGAACGTGACGTGGTTTGACGACGGCGACGTCTACCGCTACCAGTTTACCAAGTATGGCGAGAAGAAGACGTATTGCTTCTACCCGAACGCGACGCTGAGCTTCCGCATGGAGCCATTGACGAGGTCCATAATGCTGCCTCACCAAGCCTTTCTTTACACGTCCCTAGCCCGTCGCAGCCATACGTTGTCCAGTGGCTTGGACAATACGAAGAAGCGCGCATCGTTGCTGATATGGCCGCTGCCTACATCACGCAGCTCCAGGTATGCTAATGCTACTCTTGCGCGATCCGCGAATGCAGCCATGTAGGAACTCGTGCCGCCGATCCGTTCGTTCCTCTGGACATGGAGCGACCTGCGCATCAAGCTCACGAGTAAAGCGCGCGACCAGCTTCAACTGTCGTACACGAGGTACTACCCCACGCCATGGTGATCCCCGTCCCAATCGTCTTGCAGTCCCATCTCGACGCCGTGCCAAATTTACGAAAACCTCGACCTTACACCGTATTTGCAAGAACACGTTTCGGAAAAGCTGCAGTACATCCTGAACCTGTTCGGCCAATATATCGGTACGTTTGGCGTTCTTCTGCCAAACACTGTGCTGATACACGCTGTAGCGTCGTACTGCGAGGGCTGTCGTGGCGGCTGTGAGCTGCCCTGCGACAGCTCGACCGACGAATGCTTTATCAAGAAGAGTCCGTATGAGTTTCCTTGCATCACGGTGCACGGCCCGACGTCGGGTATCCTGCTCGCCAACGCCCAAGTCAAGTTTACGCTCGAGACCAAGGCCTGTACGCACACCTCCCTCATCGGTCCTATCGACTAGAGGCATATATTTGCTGTGTAGATGTCGACTTGGCGTTTGCGCAGAACCTGCTGCTCGGGCTCCTTGTCTACTTTTCGTCCGAGACGCTGGCGACGTACCGCGTCTTCCACTACGCGCTGGGCGCGGCCATTGGCATTGTGTGCTCGATTGCGCTCCTCTTGTACCAAATGTACAAGCAGGCGCAAAACACTGCGCGCTTGCTGCCCGGCGGCAGCTTTCTCCAAAGCGCGTCGCTGTTTACGACGATGGCGTTTCCTGTGACCGGCCTCGTGCTGCTCCCGACCATCTACCGCGCCATGCGCTACGTAGGATGCACACCTCCAGCTGCAAATATCGCTCACCTGTGCGTAGGCGCTCGACTTGCTCTTTCAGTTTTGGCTCAGTGAGAGCGTCATGGGCGTCCCGCACCTCGGGAAGCTCTACTTCTTCTTTTTCGGGCTCATGGGCTGCATCATGGTGTGGTGGTTCCAGTGGTGGGCGCCCGGCGAGGCGGCGCTCGCGACGATTACGACCATGGACACGAACCCCGACAAGCACGACGACGACGACGTCCTGGACGATATTCGTCGCATGGAGCTCGAGGTACGCAGGTTTTAGTACATTTGATTCGGTGCCAACAGGGTGTGAATACCGTAGGATTTGGCGCTGCCGAGTTCGCAGCAGCACCTTGCGTACTGCCTCCAGGCGTTTGGCGTGATGCTGCTTCTGCAGAGCACGTCGTCGACGAGCATGTCGTGCGTGGTGGTGCTCTTGGCGCTCCTCTCGTCGGTGCTCCAAGCCTTGTACAAGGTGCTCTACTTTTGGTACTACTCGGAGGTACGATAGTTCTTAATTGTTGTTTTTGCAATATGTTTACATGGGTAGACGCCGGGCACGTACACGACGCTCATCTCCACGGACGAGTTTGCCGTCCAGGCCCAGACAGAAACGCAAAAGGCGCTCCGAGAGCTGGAGTTGTACCTCCAGACGCACAAGGAAGCGGCGCTCAAGGTCAAGAGTCGCAACGTGAACAACGTCAAGGCCTTCCGCAAGGGCCGCGACCACCTCGCGGAAGACCTCCCGGAGAAGAACAGCCCCAACCACTTGACGCGGTCGTCGTGGTTGCGCTGTGCGATTCAGTAGTTGGCAACCGTTGTGTATAGCGAAAGGCAATAATGGCAAGTTAATTTTAGCGTCATTTTTGGCCATGCCCCCTAAAAAGTACAACGCTGTCGACGGATGCTGGCTCATGGACGCATGCTAGAGGCAAGAAGAAGAAGGCGGGCAACGAGGCCGGCGAATATCCTTTCTGCCTGCCCTTCCTCTCTCGTATTGCATTCGAATGTGGGTTCCTGAGCCAAAAGGTGCACGGCGAGTGACCTGGCGCGGCGGCTTGAGGAGGCCGAGGCCCAGCTCCGCGAAGAAGCCAAGCTCATCGACCGCCTCACGCGCGAAAACCAGATCAAACACGAGCAGCTCCAAGCGATGGAAGTCGCGCTCGCCAACGAAATCGAAAAGCACGAGGCCATCGTGCAAGTCATGAAGGACAAGGAAGTGACGCAGAAGCAAGAGACCGACCACCTCATCGAGGTCCTTTCAACTGAAAAGGTATTTGATGCAGAACAAAATGTGTATGTCGTAGGTGCTCAATGCTAAGCTCTGTGACTACCAAGTGCGCATGGAAGCTTGCTGCACGCTGGACGCGGCCAACGCGACGTTGCGATCGCGCGTCGACGAGCTTGTGCAAGAACTCGCCGATGAAAACAAGGTCCTTTGGCTGTGAAGGACGCTGCACCACGCCCGTAGATTCACGTAGAAGAGATTCATGCTATGCGCCTCGACATGTTCAATCACAAGATGGCACTCGAGCAGGTACGCTGCAGATTTGTGGTCGCTCGTTTTGGCAACAAATGGCGCTAGACGTTTCGGAAATCACTCCAAGAACTCGATGCGCAGTACCTCAAGAAGGCCTACAACGCGATGGCCGAGGAGAGCAAGGTCGATATTCGAGAGCGTTGCCCATCAACCCAATGATGTTGGTTTCTAGAATGCGCTGGTCGCGAACGCCAAGCTCAAAGACGAGCTTCAGATGCAGAGCATTGGTGTTGAGAACCTCATGCTCCGCTTCAAAGCCCAAGCCGATCAATTTCACAAAATGGTTGAATTGGGCAAATGCAATCGGAGTCATCTCAAATGTTCTTTTTGTAGAAAGTTGAAAATGAAATTTTGGAAAAAGGCAGCTCGTTGCGGCTCAAAGAGGTACGACAATGGCGTACGAAACAGCGACAGCGCCAACACCAAATGTAAGATTTCAAGCCTCAAGACAGCACAACTTGCGGCCGACAAGAAAGCCGCAAAAGCTCTTCTCGTACTTCTTGGTATCTCGAAATTTGACGACAGAGTGTGAAATTAGGAGTTGACTGAGAAAACACAAGAAACAACCAGTCAATTCACCATGACAATCGAGGTTCGTACATTGCTATCAAAGAGATTCATCGAGAATGTCCTGCAGGAGATCAAGCAAGAGAACCGGCAGCTCAAAGTGCAGCTCGAAATCGCACAGGTTTGGATGAAGCTGTGGCTAAGAACTATGCGACACGTCTGCTAGAAACGTTGTGGCAAGTGGAAGACGCGCTGCCGCCTCGCCATGACGACGGCTCTGTACGCGAGCACTTGACAAAACGAATCTTATCGTGCCTAGACCCCCGGAGAGCGGCGGGGACTTCGCCGACGATTTACCGGTTCTCTCGTTGACGCCGGCACGTCGCCGGAGCTCGCTTCAAACGCGAGCGATGGAAGCGCCCATGAGCTTTGATCCGCGGGAGATATGGAGTGCGTCAATGGCCGCCTTATCGCCGGTCCCCGACGGGTTGCGACCGCTGGACCGCTGTGCGACCGCGCCCATGTACGAGCAAATCGAGTTCTACTTCTGTAGAAGTGACGGTGATTACTGCCTAGACCAACGCGCCATGACGTGCTAACGTCCCTCAACGGCGCGTTGAGTACACCGTCGCTGCGGTCGCTCACAAAGCTCAAGCCGGCGCAGTCCCAAAAGCTCTTACGTAGCGTACTATGAATCAAAGACTCACAACTCGTTTTGATTATGCAAGTCGGGCGGCCAAAGTGGCGGTGCACAGGCAGGCACCACCGAGTAGAAGCAGCACGGACGCCGCCTTGAGGAGCCATGCGCGCGGCTGCGGGTACGCCTGATGCACCGACATCGAAACGGCAGTGGCGGTGTTTAGGGTTGAGGAGGCGGGAAACTGCAATGTAGCCACGAGCCCCCAGTGGTCTGAGAGGTGGGAGAACGGCCATCTCCCATCCTGAGAGTCCGAGATCATGCACGGGTCGACGGCCGCGGAGGCGATAGCCACTCTCCTCGGACACGTCGGGGACTGCAAAAGAAAGATGTAGTCGATGCATTTGCCCGTTCGATCCACGTCTTCATCGGTCATCGTATGGCGGAGGCAGCCATGGCCGTTGCCGTTCGTGACGCTGTGCTGCGGCAGCGCGTCGACGAGCGTCCAACGGCGTTGCTCGAGCATGTCACAAAGCGCCGTGTACATGGCGCTTTCCTTGCATCGTTGGAAGCGAGGTGCATGGCAAGACGGGGAGAAGATCGGGTCGTGGCGTGCGTCCAAGTTGAAATCGCCCGCGACGAGAATAGGGTCGTCCACGACCGAGGCGCAGGTGGCATGCACAAAGGCCGCGAGTTCGCGCAGCTGGTGCATGCGAATCGCAGTCGCGGCTTCGTCTTCGCCAGCCTGCGTGTGCGTCGTGAAGACATGCAGCGTCGACGAAGCGTCGACTTGGAGCTGCGCGTACACAACGCCCTTGGCACAGATGCCGTCGCTGCCGCGCCCTTGCGTAAAGACCCACTGGTCATGGCGAACGATCGGGTACCGGGAGAGAATCAAGAGGCCGCCGTCCATAAGCTGGCGGCTCCAGAGAGATGGGTAGACCGAGCCGGCGTGGTGCGCCAGGCCGCACTGCGTGGCGTAGCGAACGAGGTCGGGTTGCCGCCCCGAGCCGCCGACGAAGAGCTCCTGGAGACACACAATGTCGTAGTCGGCGATCTTCTGCTTGAGGAAGCGCAAGCGCAGGTCCTTGTGGTCACCACCGCGACCCGCGATCCCCGGCGGGCGCATGAAGACGTTCAAGCTCAGCACGCGCGCCGTCGCCATCGTGCAATCCGATTTGAAGCGTTTCATTTTGGGCTCACGGCCTAATTAGGATAGCCATCGATGCGGATGGCGATCTTGGTTTTGTCGCAACGGCGCTGGCTGCGACTTCTTCATGTAATTATGAAATGGCAGTGCTTCACCGTTGGCTCTTTCTTCGGCTGTCCTGATCTTGCGACCCGGCTTAAGGTAAAAGACTCGAGTGTCGCAGATCGTACTTGCACCGCCAGCGCGAGAGCGATGCTCGACGGACGCAAACCCGTTGCAGTTGATACATTCTACGTCTCCAAGGCGACCGATAACGTTTGAAAAGCCGTACAGTATCTACCAATACTGTGCATTTAGCAAGCTACACTTAAGAACCTAGTCCTAAACCCTGACGGACCAATACGATCTTAGTGGTGGTAGGTCAGGATGAAGTCGATGGCCGATGCCACGTCGTCAAAGATGTGGGTGTCGTGGCGGCGGGCCGTCTCGGTGAGGTACGCGCGGGCGCGATGGAGGTCCTGGAACTCGCGGCCGATGGGCGTCGTGCCGTCTTCCATCGAAGTGCCTTCGACCATGGGCTCGATCACGAGCAACACCGCGCGCTCGCTACGCCATAGCGTTCAAGTCGAATCTGCCTTGTAGGAAAACTATACCTGCAGATGAGGAGGAGCGCGTCGGTCATCGACGCGATCGACCGGCAGTTGTTGGGGATCACAATCAAAATGAGATCGGCCGAGTGCTTCATGTTCTTGTCCGACTTGTGTTCGATGCCGTTGGCGACCCAGAGAAAGTCGCCGCTGGGACTGTAGTATGGCACGAGCGCCTTTTGCAGCATCGGGATCGCGGTACTTGCGCGCCATGACGTGTGGCGGAGGTTCCCGCCGAGGTAGATGTAGCGCTGGCTCGACTCCTTGACCGGCGCCGGGTTGGTGGGCGGTGACTCGGCGTCGCCTTCGTCTTCGGAGCTGCTTCCGCTCTCGATGATCGAGCTGCTCGAACACGACCGCATAAAGACCTTTGAATTCAGCGGCTTCTTGGGCCACTGACTCAGCACGAGCGACGATCGCTTCCGGAGGCGGTTAGGCCGGACGCGCGAATTGCCCTTGTTGGTCGTGAGCGGGGCGAGGCGGTCTTCCGAGATGACGTACGTCACAGCTTCCTCAAGGGACTTGAAGAGCTTGACGAGCGGGTACATCGAAACGTGCTGGCGCAAGCACGCGCGCGCTGCGTTCAAGTCGGCGATCTCGTACTCGGTGAGCGCCTTGTTGCCGATGTGAACGCCGTCTTCCATGTCCAGGACGACGAGCACGACCCGCCGGCCGCAGCACATGTACTCGGCCGCCTCGTTGATCGAGACAATCGCGCGCGTGAGGTTGTCAATGACAAACAACACCATGGTGGCTAGACAAGAAGTAGTTGATGCATTAGGTGCGGTTAGCACCGTACCTGTCTCTTTGGCTTGCGCCTCGAGGTCCATGAGCCCTTCGTGCCACTCATCGACCTGCGGGTTGTAGTACGACACGCCAGCTTCGTCTAGCATCGGTATCGCGACGTCGCGGCGCCAGCGCGTGGGGTTGCATGACTAGTAGGCGGCGACGATCATGAGGCTGTCATGCATCGCCAATTGGGTGTCGCTACGTACGCCGCCGAGGAAGACATGGACCGGATCGAGCGGCTCGGAGATCGCCGGAAGCGTCGACGAGCGCATGACGCAGGGCGGGGCTTCGCGGACGACGTGGCCGACGAAGCGGACGTCGGGCGTGCTGCGGCTGCGGTCGACGCGGGGTCGTGGCGGGTGGTGCATGGTCTCCTTCTTCGCGATTATGTTCCTCGAACGCTCGAAGTTCCACGCTGCGCCATCCGGTTTCGACGCTACGTCAGCGAAATAAATTACGCAATGAAAAAGATTGTAGCGTCATACATAGTCATTGCTGCGAAATTCCATTAAAATAGCTCGTCGCATTCTTTTTTATTGTCCGGATACGCTACGATCTGATAGCCAGGCAGTGGTCGTTCAGCCACTTGCGCAGTAACAACCGAACTCTCCCGCGCTGCAGTCTCTGGGTCGAACGCAAGTCGACGATCGCCAACTGCCTCTCTCTGCGCATTTCTCGATCTGTCTGCAGGAATGGGTCCGCATTGCGTGACCAGTGTGATGCGACATGCGTGGCTTTCGCCGAGCCGATGCCCGAGACGCCGCAAAAGCAGTGTCGCGACGCAAGTGTCGCTGCACGCACTAGGTGCTTGTATCAAAGATGCTTGCGCTTGTATCTGGCGTCCAGTCTCGTGAAGCAGTCTCCTGAAGTGTAGCGTTTCTCGTCTCCTGAAGCAGCGTTGCACGACTTCTGAAGCAGGAGACGTCAACGGGTGGAAGCACCTCGTCGGCGGGGTGCTGCGTCTCGCCACCGACCGCCTTTTTTATATTTGGATGCATGGTCAGTCGCGCCGACTGATAGAATGGTCGGTCCGCGCTAGTACAAGGAGCAGGGCCGTTTTGGACGTGGGTTCTTTTGGCCGCAAGAGGGAGCTGCGTGGAAGGGGATTATACGGTTGCTTACAGCTGACTCGGGCAGTCGCCAGCGAACGGCAAGGTGCGATCTACGTGGCTTCACGAGATTACTGCAATAGCGCGAACCGCATTTGTGCCAATCATAGTCGATTTCGGTCGGATTTTGACCAATCATGGCATAGAAGGGACCAAAGATACTGAACTGTCCATGGTGATTGGGCCGCTTGGGGATCTCGACGCGCTGGGCATACAGCACGTTCACTTTACCCATGCACTACCGAGCAGCAGCAGACGACGGCGACAATGGACCGCGCGTCGGTAGCTTTGCCGAGACGTACAGCCTCGGCGAGCAGCTCGGCGACGGCTCGTATGCGACCGTGCACAAGGCCACGGCGTGGGCGACCGGTGAGATCGTAGCCGTCAAGCGCATCAAGAAGGCGTGCAAGCTCCGCGACGTGCACGCCGAGATGGCATTCGTGCGCAGCCTCGCGCACCCCAGCATTGTGTCAGTGCACGACTTTTTCGTCGAGTCGGACGGGTACTACGTCGTCATGGAGCTTGTCCGCGGCGGCGACCTCTACGACCGGCTGCACAAGAAGGGCGTGTTCCCAGAGGAGAAGGTGCGCGCGCTCGTCTACAACCTCTTGACGGCCGTGCGCCACTGCCATGCGCGCAAGGTCATCCACCGCGACCTCAAGCCCGAGAACGTCCTCCTCGTCGACGACGCGAGCGACGTGCACATCAAATTGGCCGACTTTGGCTTTGCCGCCAAAGTCTCGTCCAAGCCGCTCGTCGATATGTGCGGCACGGCCGGGTACGCGGCCCCCGAGATTGCCAAGGGCTTGCCGTACTCGACGCCCGTCGACATTTGGAGCATCGGCGTCATCATGTTTGTACTCATCACGGGCAACCTCCCCTTTGGCACGGACCGTGAGACGTTCCGAGGCATGTGCCCGCTCTCGCGGCCGCCGATGTGGTACCACCCGTACTTTTGGAGCGTCATCTCGACCGACGCGCAGCGCTGCCTCGAGCGCATGCTTGTGGTCGAGCCGACGTGCCGTCCGACGGCCGACGAGCTTCTCGACGACCCGTGGTTCTTGCCATTAAAGACGCCGGTCGAGGCGCCGCCGATGCGGTATCCGCGCTTTCGCCGCAGCTCGACGGCGTTTCACAAGTACGTCAAACCGCTCTGGAAGCGCGTCTCGGGGTACCTTCCGCGGCGCCAAGCCCAAGAGTTTACGCTCTGAAAAGAATCGTTGTCAGCCTTTGATGGAAGAAGGCACCTCGTGTGTTCTATGTACTATAATTTGCTAATCTATTAATGTGATCGCTCTGTATTAACACCGAGAGCTAAACTTAGCGCGATGCACGAGGCGCGACCGGCGACGGCGATCATCTATGCGAGCCAGAGCGGCGATCCGGCGCAAATGGCCCTCGAGCGTAGCGTCGTGCACATGATCATCGAGCGCGAGACGTGCCTCGAGGCCCTCTTGCAAGTGACGCCCCACTTCCACGACCCGCACAGCAAGGTGCGCCCGTGGAAGGTCATCGGTAACCTCACGCTGCAGTACCGGCGCGCATCGATGGACGTCGTCGAGGGCATTGGGCAGTGGCGCGCGCTCTTGGTACGCGCACGATATTAAAACCTGTTCTATTGCAGAGCATCCTAGGGCGCACCACGGCAGGCCTTTCTGTGGAAGCACTCCAACTACTTGAGCAAGATGGTCGACGACACGGCGAGTTTTGCTAGCGTCCCAGATATGTTTCGCGACTGCCACGGCGACCTCACTCTCAACCCGTTCTTGTCGCCGTTTGCACTCACCGACAGCCTCTTTGATCTCGACGAACCTGCGATGCTCGCCAAGGCGCGGCTCGCGGGCAGCGAAATCGGCGGGATCGACATGGACCGGATATGCCGCGCGTCCAAAGTGCTCTTGGCCGAAGGCGTCTTGCAGCAGCGTACAAAGGCCGCGACGCCGGCAAAGACAGTACCCCAGAGCACCCCTCGGACGCCAAAAGGGCAAGTGACACCGACGCCGCCGGTGGAATCGCATGACCTCGCGCCTCACGACAAGCTCATGCTCATGAAGGTGCATCTTGACCACGGTCGCGCCAAGCTCCGTGCGCTCGAAGACGACCGAGCGAGCATATCGGAGCGCATGGCCGAGATCACGGCCAAGCTCGAGGCGACGACACTCCCGAGCAAAGTGCGCATGCTCCAAAACAACCTCGGCGCGCTCAACAATAGTCTCCGAGCAGTCTCGGGCGAGATCTTCCAGCGGCGCAACGAGCTCACGCGCCAAGAAGCGACGTACCGGCTCCAAGCGAGCAAGGCCAAGCGACCGCGGCCGCAGATTCGAGACGAGCTCCACGAGGTCGTTGCGCAAGACCAAAAAATGCGGGACGAGCTCGTCGCAGCTCTCGCGCGCCGTGAGCCCGAGCCAGCGGTGCCGGCGCTCGACGCGATGAACGAAGCGCAAGTCTTTGCGTTTGTAAAAGACCTCGGCCTCGACGCGTGCGCCGAGAAGCTCAAGGCAATGGGCATTGACGGACCGCTCCTTGCCGTACGTCACGCGTTGGCACTTGGCCGTCAAAATCGACGTGGTGCATAGGTCAGCACGGACCAGGACCTCCAAGAACTTGGCATCGAGGTCCGGCTCCATCGCGTCAAGATTTTGCGTGAAGTCGAAAAGCGACTCAAGGACGGGCAGTAGTCTGTCCAACCTGTCCCTAGGAAACGTATGTTTGGATAGGACCCTACCCGCCTACTTGACCTAGCCCTTGCATCTCCGAAACTGTCAACTATACTGTAGTATCTTGCATTTGGACACGAGCGCACCTCGAGTCGAGCGTAGTGCAAAGGCTTGCTGGAGCTTCTCGTTTCAGTTGGTTGCAGGGAACGAGGAGGGTGCATATCTCCTTCCCGACGTCTATACTCCCCTCCACCTGCATAAGACAGTGAACTCGAGGCTTGTACAGGCACGACCAGGGTTAGAGCGGTTAGGTGATCTGTGAATAAAAATACATCGCGCTCACTTGGCGTGGAGCGACTGGCGCCGGAGCTCGAGTACGAGCTGGCGGGCCGACGGACGCAGCTCGGGGTCGTGCTCCAAACAGCGCAGCGCGATCGCATGGACCCACTGCGGGCAGTCGGTTGAGAACGACGGCGAGAGCGTCCCGTTGATGACCATGCTCATGATTGCCGTGTCGACGAGCGGCTTGTGCGTGATCGGGTGGCGGCTCTCGGCGTACGGGATCTTGTGCGTATCGAGCTCCGAGAGGAGAATGCCAAACGAGTAAATGTCGGCGGCGACGCTGTAGTGCCCTTCCTTGAGGATCTCGGGCGCCATCCAGCGGTACGTGCCAACGCCGACCGTCATCGTCTCTTGCAGATCTTCTTTCGAGACGCCAAAGTCGGTGAGCTTGACCGTCTCGCCGTCGCTCGAGTCGAGGAGGACGTTGCGGGACTTGAGATCGCGGTGGATGATTTGCATCGAGTGCAAGTACACTAGTCCTTCCAGAATGTGGCTCATGACCTTGTGCTTGAACTCCCACGAGACGGTCATTGGCGAGTGGTGCGCCAAGTACGCCTTGAGATCTCCTCGGTCCATAAACTCCATGACGGCCATAAAGTCCACGGGCCGCGTCCAGCTCACACCGTAGAGCTTGACCACATACGGCGACTCGAATCTACGACAATAAGACAATAAGAATCTCACGCATCGGGTCGAGAGCTATACCGCGCCATGAGCTTGCACTCGTTGATAAAGTTGAGAATGTCCTTGGGCGACGACTTGTTGGGAAGGAGGCGCTTGACCGCGACGATCGCGCCGTTGTAGCTGCCCTTCCACACCTCGCCGTATGCGCCTTCTGCGAGCTTCTTGTGGAGCTCGACGCCCGAGACGCGCAAAAACTCGAGGTCCCCGAGGTCATGGACAAGGCCGCCGAGCGTCGAGTTGCCGCCAAGATCGAGCGTCGATCCGTTCGTAAACTGGTTGCCGCTTCCAAAGGGCGATGCGGCCACGTACGTCTCGAGCTTCTTCTGGAGGTTCCGGCGCTTGATGCAAAAGTACGTTGTAAGGGCAGCAATGAGCACGACAGCGCCGATCGAAATCCCCACAATGATGAGCGTATCTACATCGCGTCATCAGTCTCCAACCGTCTTTTCAACAGTGGCAATGTACAGTTGACGGGCGACCCTATGACGCACACGTTGACGGTGACGTTCGACTTGCCGGCCCAGAGGGGGCGAATGTCGCCGTGGAGCTTGTCGCAAGCCCCTTTGTCGGAATTGATGTTGTCGATGATGTTGAAGCCGCGGAAATCGATGGTCGCGCGCGACTCGTTGCGGTCCCACGGGTCGAGCGCGTCGAGCGCAGCAAAGGACGTCATGTCGACGTTAAAGATACTGAGCGGACAACCTTCGCAGTCGCTACACAATATGAATGTCACCAAGTGGTTGGAGACGAGTCTTAGCTCGTACAAGTAGTGGAGCTTGGACGAAAAGGTCACATTGTCGATGCGCGTGACCGGGTTTCGCTTCATCCGACTAGAAACAAATTTCACAGTAAGACCTCATGTCAAATGACTCGGCAAACAAACAAGTAGTAGAGGTTGGTAAAGTCCCAATTGACGACTTCCTTGATGCGGTTGTCCCGGAATTTCCTGTCATTTTATATGAATCCAGCGACGGTGCACGGCGACAACGTACAGCACGGAGAGATTTTTTGGCAGCGAAATGCCGAGATTGTCGACGTAGTTTTGGTGAATCGACCTATTTCAACGATTGAAATCATCGTTCAACACAAATGCAAGCGTACAAAAAGTTGACGCCGTCCGGCAAATTGTGCGGAAGGTCCTGAAGCTGGTTGTCAATGAGCGTCCTAACTCGCCACATATGAGTGTGCGCACAGCATGGATTCTCTACAGCTTCTGGAGCGACTTGGGCCACACAAGCGTCGGCGGAATCACTTGCACGGTGCAGTTGGAGAAGTACCTACAGCCACAATTATGACATTATTCGTACCCCAGGCGCGTACATGACGGTGATCGAGTCGGGCAAATAGAGCTTCTCGAGGTTTTCAATCTCGGTCACATTCCAAAAGTCCCTAAGTTGCTAAGTGAGTGTCAAGGACAAAGGCGCTGATTGTACTTACAGGAGCGTCGATGTCGGTGGCAGCTTCAAGTGCTTGACGTCGACCGTCTTGGTGTTGAAGACATAACTAAACAGTATGTGCGTTCGACGGTCATCAACACGTGCGCAGAACGTACAGGCCCTGAAGCGACGCTGGCCACGTGAGGCCCGCGGGAAAGTCGCCGACACTCGTGTTGACAAAGTACCTAACGTCGATTGAGCGCGCGAGGTGGGTGGTCTGCGAGCGTACATGTCGACGAGCTTGGGCGGCAGCGTTGTCGTGTTCAGGCCCGTAAACTCGGCCACATTTTGGAGCGTCCTACAGCCAGTCGTGAGCCATGACGCGCGCCTTGCAGAGTTATGTACAAGGTGGTGGCGGTCGGCGGCAAAATGGCTTTGGAGAGGTCGAGTGATGGCAGATCGCCGAGCACGCTACCGTATGATGAGCATCCACTACTAGCACGATGTAGCACGTACACGGTCTTGTTGGTCGTCAAGCGCGAGAGGTCGCCGAACGCGTCTGGGTCGGTGCCATCGGTGCGAATGGCGCACGTCCGCGTGACCTTGCAGGGTCCGTCGCCACTGCCACACTCGGCGCCGGTCGTCCAGATGACATCGATGGACGTCGGGAGGCTTTCGTAGGGACAGCTTGCGGCGTCGAGCATGGCGAAGGCGGCGCCGAGGACGGCCGCCGTCAAGTGGCGCATCGTTCGTAGGGGATTCCGCTCTGAGCATTTCATTGGGCCTCCATATAAAAAGGCGTGTGACACATGGTCCGACAACCGACCTATCATTTGGTTTGAGAACGCTGCCCCCTGACGAGATACCATCCACCGACGCGCTCTACTTCGCCTGCAGTAGCGCAGTCGCAGTTGCAGGCGGCACAAAGACGCACGTGCGTCGCTCCTTGGTTCGGAGCTGCACCGGCGCCACGCCGACCAGCAGAGTGGGATGTGGTTGGTTGAAGATGCGCCCGCGACGGTCACCACAATGGGTACAAATTGCACAAGGCCCGCAGGAGGCGAGCTAACGTAATACCGCGACGTCAGTGCGAATGGGCTTTGTCGACGCAGGACGAGTGCAGTAACTGCGAGTGCGCTCGCCGGACGAGGATCGCGCATCGCGGCAGTCGCGTTGCATGTACTGCGCTGGCCACTGGCTTCGCGGCTGCAAGATACCCTGATACGCTCTACTAAGCTTTCCGGTACCGGTACATCCCAAAGGCTCTGCACAATGTCAACGCGTCGTGTACTGTACATGAACCGTGTAGAGCTATTATACAGGATGGTTATCCAAGTATTTGTGTCTGTATGACGTGTACACTATTGTCCATAAATTGGGCTCGTGTGCCGATGGACGTGGAAGGCTGAGGAAGGCTGCTACACGTATCGCCATCGCCGATGCAGCGTCGTCACCGCACTGGCCACATCGGCAACATCAGCTGTTGTACCGGGCCGCGGCTCGGCTAACCGCGTCGTCAAACCAGCTTAACCGGTTGAAAATGGGGAGCGGTTCGACGCGGCTTCCACGGATCAGAACTCATTTGAGACAGCAAGAATGGCAGCCAGCAGCACCTCCCGCGTCGCGATCGTCACGGGCGGCTCCAAAGGCATTGGCGAGGCCTGCGTCGTGAAGCTCCTTAGCCAAGGCTACAAGGTCTACAACCTCGACATTGCACCGTCGGCAAATGGCATCTTTGTCGCTTGCGACGTGAGCTCCGTCGCGACCGTCGAGGCTGCGGTCGCTGCGATCGTGGCCGACAACGGTCATGTCGACTGCCTCGTGGCCAACGCCGGCATCTACTTTAGCGCGACGATCGAAGAGACGTCCGAGGCCGACCTTGACCGCATCGTCAACCTCAACATCAAGGGCGCGTATGCGGCCATCAAGGCGACGCTGCCTTCGATGAAGGCGCGCAAGAAGGGCGCGATCATCGTCATGTCGTCGGACCAGGCCTTTGTCGGCAAGAAGAACTCGTTCGCGTACAACCTCTCCAAGTGCGCGCTGGCGTCCATGGTCCGCACGACGGCGCTGGACTATGCGCCGTTCAACATTCGCGCCAACGGCGTGTGCCCCGGCACGATCGAAACGCCACTGTACCACCGCGAAATCAACCTCTGGGCCGAGGCGTCCGGTACACCGTTGAAGGACATTGAGGCGAGCATGGCAGCACTCCAGCCGCTCAACCGCGTCGGGCAGCCCTCGGAAGTCGCCAACCTCGTCGCCTTCTTGGCGAGTGACGAAGCGTCGTTCATCACGGGCAGCCTCCACTCGGTTGACGGCGGCTACGTCGCCCAGTAAGCTTTTCATGGGCATGGATGGCGTCCTGCATGTAAATGTAATAGTACGTCGTGTTTCGCAATGTCTCCTTCGTACATGCAAGCAGTCGTGAACCTCGGCATGTGATCGTGAGCTCATGAAGTGACGAGATCATTCGATATGCTGTCTGTCGTTGCTGAACCATCCTCGCCTGGCCGCCCACCATATACTACTAGATGCCATCAACGGTGCTACCATTATATATGAACGTGTTCCGCGTTATCTTCATTATGACACAAAGACTTCGCATACGTAGCGCTACGCCTGAATGCGTGGGAGTTGGCACCAGCGCTTGGTCGTTGGGGGTGAGCTGCGTACGGAGAGATCCATCCCGTGGTGGACCCCACTCGCCGAGTCATAGCTCGCGCGAGGTCGTACGCAGGCTCCTGTACTCGGACTGCACTGCTACCATCATAACAAAGACCCCAGAAAGTGCATTCGCCCATGCGCTGCAACGCATCCTGCTCCATCGTGCTAGAAGCTTCTCGGCGAAGGCCAGCGAGGACCAGAGGATCGCAACAGTCGGCGATAGACCCTCCATGCAACGAGGCTCGAATGGCATCTTCCAGCAATTGAAACGCAGCTGCTTGGTGAATGGAAGACGGCGTGGCCCGGCCTTTCTGTGCATCATGCGGCGCCTAGAGCCAAACGCAAACGATCCTTCGCGTCGTGCACGACGCTCGCAAAGACACGATCTTCGGTCGAAGTTCGAAGCAATAAGAAAGTTTACAGCCGAAGAACCAATCCGAATTTCCGTCGCAGCCGTCCACAGGTCAAAGCATGCTCGCCGTGGGCCGATCGATTGCGATGCGCAGCCTCCGCGCGTCCCTCCCGGCGACGTCGGCGGTCCGCGCCTTCCATGGCAGCCGCCAGCTCCTGCGCTATGACGACTTTGAAAGCACGATGCGCGCAACCCCGATGAACGTGGTAATATTCGCGTTGCCCATTGCGCTGTCGCCTCGCTCATGCAGCATACGTAGGGTGTCTTGATCGTACCGCAGCAGCGCGCCGTACGCTGCCCCATTGTACCTGCGAGATCGATCTCACATGTGCCTAGTGGGTCGTCGAACGCTTTGGCAAGTTTCACTCGGTGCTGGACCCGGGTCTTCACTTTCAAATTCCGGTCGTCGACCGCATTGCGTACGTCCACTCGCTCAAGGAAGAAGCGATCAAGATTCCCGGGCAGTCGGCGATCACCAAGGACAACGTGACGATTCACATTGATGGTGTCTTGTACGTCAAGGTGTGTTCATCGCCTTGTGCCAAAGCTCGTTGCTAGAAATGTCTTAGATCATTGACCCGTACAACGCGTCGTACGGCGTCGAAGATCCTTTGTACGCCGTGACACAGCTCGCGCAGACGACGATGCGCTCGGAGCTCGGCAAGATCACGCTCGATAAGACGTTCGAGGAGCGCGAAAGTCTCAACAAGAACATTGGTATGCCTACGTGTCAGCGTACTGGGTGCCTCATGCCTCCACCTAGTCTTGTCGATCAACCAGGCCGCCGAGGCCTGGGGCATCAAGTGCCTCCGGTACGAGATCCGCGACATTGCGCCGCCGGCGAGCGTCAAGGCGGCCATGGACATGCAGGCCGAGGCCGAGCGCAAGAAGCGCGCCGAGATCTTGGACTCGGAAGGTGCGGCAGTCGTTTTGTCTCTGACAGTCCAGTAACGCGCGTGCAGGTGAGCGCCAGGCGTACATCAACGTGGCCGAGGGTAAGAAGCGTGCGATCGTGCTCGAGGCCGAAGGTACGGCCGCGGCCATCGTGGCACGGGCGGCAGCGTCGGCAGAGGCGATCCGGTCGCTCTCCAAGGCCATTGAAGAAGACGGTGGCTCGAACGCGGTCGCGCTTCAAGTCGCTGAAAAGTACGTCGAGGCATTTGGGAACGTGGCGAAGGAGTCGACGACGGTGCTGTTGCCGGCCAACACGAACGACCCCGCGGCCATGGTGGCGTCGGCGCTCTCGATCTTTGCGAATGTGCAAAAGAAGACGGGCGTCAAGCCCTCGACCGCCAAGACGCCCCAGGCGAACGACGCCAGCGCCGACTACGAGCTCGATGTGCTGCCGCCGCTGGACCATACCAAGCCCTCGTCGTTTCCATAGTGCGCCACTCTCTCATGGTCGCGTTGGAGTAGAGAAATACAGCCACGCTCTCGCGGCGTTCTTTTGATCACTCGATACATTGAAACTTCGTTGGATAAGAAACGCCTGGAGGAGCCACTCGTAAAGCACGAAAATGACGCAATCTTCGTCATGCAGACAATGACCACGAGCAAACTGAAGAAAAAAAGGCCGTTTAAATTCCAATTCAACTAGTGCAGTACGATGAAGAGCACCACAGTTGTCACGAGGGCGGCCGAGGTAGCGTGGAAGTCGTTCTTACTCGCAGAGCTCATGGTGTTGGTGATGTTGCACGTGATATTGAGCGCTGACGACGTTCGCTTGCTCGAGCGGTCACCGGGGTTGGAGAGACCTCGTGTCTGCAGCGGCGGTGCGCCGCCTTCGGACCAGACGCAGCACGGATCGCCGAGCTCTTGGCCGTTGGTTTGGCCGTCGCCGTCCGAGTCTTTCTGGCACAAGCTCACGGTCCACTTGCCGTCAAAGTCCCGTCCAAACGCATTGAGCGACGCGCCGCTACCGACATGTCCAATCATGGCCGAGCTCGCGACGTTGTTGCCGTTCGGGAGGCGGGAGACGTACTCGGCCCGGGCGACGACCAAGGGCGCGCTCAGCCCCAAGAGAAGCAACACGAAAAGGAGGGTTCGCGACATGGGCCAACCGTTGAAAAGTGGGCTTAGACGCGGGTGCGTTACCGTTGAAGCCAGAGGCAACTGACACTTCAACACGATGGCGATGGGCAGCTTCCGCCATGGAATCGGCGGAAGATCGTACGGTGATGACGCCAATGCTGAACACTATCGACGCCAACGCACCGTGCTGCCATAGGGCTCTACCGCCGACTTCCACATGCCACGGTGAAGCGATTCGGTTGCTCTCTCCGTCGACTCGAAGCTCTGTGACGGTATTTCAGTCCCAGCACGAAGATCCTATGGCGACAAAATTGGTCACAATCGCGGGGCGCAGGCGTCTCGTCTCAGAGCTACCGCCTAACGCCGAGGCAAAGACGACACCGGAGCCTCTGCTAGCATTTGTCACGACCGCTTCTCCCGCACCTCGATGCTCCACGCCGAGACCTGGTTGCGAATGGTCGCCACCCGGCTATCGTTGCTAGCTCGACGCAAGAGTCTCGTGTAGGTGTTGCGCTTATGAACAAACCACTGTATAGTCCTCTCGCGTTATTCGCACTGCTCGCAGTAAGTCCACCAGTTGGTGGTCCTGCCTCTGAGCCCGGAGCGATCTTGGCGCCATTCCCAGCGCGCTTGATCTTCAAATTATTATTTTTAAACGATTATCAATACAAATGCCGAGATCTAGATCGGATGTATAATAAAATACAGCAACGGCTGGCAGGCCGATTGCATTATAGCCAATCACATCGCTGGAACTGGCCAGTCTGCCGCCACTTGGAATTCGAAGACGATGCAGGAAGCGACAGCGCTCGCCATCGCCGAGGTGCAAGCGCTGCAGACGTGGCTCTCGACCTGCATGGACGGCGTCCTAGGCCTGCCCTCCTGCGCCGACGCCCGCTACGTCGTTGTCGAGACCGACGTGCAAGCGGAGCTCGAGGTGCTCCATGCGACGCTCGATGACCTCCATGGTGTCGTGACCCGGCCACAGGCCGTGGCATTAACCCACTTGACGCAAGCAGTGACGGAGCTCGTTTCGCTCTTGCAGACGCTCCATGCGGCGTACTTGGAAGACCAGAAGCGCTGGCTGCCGTTCACAAAGAAGGCACCCGATTCGGTGCACCTTCTCGACGCCCTCGTCGGCCGGCTGCAGCGGCGAACCAAGCGCTTCCTAAGCGTCTTGGCGATTCCGGGCTCACCAACGACCAAGGTTATCGCTGACGGTAGGCGCGCACTTGCTCTCTGGAGCTTCACAGGATGTTCTGTAGAACCCACGACGCCCCAGACCGACGCGCCGTTTGGCTCGCTGCCAGCCGAAGACCGCCCGATCGAGTCGACGTTCATCAAGTACCATCAGAAATACGTTGCGGATTTGGCCAAGCAAGATGCGCTGCATCGATCGGCGACCAAGCAGAAGCGCCGACAGACGCTCGCCACGATGCAAAGTCCCGTCCGGAAACAGCCCCGCTACAGTGAAGACTTGACGCGACCGCCCATTCAATAAGCCCAACGCGATTTTCACTGACAAAGACATCCGAGTGTTCCGGTCTTCACCAGCTGACTAGCAGAGGAAGGGCTGGGGTTAGCCTCATCCACGAATCTCTGTGTTGACGTCCAGGTTGCACACATTTTCTAGTCCATCGTCTCTTCCAGGACCTCGATACGGGTCGCGCCGGCCGCTTTCTCTGCAAAATACGACTGGATAAGCAGCACCTTGTCCGGCGAGATGTTGTACGCCGGGTGCGTGGGCTCGACGCGGTTCTCGGGCGCACCGGCCACGAAGACGGGCGTCTCGGGGCGGCCGTCCCCGTGCTGCGAGAGCGAGAGGCCGCTAAGGACGTAGCACGAGTGGTAATGGTCGCGCGGCTTGCCCGGCTTGTCGCGGAGGCCGCCCTCGAGTTGCTGGCCGCAGAGCAAAATATAGCGCTGATGGGCTGCGCGGTCGCTCACGTAAATTCCTACAAAGCCATTATGAGCGTGCAAAGCGCGTCGAGGCGTCGAGGTGTACCTCGCGTATAGGGGGCCAAGAGCGCAGGCACTGCCCCCATCCAGTAGCTGTAGCAGCCGTCGACAAGCTTGTTGGTACGACCTTGGTACCCGCCCTCGACGGCCATTTGACGGTGCGCCACATAGTGCTATCCAGAGTTATTCGGAACGACGTGAATATGGGAAGCGCTACCGTGAGTGCGGGGATGTTGACGCGGTCCAGCGCGTTCAAGATCGAGAGGATCGCCGCGCCCGAGAATGTGTACCCGCCGTGCGCTTCCTGGTACGGCATGGGTCCGAAGCCGCCTTCGTACGTCTGGCACGCGGCCACAAACTCGACGACGCCAAGCGTGAGCTCCGGCGTCAAAATGCCAAACAAACTCGCAATCGAAATGACGCAGTACGTGATGCGGATGTCGACCTCGCTACAATGCAGATCATTCATCATGAATATGTGAGTAGAGGATAATGTACCCTTGGTCGTGCGCGTGGAAGGCGCCAGTGACCGGGTCTTTGTTGGCGAGGAAGAATGCAAGCAGCGCCTCCCGGTCGACAATGTCGTACGCTTCCGGCGTGCCAATGATGGCCAGTGCAAGGCAGGACGCGTACGTTGTCGCCATGTGGCCCATCTGGAGAATGCCGCCGCCAAAGCCGCCGCCAAGCGCGTCGCTCCAGCAGCGCTTGATCGTGTTGAGGCACGCGGCGTGGAACGACTGCATCTCTGCGTGGGCGCCGAGCATCTCGAGCGAGTGCAGAATCCAGTAAATGAACCACGGGCGGCTAGCGTCCATCGACTGGAAGCCTGGCGGGAGGTACTCGAGGCCACGCATCAGGTACGGCGTGTGGCGCTCCTTGAGGAGGCAAACGCGCTTGGCCTCGTCGAGGAAGCCGGCTTTCTGCAGCTGCGCAATCTCGGACGCCGGGAGATCGTCCAGGTCGACGAAGAACGAGATGCACGTCGCCTCGGTCTCGGCCTGCATGCGCGACGTCTGCGTCGGGCAGCCATCCGTCGGCAGCGATTTCTGCACCGGCAGGTTCATGCTCGCACGGTATCCGGAATGAGCGGCGGCGCGGACGAGGCTAATTGCACGCAACTTCACAGTCCAGCGTTGCGGACTGTTTCGCTCAAGAGAGACCAAAGTAGTCGACAGTCCTGCTCACCGCCTGCTCTGTGGTAGTAAAAGGGAAACACGATTTCCATGGGTATGGGCTCCCTTGGTATCACGATCACGGTACCGTGACCTTCCTGCGGCTTGATGAAGGGTGCTCAGTCCTTCCCGCCTCCGTGCAGTGAAGTCGCTGCGTCAAGCACTAGCGGTTGAAATCTCGGTGAGCCACTCAGTACTGATGGTCCAGGCTAATAGCTCAGGTACAATGCAACATCCTAAACGACTCTGACGCGCCAAGTCGCGTCCAGCCCTTTCTGATATACTGTCAAGAAGAACCACGCAGTCGTCGCAGGCAAAGGACGTCGCAGTCTTATAGCGAAAGACCGTACAAGCATAGCTAAAGTCCACGCGTTCGTGGCCATCAGCGTTGACGTGCGCCTGCAGTTGGGTCGCCGGTGCAATATTTAATCCAAATATTTAATGTCACATACAAATAGCGAGTTGAGTGCACGCAATCGAGTTTAAATCCACGTCCAGGCCCATAACCCCTTCCCTGGCCACGGTGGGATCTTCGTATACGTGGCACCCCGCCGCGTCAGAATACAAACGGCAAGTGCAACCTCGGCGCTGTGGACATGTGTCGAGATCCGGTGGTGATAGACACAACACCGTAGCACACTCAGTAGGCAAATCGGCACGTGGTGGGTACAGCTGGAGACATACTATACACAAGCGGCGAACGATGACGAAGCAAGTGACCTTTAGCACCGCGACGACGTTCCTCTTTGATTTGGACTACAACGGGTCGGCGCTGCCACACGAGAGCGGACCGCCCATCGGCCTCGCGCTGCGCCACAGCGCCATGACGATCGAGCCCGTGCCCGACGCGGCCAGATGCTGCATGCGACGAAGCCGCCTGCGCCGCTTTGACCACTTGGAGCGCATCGCGATGCTCCGAGGGCTCTACGACGCGCGGACCCTCGCGCTCTTTTGCAGCGAGGCCATCGATTTGCGCAAGTCGCGCGTCGAAACCGAGGACGACATTGTGCGCCTCACGCCCCGTCCGAGTCGCAAGCGCCATTCCGAACCAGAAGCTTTAGTCGTCGACACGAAGCGCATGCGCATGTGGGAAATGGAGTACGACGACGAGGAAGATGACGACGAAGATGAAGACGAGACCGACGAGGACGCGCGATGAAGGAGTGTGAAAACGACCTATTTATCGATGCAATATATGTACATGCGTCCACCAGTCAGAAGCCGACGCGTTGACGCGAGATGACTCGCGAACAAGCAGCAAAGAAGCAAAGAGACGTCGTTTCTCTGACCACGTGACGTCGGGACGAGGGTAAGGAGGTGGGCGTGTGGCTTTTGAACGAGGCCATTGGAGGCGTCTGATAAAACCTCCCATGATCCATCAAGCCCATCGGCTGCCTCAGCGTTGCACATCCAAGCCGATTTGCTCGGTCCTTCCTCACCAAAAAGCCACGGACTTCAATTCCATCCAGCAACGTGTGTCGTGTCTGAACCATGGAAATTCAGCACCGAGACAGCGACGGCTTGGAATATTTACCGGTACTCGTGCAAGAGTGTGGTTCGTTGAGCTTGTTTGGCAGAGACCCATAGACCTGGGCAGCGGCATCATCCCCGCGCGCCGAGCCGGCATGTCCCATGCGTCCGCTCGGTCGACTCGACACTCGAATGCATAGTCGCCAAGGGGCAGGTAAATCGTCGAGTACGGACATGTAGGACAAGACACGATAAGATTCGCTCGACTATCGACGAGCACACGCAGTTGCACGCTTGGCCACGAGCCCTGTCGCAAGCGCAGGATTTCAAAGAAAATATTAAAAAACTGGACAAGAAACCATTCGCAGAGAAGCGTCGCCACGCACCCGTTCCGTGATGGAAAATATTTTTATTCGGTCTATGGCAACCCTAGCCCGCCATATACGCGCGCTCCCCCCTCCTCCATATATACAAATCTCAAGATACAAGGCATGTGACGGCGCGCCGTGGCGACAGTAACACATCTGACGACGCCAAAACCCAATTTGCCGCACCGCATCAACATGACCAACAGCGTGAAGAAGAACGTGACCTTTGGCCCGAGAACGACGTACCTCTTTGGTATCGACGTCAACGGATCAGCCTTGCCCAAGGAGAGTGGCCCGCCCATCGGACTCGCGTCCAAGCACCACACGATCACGATCGAGCCGAGCGTCGAGAGGCTCGTTGAGAAACGCCGCCGCCGCGTGCGGAGATTCGACCACACGGAGCGCATTCGCATGCTCCAGACGCTCTACGACGCCAAGACGCTCGCTGTCTTTTGCTACGAAGCCATCGACAGCCGCAAGGAACGGCTCGAGACGGCCGACGAACTCGCGCAGGCCGAGCGTTGCCTGGCCGACCGGCGACGAAAGCGGGCCGCCGAGACGGCACCGCCCGCCATGAAGCGCCAGCGCATGGTCTTTGCCATGGAGTATGACAACGACGAAGATGAAGATGAAGAGGACGACGAGTAGAGTTTTTGGTTCAGTATTTATCCTATCTAATCGAAACAAACTTGTTTTCTCGTGATGTTTTGGTTGGTTTTCTTCCAAGCGTTTTGCACCGATCGAGTGAAAAGGTCCTCGGTATTGTATCGGGTTGTTGCTCGAGGATGCTTGCCCCTCGATCGTCCCTGCGAGCAATCGGCCCGAGGTCAACAAGTCTGCGCGTGGAGGAGCCAGCGCGTTACGCCAAAGCGACAATCACAGCCGCCGCGTCCGTTTGTTGATGCTTCCTTGACGTACACATGATCGTGACATCCACGAGGGCCCATCACTCTAAACAGACATCAACCAACGTCGCTGGCAAAATGAGAGCGCGGCGTCCCCTTTGCTCACAGAGGACGTCATGGGCCTTCGAAGAACGTGGTCAGTATATGCTGCAGTCGTTCTGTGATAAGAACATTACGACATGGGCGCCTGATATTATGTTGCTGCGCCAGTTGGATTCGCATCCACACACATGTTACTGCCGACCACGTCCAAGTCCCATGAACACGGAGCTTGCCAGTGCTGAACGCGAGTACGCCGTCACCACGCAAGAAGCCTCGCGAGTGCTCCAGGGGTATGCCTGCTGCCCCAACTATTCTAACCCCTTTTTCGATTTTGTTTCAAGAAATAGGGGCCGTGTGTTTATATGACCCGTTGTTGAAGATACCCACACCGCTGTCGTCCTGCAGTGCAGTTGGGACCGACTCAAACTGCGCGGCTTTATTCAACCTAATCGCAAACGGTCGAGCTCGTTTACTGGCTCTTGTGGAGGACGAGCTAGAGAGTTGGACGGGGAGCCATCGAGAGGTGGCCAATGCGGTGAGATCGGGTCATCCAACACCTGAGCACCATCTCAGTTCGATCCAAGCGCTTTGAAACGCGCTGCACCGTTTTTCCCGTTGCTTGTTGTCGTGTTTTGCTGAAAGGCTACAAATAAGTGTGGATCCAGAGTCATAGACCAAGCTAGCAGAACGAGAGGTTCTCCGTGTCGTTTGTATTCGCCAATATGAGTCGGATGTGACATCACTGGAAGCTTGCACTGAGGAAGCCGCCACAACTTGCAACCGAGCAAAAAATAGATCAACCAACTGGAGCCTTGTTGTTCTGCTTACCGGACTCGTTTATCATCAAGCTAGTACCAAGATGCACAAGCGTGAAACGACTAACTATGACGTGTATATCGTCCATGTAGTTGCGTACTGTAGTAACTGTTTGGCAAAGGAGACGAGCTGCGACGCCGCGTCCCGCCAGCGAATGATGATGATGATGATGATGATGCCCCTAACATCAGCGTACATTCCTTTGCACAAACATCGGGTCGCAAAGATGTGTTTCGAACGTACTAGTACTATGAATCGTCGCACTGGTGTCCGTCTGTCGATGCTGCTACTGCGGTGCAAGCCTGCCTCGTACTAAGCATCGGAAAACTATGTGTTAAACGAGTGTTAAACTCCGCTTTGTCCACCGCACTCGTGCCCTTGTGTAGGCCTGTCGTTCGAACCGGTTTTGGTCCAACCTGATCGGACAGACTTAATGTCTTGAAAACGCTGAAAAGTCCCAAATGCACGAGCATGTAGCCAACTCAACTTTCGTCGCAACTTCCATCTCGTTCCATAGAGTTTTAGTTCTAACTAGCAGAAGAAAAGTCGATGCCTCAAATGCTCTCGAGTTTGACGTGGAACTTGGTGATCGTCAGGACAAACGCAAGCAGAGAGAGGACGCCGCCGACGAGGATCGGGAGGCGATACCCCATCTCGGTCGTCACCAGTAGCGACGCCAACACAAAGTCGAGAAACTGACCAAAGCACACGGCCGAGTTGAGCGCACCCGCAAAGAGGCCGAGCTGGTTGGCCTCGCCGTAGCCGACGACGTGGATGATGAGCGGCATCGTCATCGGAAACAGCGTGTTTTGCGTGATCGACGAGAGCACTGCGATGGCCACGTCCACGCCGACTTCGTGCGAGAAGGCCATGACGATGAAGAGCACTTGGGGCAGTAGTGCCGCCGCGAGCACCGACTTGGCGCCAAACGTACGCACGAGGTACGGCAGAAAACCGAGGTAGACGAGGCCCGTACTGTTGAAGAGCGTATCCGTGAGCCCGGTCGCGAGCTGGACGCCCGTGTTGAAGTTGGTTTGCTCGATCGTGCAGTTGGAGCCGCAGTTGTCCGAGCCTTTCGCGACGCCATGATAGAGCTCGAGGCCAAAGAACTGGCCTTTTGCGCTGTTGTAGGCCGTGAAGCCATACAAGACGAGCACCGTAATGATCCCGTAGATGCGAAGTAGATGCGGGAGCCGCAAGATGCCTTCGTACACGGCGCGGAAGGCCGCGCCGATTCGCTCAAGACGCGTCGTGCGCACCTCGGTCTCGGGCACGTAAGGCTTGTCGGTGATCATGTAGCAAACCAGCATCGTTGTGCCGAGGAGAATGACGAGGAGCATCGAGAGGAACGCTTGCAGGTGGGTTGCGGCAGCGCCAAAGGCCATGACGAAGCCCGAGATGACAAACGAGCCCATGATCGCGTACACGCCGCCGATGGACGCGGCCGTGATCTGGCGGTCGCCGGCGACGTCGGCAATGAGCAAGTTCACAGGCACTTGCGTGAGGTTCACGGAAACGTCCATCCAGATGTAGCCGAGAACCGTCAAGGCACGCTTCCACGACGGATGCTCTCGCGTGTCGCCGAGCGCCGACGAGATGTCATCGAGAAACATGAGGAAGAGCCAGCAGAGCGCGGTAGCCCATGCGCCGCAAAAGATAAACGGTCGGCGGCGGCCGTAGCGACTCGTGCAGCTGTCGCTGAGCACGCCCATACTCGGTCCAATGAGAAAGCCCGTGATGGGCCCAATGACTTGGACGAGCTGCACCATGGGCGACGAGAGAAGCGACTGGAGCAGCGGCGCGAGTGCCGCCCACTGCGCCGCCCACGCCATGTTGATGGCCATGCGCGGCGCACACAGCAGCAACATGAACCGCACCGAGCAGCCCTCGGGCGCCATCGAGGCTTGCTTGTGCTTGCTGGCTTCCAAGTCCTCGTCGACACTGCTGCTGGTCTGCTGCATCATGATCGCTTTTGCGGCAAATTAAAAAATACCGCGTGATGATACACGCACGCAATCATTTTTTTAATTTTTCTGATTGGCATCCCACAGTCGCAAGTGCAACGTCAGATGCGTTCGGTGGCGTCGTCTCGACGCTAAGTGTCGTGGTGGATGGCCCCAGTTTACACTGTGCTGGCAGTGTACTGGCATAGCTACACATACAATATATTTATATCTATTCAACGTACCGGATCCACGCAGCTCTCTGCATGAAGTATCCACGTGCCACAAATTCAAGTGTCGAAGTGTGCGTCCAATAGTTTTGAATTTGGAGGTTGAATTTTCATTCAAGTGTCGACATCAATCATCGTCACATCAAGCAACAAGGGAGGACTCGAGTCGGACTCATTTTGGAACGTACACATTTCCACCGTCGACTGCACGAGCACAATGGTGCGTCTTCTGCCGCTGCTTCTCGCTATCGGGCTCGTTGGAGGCCAAGCACCTCCGACCAACAAATGGGCAATGACGGCAGTCACGTCGATCCAGGCGCGCGTCGTCTCGGACGCGGCGACGTGGGACGCCGCCAAGAAGAAGTTTGGTCTCGTTCTCAAGCAGCACACCAACACGTTTGAGGAGCGGTACCGCGCGGCAATGGACACTGTCAACACCGCGTCGGTTGAAGGCGCGCTCTACTACGTCCAAACCGAAGGCATCAACCAAGCCGACTCGGTGCAGTGCATGCGCAAGACCAACATGAGCTACATCTGGTTCCTCAACGTGACGATTGTGCAGCCGACGTTTGCGATCGCAGAGTACGCCGAGAACGCTGGCGTTGTGCCCGAGTACGGCAAGTTCATTGCTATGGACGGCGGCATGTGCACGCCACTGGACGCGAAAGGCACGCTCTCGGACGAGTGCCAGAGTCTCTCGGGTCTCAACTACCACGCCAACGTCGGCCCGTTTATCGGGGGCGAGGCACGCAAGGCGCACAAGTACGCTGCGTACGCGGACAATTACTGGTTTTCGTTCCCCAACTCATGCTTTACCCGTAAATTCGACGCCAAGGATGACGCGTGCCGCAAGTCGCAGCCCGGGGGTCTCTGTCCGCTGGGCGTATCGCCCGATGGCGTCCAGTGCACGTATGCCTTTGACATCCTTGGGTACATCCGCCTCGACGACCTCGTCGGCATCACGTCGCTCACGAATAGCAAGACGGGGCGACGCTACGCGGACCGCGTCGAGTTTTGCAAGGATGGAAAAGTCGAGTTTGATTTCACCACGATGGCGAGCGACCTCTCGTTTTGGAACAACCCGCTGGATGAAAACGCCAATGCCAAGCGCACGGCGCGCATGCTTTCGCTCTACAACGCGCTCGTTCAAGCGCGCAAGGGCGAGTACGCAAACATGAAGCCGCTTCCGTCCGCCGACGACCTCACCAAGATCAACCCGCCATGTTGGACGAACAGCCCGCTGTGCGCCAAGGCCACTCACGGCTGCCGCCGGAAGCTCACGACACAGATATGCGAAGTGTGTTCGTCGCCTGCGCCCGACTGTGTCAAGCCGACGGCCGCCGACAGCGTGCCACCGGCCCTCGCCAAGGCGGTGGCACCCCCGCTTCCGACCGACGCCTCGGGCAAGACGATTGCCTCTCGAAATCCATCGGGCGCAGGTGGTACCGCTGGCACTGTCGTCAACAGCGCATCACTTGTCGCTCTTGGTGCGTCCCTGGTTGCCGTCCTGATGATGTCGCTGGTCTAAGAGTCTTGTATCGAAGAAGTCGGAAGATGAGACTGTGTATGCAATATGTACAACTAGGTTAACTAATACGCTATTTCTGCTGTGCACTACGAGCCTTAATGCAGAGCTGCTTAGGTTGAGGTCGTATCTTCACCATGGCGCCATGCATCTCATGACGTGATTTGACTTCAACGGCCGTTTCACGGGTTGTACTCCGGGGCACGGTCCGCTCATGCAAACAATGCCAAGAATACCGGTGGTATTGGTAGGAACCTTCTCGTGACACTAGCCCACAGGCGATCAATACCTCTTGTATGCTTCCACAAACGCCAACCGACGACGTGTGTCGACTCTACTAGTAGTGGTTGGCGCCTACTACGCGTACCCCGTGTGCCGGGGCACGTTCCCGCGCAGAGAACGTCCGGATAAAACGTATCCGGCGCGTTGGCACCAAACACTCGAAATTCACGGACCAATATCGATATGACGACGCCGGCGCCGACGATCCCCAAGTTCCACATCAAGCGGGAGGCGCCGCCGGTGGCCGACGAGCTCAGCGACGACGAGGACGAAGCGCCTTCTCCTCCGCGCCAAAGCAAGTTTGACCTTCCCAAAGACGCGCTGAAGCGGGAGAGCATCCCCACGAACTTCTACTTTGTAGAGTCGTCCCAAAACTACGCGTTCGAGCAGTCGTTGCAGCACTACAAGCGCAAGGCCGAGCCTGTCAAGACTGAGGTCGGCGCCAAGAAGAGCAAGAAGGAGGCCTCTGGTACGAGCAATGTGGCGAGGATAGCGCGGTCATGCCATGCGTCTAGACAAGAAGGCCAAAGCGTCCAATACGATCGACATGGCCGACCTCGTGCGCTCCAACGAAGCGCTCAAGCGCTCGAACGATGAAGTCGTGCGCTCCAACAAGGCTGTGATTGCCGCCAACGAAAACACCGTGCGCGCCAACGAGGCCCTCGGCAAGGAGCTGCGCAAAGCCACGACCACCATCAACAGCGCGTTGGAAGTCGTTTCGGCGGTCTGGCAGCAGTACCAGACACTACTCGAGCGAGATATCTTTTTGCGACAACAAGAGATGCGCCGCCGCGGCCGCGACAGCGACGACGACGACGAGTACAACGACGACATCCCGCGCATCTCGGTTTGAACACGACAGCTACCGGTATATTTTAACAAGACTCACGCCTTATCGTACTCTGCTCGACGCCTCGGGCGGCGGCGCTCGGCGCGACGCAGTGTCGCAAGGCCACTGTCGTGCAGTGTGCGCAGCTTGGCCAGCCAGTCGGTCTGCGCCGCAGCTGCATTCTCCTATTCCATCCTGGCAAAACTCCATGTAGCGAGTCGCCGTACGTCACATGCGATAAGCTCCCAGGCGCGTCCAGGCACACTCCAGTGCATGACTTGATCACTCTACCACGTCGCTGAGGTTGACATCCAAATCCTAGACCAGTGCAAGCGTACGGTCGGAGCAGGTGGTGGCGCACGGCGATGCGTCGGCACGACCACAGGGCTGCACGAGGGTCGCGGCTACAATACACGCATAGAGTCTTTGCCTTAGCAACCAGCTTACGTTGCAGTGGGGGTACGCGAACGTCCGACTCATTTCTTATTGCAAGAGTCTCAAAACGCATGTATTGTCTATATTTAAAAATCGAGTTTGCCGTTCTACTGGTTCATCGCCGCAAGCGAAGGTGGTGCATGCTGTGGCGTGAACGCAAAATGCTCAAGCGCGGGGGGAACAAACCTACAAGAGATCGTTTGTACGCATTCGGATTCGATTCGGAGACCCAAAGCGTTTCCGGATGTCGCTCTTGACCGTCGCCAAGAGCTATCGCGACACCGAGTGAGACGTTGAGTCGAAGTCGCAAACGTCGACCTGTAGAACATTGCGTTCTTGATCGCCCCACTGGGCGCGCAAAAGACGTTCTTGCCGCTTGTGCGTCTCAAGCTCTTCATGTAGCGACGCGACTTGAGCTTGGAGCGCTTCGTTTTGCTTGGCGACGAGGTGCATGCGGTCGGCCAATTGCGCCTGCAACATCCTGTATTAGTGGAGCAGAGCGAAGCGATCGACACTTGCCTTTTCGCATTGCACAGTCGCGAGCTCCGACTCGACCGACTCGGTGTAGAGGTGTTCGGTCGAGTGCGCGGCGGCGCTATATCATGCATCAATCGATGCGACACAAGACTCTGGAAATACCCTTTGCTTTCCTGCTCGAACGCCAGCGTCTCGACGCGAGAGAGCTCCTTTCGGTAGGCAACGCAGATGGCCGCGACTTGCGCGAGGCGGTCCTTCCCGACTTTGGCCAGCGCGGTGGCGCTCTCGTCGTCGTGGCCGTGCAGGCTACGCCAATGGATGACAATATGTCCATCATCACGACGACAAGTTGTTCGTGCCTCGTGGCCGCGCGGTGGACGTCGTTGGTAAAGCGGACGCGGCTTTGAGCCGCTGAAAATGCCTTGGCCGCTGCCTACGACCACGATTGCATAGGGCATTCGTGATGGTGCGGCGTGTGTCGTACGGCGGCGTGGCCCGTCTGCAAGGCCTCTTCCTCGAGGCACGCATGCGTTAGGTCGCAGAGATGGTCGGCGAAGAGCCGCTTCGTCTCATGCCACTTGGCCTTTAGCATCTACGAACCGATTCAAGTTTGTGCTCATCGTCGACAGCGCACCTCGTGCTCGACGACGAGAAACTTTTGAACGGTCGTGAGCTTGGCGTTGTCGATTTCGGCGCTTTCAAGACGCGCCTCCTTGGTCTCAAGGTCGTCATTGACACGAAGGAGGTACCCAAGCACATCCGTTTTGCGTAGGAGCCGAAAGTACTCGTCCTGCGTGATTTCGGGCGCCGCCGACGACTTGGTCACGCTGCTTGCTCTGGTGGCGCCATGGCGCGGAGAGAGCTGCACGCTAAGTGGCTTGTCCCGTGACCGGCGCTGCACCGCCGGCGACCGAGGCTTGGTGTTGCCACTGCTTGCGTCGTCCATCGTACGCAAACTAAATTTAGGATACCTCTGGGATATCCATGTTGGTTCCGAAGCTATTTGACATGCAGGAAAATCCTTCCGGAGGTCGGTGCGTGCGGCTACAACGCCACGTACTCACTGCGTGCGTCATCATCACCTACGCTTGACAACGTACGCGTAAGATCAACGTATCTGAAAGCCATTTGTTTCGACGGGTCGAGTGCAAAGTGGCGTGTGATGCAAACGCGGGTGCTGTACCAAGTGTACTTATACGAGGAGCGGGCAAAAGATCGAGCGGCAAGGCGCGCACAACCGCGTGACGCCACCCAGCATTGTGTAGCATCATGAGCCGTGCAGAGCGGGCGATGCAGTGAAAGACGGTATCGAGTTGCTTTGTCCACCTAGTCGGAACCAGGTGCGCACATTCGGGGAACGTTCAACTCTGAGAACAGATAGGAATAAATACGTCTCTTGGCGGATTAAATTAGGGGTCGGGTTGCCTCAGAGCGCACGGCCGCAGTGCCGGCACTCGTGGCTCTTGCGCGGCGACGGCGCCGACGACGATGACTCTTTGCGGAAGAGCTTGCGGAAACTAAACTTGCGCTTGGGGCTCGGCGACGACTCGAGGGCGGGCGTGGAAGCCCGGCGGGTTGGCCGCGTGTCGACGGTTAGCACCATCGTGTCGAGCAGCTCGTCGTCGCAGTCAACGTCGATGGGGCCCGTCTTCTTGGTCGACGGGAACGCTGCGAGGTACCCAGCGAAGAGTTCTTTGGTCTCTGCCACAAAGTCCTTTGCAAAGTACAGGTCGTCCGAGGCCATGTCAAACTCGGTCCCGCGCATCGAATGCTGAAGAAGCTTGGCGAGCAGAATCGCGTTGGGGAGCGCGGTCGCGGCGTGGGGTGGCAACCCGATGAGCTCGGGCTTGATGATGGCGGGGCACACGATACGAAGCACGATCGAGCCACCGACTACGATCGTCGAGCCGCGCACCGACTGCGGAAACGCGGCGTGGAACTCATCGAGGATGTACGCGCAGCTGAGGCGCAGGCGGTACGGCGCATGGTCGTCGAGCGAGCTCACCATGCGATGCACAACATCTTTGGCCAAGGCGAGGACCTGGTCGCGGTGGAGGCCGCCGAGCGCGGCAACAGCGTCGCCGAGGAGAAAGCGAAAGTACTTGCGGCCATACGTGTGCCCGAGGTCCTTCATCGTCGAGCTCAAGCCCGTGCTGGAGCGCAAGAACTGCTCCTCTTCGCCGCGGACGCGGTCGAGCTCGATCTCCACGACGCGCGCAAACGTCTCAAAGCTTGGCAGCTCGGTCATGCAGAGCTGCGTCGTCGTCGTCGCCGTCGTCATTCGAGTCGTCATCCGAGGCGGCCGACTGAATGGGAAATGCGAGGCCAACTGGCCGTCGCGACAGTTGCACTGTCTACTGCCGGCCTGCGACACGCCGATTGGACGTTGAAATAAAATTACAGCATTTTTTAAAGGTATTTTAATACCTCCGAAAGTATACCTCGCGTTGTATTGGGTGGACGAGATCCTGAATCCGAACTGGACGCGAGGAAGCTTCGAGGAAGGTTCGGCACTTTGGCGAACCCAGCCGCGGCGTTGGCGCCATCTCGGCGCGATCTCAGGAGACGCCTGCATGGCTGGGAGCGGCAGCCTGATAGACGATCCATCCTATCTGAGATCCAGGACGAGTATCGACGTGGCGAGGTGTCGAGACGTGCGAACTTCTGGTGCGGTGACTACATGTAGGTGCACCTGGGTAAGCGACTGTATCCAATAGTGTGGTGAATGAAATCGCATTGATGAGACCGCTACAGCTTTGAGCGAGCTCGGAAAATGGACAAGGTGGCCTTTCCCACAATACTGGTTGCGCGAAAGTGTAGCTGCATTCGATAGATCTTCTTTCCATCTCGCCATCATCTCCCGCGCGTTACCGCCGACACGTCGTAAGGTTGTCAAGGAACCACGCGGCCGTCGTTTGCAAGCCAGCCTCGAGGGTTGTGAACCGATAGGCTCCGAGCTCGGGGCTCAGCGATCGGAGCTTGGCGTTGCTCGCGGTCTTTCTGTACTGCCCGTCGCCCTTGGTCGTGTCGAACACGAGGTCTCCCTAGGAGCACGTCAATGTTGAGCGATGATTGGGGAAACGTACGGTGAATTGCAAAGCGGCCGCGATGCCTTCCGCAACGCGTTGGATCGAAACTTCATCGTTAGGGTCGCCCGCTAGAATCAGCGGCGAAGTCTCGGTGTAGTGGCGGACTACCCAGACGAGGAGCGTGGCCAAGTCGGCGCTGTAGATGAACTGCCGCAGCGGCGCGCCCGTACCGCTCACAACAAATGGCGTTTGCTCTTTCTTGGCCAGGTAGCACTTGTGAAGAAGACCGGGAATGACGTGGCTGTCGTCAAGGTGAAAGTTGTCGTGTGGGCCGTAGACGTTGGTCGGGATGACAGACGTAAAACAGCGCCCAAACTGCCGCGCGTAGCACTGATTGAGGGTATCGATGTTGCGCTTGGCCATGGCGTACCTACGACCGATAGTACAGGTTTCCAAAGAGAGTGTAGGGATACCCGAGATTGGAGGCGTGGGGCGGCCCGTTGTGCAGCATCGTCTCGTCGATTGGGTACGGCGTCGCGTCGGGAAAGATGCACGTCGAAAGGCACGAGACGACCTTGACGACGTCGTATTCGTGGGCGACTTGGAGCACGTTCTCGTTCATGCGCGCGTTCGCCATGAAAAAGTCGACCGGCTGCGCTAGATTGCGGTAGAGACCGCCGACCATGGCGGCCAAGTGCAGCACATGCGTCGGCTTGTGACGGGCAAAGAGCGCCCGCGTCGCTTCCAGATCAGTGAGGTCGGCCTCGTTCGAGTGCGTAAAGACCCACGTCTCGTCCGTCGGTGGCGCCGATGCAATGCATTCTTGGACAGCACGGCCCACGAGGCCCGAGCCCCCCGTCACGAGCACTGTCATGGAAGAATTCTCGCCACACACGCCCATCGACTGATCTCAAGAGTACTATGTATACTGTGTATGAGCGCGCATGCGTACGGATAGGGTTCTCCTTCAACACGATCACGGACCAACAAACCTGCAAACCTGGCGAAATGGCACTGCTGACGTGCGTGGCAGAGTCATGTCGGCGGACCGTTTGACACATCGTGGTGGACAGCTGCGTCGTCGTATCGCTCTTCGTCCGAGGGATGACATTGCACGGTCGAGCTTGGTATAAGCTTAGGTATAAGGTACCACTAAGTTCTTGGATCCACTACGTCTACTGCGTTGCCACGTTGGGTGTCTTTTGGAAGATCGCAAAACCGCACTTAAGCGAGACGATCGTGTTTAAGACACGCGTACTTGAGCGGATTTGTGGCTGCTTTCGTAAAACACTGTGCTGGAGTATGTGGTATACAAACACGAAGCTTCCCACGGGCCATTCCACTCATATATTGCACGATGGCGGAGGCCCGACCGAACGAAGCCGCGCTCCCGAACGAGACGCTGTACGTGCGCAACCTCGATGACAAGATCAAGGAGCCGCGCATGAAGGAGTCGCTCTACGGCCTCTTCTCGGCGCATGGCAAGGTTCTCCAGGTGCTGCTCATGAAGGCCCATCGGCTACGCGGCCAGGCATGGGTCACCTTCGAAGACGTGAACGCGGCCAGCTTGGCCCTGCGCGCGCTCGATGGCACCATGCATTTCGGGAAGGCCATGAACGTACAGTTCGCCCGCGAGAAGAATGACCTCATTGCGCAGCGCGAGCCGAACGCCAAGCCGCGTGAGAAGCGAAAGCGCGAAGAGAAGAAGGAGAAGAAGGAGAAACCTGCACAGACGCACAAGGCACCCAAGGCGGGTGGTGGCTCGTCCAACTCGGGGCCGGTTCTGCCGCACAAGATTCTCTTTTTGCAAGACGTGCCCGAGGCGTGCAACGACGAGGCGCTCGCGATGCTCTTCAAGCAGTACCACGGCTTCAAGGAGGTGCGCATGGTGCCGGGCAAGAAGGGGCTTGCGTTCGTCGAGTACACGGACGACGCACAGGCTGCGATTGCGCTGCAAGGTCTCAACGGCTTCAAGCTCACGCCCAACGAGCGCCTCAAGGTGAGCTTTGCCAAGAAGTAGACTGCTGCTGCTGCGTCCACCTCATGTCGTCCACTCCATCCTCCTTTCCTCCTACTTATAACGAAAAAGCCAACAAAGACAACGAAGACGATGATGAACGCACGGGACTATATATACTACTAGATAGAAAGAAGATGCGGCCATCTATGATGCGGGCGCCTTCTTGCGCAGACTCCACGGCGACGTCTTGGTCTTGGCCAGCGTGAGGTCGGTCGCATGCACGTACATGTCTTCGTGGCCAACGCGCACGATGAAGACGTTCTCGTCCACGACGCTGGCCACAACGCCCGTGCCAAAGCGCGTCGAGACTGCGTCGCCCGTCTTGGCTTTGAGCAGCCCCTTCACCGCGTCTTCCTGAACGTACCCGATGCTCAGGGCAGCAAACTGGACGACGTAGGTGTGGTCGCACGGGCGGATCTACAGCACCCGTGTGAGATGCGCGCCGTCGTATCGCGACGGAGTGGACCTCGAGGATCGTGCCATCGCCAAACGTCGTCAAGACGGTTTGGCCCACCGCGTACTTGAAGCGTGTGGTCGTCGTCGAGGGCTTGAGGTACTTGGAGGCGCGCAACGCAAACTCAAGCGCCACGTTTGTCGTCGACTTGGCTCGACCTGACACCTCCTGGAATGTACATGTATAAGCGGCGCGACCCACCAGCTGCGATGCGTACCGTAGGAGCCGCTTCGAAGTCGCCGTCGTCCGCGTTGGCTTCGCTCGACGCAATGATGTCGCTCGGGGCGATCGCATGCGTCTCCTCGGCAATGTCCACTTGAAACTCGCGCAGCTTGGGGTCGTACGACAGCACCGTGCCAGGCCCGAGGTGCGTAAAGACCTAACGCGTTCCTTGTGAGTTGCATAGACACGACAGCATTCGTCCGTCGTACAAAGTCGCCGGGCAAGGCAGAGAGCGGCTCGATCTCGCCATCGGCTTCGACAATGACGCACGAGCAGTTGACGATGTTGGTGTTGCAGAGCCGCACGACCGCGCTGCCGTCAGGCTTGACTTCGGTCACGACGCCGGCGCCGGCCGCCGTGTGCACCGACTCGCCGACATACCGGCCGCCCGGGATGACGACGTCGAGGTTCCTATAAACGCGATGAGAAAGGCGTCAGGTGCAAATAACGCTCGTACTTGGACATGGCCCGCGAGAAGGAGCGCGAGACCTTCTTGAGCGTCGATGTGAGCGTACTCGGGTGCGACGACGTTGACGAGTTGTCGTCCGTGTCTTCAGGCGACGACAAGCGAAATGGGTTTTTCAAAAACGACGTCGAGAGGCCACGCCGGCGCTCCATGGTCGGGTCTTCGTCGACTGTGCTTTGCTCGATCGGAAACGTTGACAGGTCATCGTCCTCGTCGGCCGTCGACGGAAGAGACGATGGGATCGAGTTGGACCGAAACGGGTTCTTCAAGAAGCTCGACGACAGGCTCGCGCTGCGACGGCGGTCGGCGTGCAGCATGTCCAGCGTCGCCTCGTCGTCATGGCCTTCGAGGTGCGAGGAGTCGTCAGGGTTGTTGCCAACAGACGACGAGCGGAAAGCGTTCTTGATGAAGGCCGGCGCCGTAACGCTCGTGCTGCGGCGGCGCTCGAGCATCGGCTCTGGCTCGTCCTTCGAGAAGAGCGTAAAGCGGCCCTTCTTGGCCTTCTCGTCGGGCGGCGACAGGATGTTAAGGTGCTCCATTCGCAGCTGCTCGAGGCGCTCGCGCAGGAGGTCCTCCTCGAGCTGCTTCGGGGACCTCTTCTTGGGCGTCTGCCAGCGGGTCAGGAGCTTCGCCATGGTGACTTGTCGGCCAAATCGAACATTGACACCGTCGTGCGCAACGCAAGCAATTTCTGCTTTATAGCCAATCACATGCCCCGAATGTGTTTATGCAACGTGGATTGGCTCAAATCGTTACAGTCTACCGCGCGTTTCGCCAATGATTGGCGTAAAAACAGAGGACCCGGCCGACGACGATCTAATCGGCGGCCAGTGGTTCCGGCCGTCTTGGGTGCCACGCAGGCGCGCCGTGTCCCAGACCACGCCGTCGGTATCTTTGGCGGTCATCCAATTTGCGATTCGCTTGTGGTGAACCGCTCGTGCTCCCACTTCAGCCGATCCACACGTATCGGAATCTTGGCCGCAGTCGTGCTCGCATTGCGGCAAATACCTTTCGCCAACGCGCGCTTGGAAGGCAGAGTCTCGCCTCTGCGCCAGGTTGAAGTACACAGTACACACGCGGAGGTTCTCATGTGAACAATCCCAACGTCCTTTTTAAAAGGCCATTTCCGACGCAATTCATTGACAGAAGGGGGGATCTGCACTTGCGACTTGTATGTGCCTTGATTTTATAACGTCACAAAACACCATAAAAATGTGCTCGTTCCGGGAACGCTCCGGGCCGCGACTAAAAATGGTGCTCGCGATCGGCACGACCATGCGATCTTATTGGCCAAAATGGCGGCGCTGAAACGGCCAACCATGTTGAACCTTGCAGGTACTGAAATCACGCAACTGCAGCCGCGAGGATACGTTAGTCCCACTCTCTGTATGGGCCACGTCCAGACGACTCAGCGCATGATCGTGGCAATGGACGCAACAAGGGAAGTCCTACAGAGTGACTTGTGCGTCTCGCAGCATTGTCCATGGACTGTAGCATCGCCAAAGGCTGCACATCCGCCACCCAACAAACAATGTCGTGGTTGGGTGTTTCTAATCTACACTGCGACCAGCCACCCCTCCTCTTTCTATACTAAAGTCAAGGCAAAAAGACAATGACATGCTGCGCGATGCTGACCACCGTCATTTCCAGCCAGATGTTGTTTTTTGTATGTTGCTACGGAAACGGGTGCCACTTACGAAAGTACGCCGGAGCACGTCGACCCCGCTGCGATGGCCGCTCGACTCTCCACCTTGGCGCGACCATGTGCTGCAGCGACAGCATCACCAGTGCATGTCGAGTGCGACCTCGGTGCATTTGTTGGGAAGCGTGTCGCGTTTGCTGTCGCCACGACGTACGAATTTGAAGTTGGCTACGGCGGCAGTGCGATCCCGTCCAGCTCCGGACCGCCCATTGGTCTTGCACGCGTGCATTCGTCGTCGACAACAATCGATTTGCGCGAGCCGAGCGACGACGACGACAGCAATGCGTCCGCCAAGACGGTCCGCAAGTTTGAACATTTGGAGCGTATTGCGCTGCTGAAAAGAGCCGGGTGCCACGTTCAAGACATTGCGGTGTTTTGCCTGGAGGCGATGGAAATCCGCAACTCGCGCGCGGTCAGCGTCGCCTCGCACCGAAAGCGCAAGCAACAAATCGCGTCGCGCGAGACGTTGGCGAAGCGGCGGCGGCTATGCCCATGGCGCGACGACTCGGATGACGACGACGACGGCGACGACGAGAGCAATTGCTGACGCTCACGACGTGTCCTGTCTTGTACACTATAGAGTATTTATTCCTTCTCAACAACCATTAACATGGCTCCCCACGCACCACCTTTTATGCTCTTGCGCGGAGTGCGTGCGTACCAGACTCGACAAACGAACGCCCTCGATGCTGGGCTGGCCTAATTGAGCAAGGTCGCTCGCAGACTGCGCGTCGGACGAGTTCGTGCTCCTACCACAGGTGCAAAGACACGGCAGCGTGTCCCTACCCACCGTACTTTTAACGCCAACGCAACGCGAGCGTCCACATACGGTACGCCCGCCACAAGATCGCAGTCGGTGAGTGCTGGCTTCTGGTCATGGGCGCGACGTGCGCAGTGCACGACTGGTTCTCGCCAGACTCGCCAAGCGCCAAAGCCCGCGGCCGTTTGATTGGCCCGTCGCCTGAGCTCAATTTCTATCGAAAGCACCAGCGTGCCGGGTCTGCCCTCCCGCGCATTTTTATTCTTTATTGCTTTTAACTTGCGCTTTGTATGGCAATGTATAAAATGTAGCAAGATTTCAACATGACATCCCGTCAAACCCCAGGTCTTTGTTGACCAAAACCAGGAGCGAACGCCGCAGGGCAACCAGTTTCTTTCGAGCCCGCAGCCTTCAGCAAGCCATGCAAGTGCTTCCGTGCGTCGACTGCCCGCGCGCCGACCTCGCCGACGACTCGATGGCCTGCATGCTCCTTGCGGTCGAGCGCCTCCTCAGCGCGCGCCCGCCCAAGCGCGTCGCGTTCACGACCGCCACGACGTACGTGTTTGACGTTGCGTACGGCGGTAGCTCGCTCCCGAAAGAGAGTGGACCGCCCATTGGACTCGCGCCAACGCACTTTGCCGCGACGACGTCGTGCATCAACGACATGCCCCGCACGAGCGCGGGCCGCGTGCGCAAGTTCGACCACCTCGAGCGCATTGCCCTCCTCAAGGACGCCGAGTACGACGTGCGCGAGATCGCGGCGTTCTGCCTCGAAGCCATCGATGTGCGCAAGTCGCGCATGGAGACGACCGAGGAGCTCACGGCCTTGCGCCGGAAACGCAAGCTCCAAGCGAGCCACGAGCGCGCCAAGCGCCGCTGTCTATCCGACCCGACGTTGACGCCAGAGACGACCCTGCACATGCAAGCCTGATGCCCATCCAGCCCCGTGTAATTTATCTCGTCCTAAGTTAAATCGCAAGATCCTTTGCCTGTACATACATGATGCGTCGTGTGGTCTTCCGAGAGCCGCAACGCCATTCGTCGTCGTCGTCAAGTAGCTGCTGTCACAACGTCACAAACACGACCTCTGCTTTAGCCAACAGCGTGGCGCCACAGTGTCGGACGCTCACATGCAACCAAACAAAGGACAGAACGGGTTTGAAGCGTCGGTGCCAGCCGGCGATTACTGGTCCGGGCGACGTCGGCCCTGGCCTCCTCTCGTGGAAGCTCCCACTCGGCGCCGGGGCGGGCCATCGTTCGATGCATACTATCATAATCCCATGCTTCCGTAGAGTGCTGCGTGAAGTGCATGCAATCGGCCAGGCGCACGGACCCGTGGACGAGCCCGGCGGTTGCTGGCCATGATGACGATTCCACACCCAAATCCGACGTCTCATCCGCATACGCCAGCGACCGCACGCGCTATCCGGATATCGAACGTCCGGGCTTCAATGCGCGCAGTCTTCTCAGAGGCGGTGTTGGTTGTTGATTGCCCCCAGTGGTGTGGCATCCTTCTCGGTAGTGTAGGAGGCAGAATCTGCGACGCAAGGACAAGCCAACCCACGCTCTGTACGAAAAGACCAACGATTGTGAGGCGACTCTGATATCAATTTTTGACCTGCGGGCTTTTGCCACGTTCTCTTGATCGTCGTCGTCGTCGCTACGATAATTCGAGAACCACCGCTCCGAAGCTCGAATCTCACACGTCACGCAAGTCAAGCGTACGTCCTTGATGTGCATAATGTCAAGTCCCTCCCGCAACCGTGCCATCGGCAGTTGACGTGCTACGCCACTGTAGGGGAGCTTTGTGCTGCTATAGCCCAGCGTCGATATTGGTATATTGATGTCAGTGCGACTTGCGGTAAGGTGAATGTTTGCTATCGCGGCGACTAGAAGCACCGGTGTGCGCGACGCCATCCCTATCTCATGACGTGGCAGCTTGACGCGCCTCCTCATTGTTGTATCCGGATGAGACAGTACTTGCAGTTGCGGGAGCGGCGATATTTTTCTCGCGAATACATTTCTCGAGTTGGAGAGAAGCCGCTTCAAAATATTGCGGTCGCCAAAAAATCGAAAGATCCCATGGCCGGCCTCCTCGGGTCGCCCCGCCATGCCATGATCATGGAAGGCTACTTGCTCTACCTCGACACGCAAGACGCCTCGATTGGCGAGCTTGTTTACGGCGCTCTGGAGGAAGGCCTCCTCAAACTCTATGCGTCTGCTGACCGCGCCGCCGATGCGCTGCGCTACGAAATACCGCTCACGGACCACCAGCTTCGCGTCAAGCTCGTTCCGTACGGTGAGAATAGCAGCTTTGTGCCCTGCCGCTTCCAGGTCGACCTCGAGCCGTACGAGGCGACGTCAGGCCCGATCCGCACGTACCTCTTTGCGGCAGCGACGTTCCACGCGACCCAAGCATGGTGCGACGCTCTCTTTGACTGGAAGCGCCATGTTTTTGATCCTTCGCTCCGGTCGCTGGATGTTTCTGGGAGCACGGAGGCTGGCAGCCTCGTCGAGGTGGCAGCGACCGACCGGACCACACTGGAGGCGCGGATCGTCGAGTGCAGCCTCGCGCCACACCACGCCGTTGGCAGCAATTCGTCGACCACTGGCCTCGCAGCGTGGCTCAAGCGCCATTTCGCCATGTGAAGCAGCGTCGGTCGTCACACATCACATCGACATTACATTTCGTTATAACGATTCATCCGGTGTTGCTACTGGCTTTCTTTTGCAACGCAAAGGCAAACACGTCCTGAATGATATGGTTCTCGACGATGTTGTCGCCAATGCAAAGCTCCTTGAGCGCCGGACACGCTCCCTTCCGGAAGGACGTGGCGAGTGCGTGGATGCCGTCAACGTTGACAAAGTTGTCTTCGAGGCCAAGGAACTCGAGTTGCTTCATGTGGCCTTTCTCAAGCGCCAGTGCCAGCGCCATCACGGCCCCGTCACAAGCAATGTTGCTGCCAAGAAGAAGCCAGCGCAACAGCGACGCACGCTGCGTAGCGAGGGCGACGGCCAAGTCCTTCATACCGCCCTCGCCAATGTAATTGCGACGGAGGTCCAGCAGGCGCAGTCGCGGGCAGTGCTGTCGCAAGAGGCAATTCGCTACGTCTTTGGCGCCTGAATCGCCGAGGGCATTCCCACCGAGCACGAGCTCTTCGAGGAGCGGACACTGCGGCAGCGCCGCACAGAGCGCCGCCGTCCCGTTGCGTCCCGTCGTGTTGACAAAGGTTGCGTGCAGCGAGAGACGCCGCAAGTTGGGCAGCTCGTTCTGCGCCATGGCGCGAGCGAGTTGTAGGACGACGAGCTCGCTCGATTGAGACGACGGCGGCTCGGTCGAGGTAGCGTTAAAGACATCAAGACGCTCGAGTCGCGTGCAGTGTTGTAGTTGGCGCGACCGCAGGAGTGCATCGAGGTGGTGCACGGGAACATGCAAATAGAGGACGCATGATGGAAGGAACGTCGCTGTGTACCTGTTGATGCGCATGCACGCAAAGATCGTGCGTCCGTCAAGGAACGAAAACACATTGCGCAGCACATCTTCGTGGTTGTCGAGCAAAAACGTCGTTCTTGGCAGGTTGCGCGGGGCCTTGGCGCGCGGCATCACAGCCTCGTCGTCGTCGTCACCGTCGTTGCGCGGCCGCTTTGTGGCCGAAATGTGAAAGGCGATCGGCGCATTCGGATGCGGCGCAAACTGCAAGATAGCTTGGTGGTGCAGCGCGATAATGAGCGATTGGACCCGGCGCTGCACCGAGTGCTCGTTGAGGTACTCGTCGAGAGACGCGGCACGCAGGTAGAGCGCGAGCTCGAGGCGGCGCACAAGCGACGGGAGGCGGGCGTCGAGGGGGGGCATGGCCTGCACAAACGTCGTTTGGTGCTGGAAGAGCCACAGGAGCTTTTGGATCATCATGCGGCGCATCGGGATGTCGACGTTGGACTGCCAGCTCAGCGCCGTCGCCGGGAGCATCGTTGCGTCGCGTGGGGCGAAATAAGATCTTTGGTAGATCTTTCGAAAACGACCCGCGTAAAGTGCATCCGACGCTTCGCACAATCCGTCCACGATGGTGCCGTAGAAGAAGAGCGACGATAGCAAAATTCGAACGTCGAGATGCGATATGGAAGCACTCGAATCGAACGTTTGACGTGTTGCTATCGTTGAGCGTCCGACGTCATTCTGCTATTTTCAAAGAAGGGGAAGGATCATGCAATTTCATTTTGCGTCTGTGTGTGCGGAAGACTCTGATTTCAGACGCTGCTCCCACCCAGGTGAAATTTGTACCGTGCCGACCTTAACGTCGCATCAACTCGAGGAAATCACCACGCAGGCCGAGGTACGATAGCGCGTAGCCGCTCGGACGACGGGCGCTACCAAGAGAGGCTTCACATAACCGCGATGACCTCGGTACCAGCGACCGTTTGGCGCCAGCGGCAGAGGACCGCGCGACTTATTGTTGGGTACGTGGCACTGTCTCCAAGTCTGAGTCTCGTCCACATTACACACACCTTGGCCAATCAAAACGCACGACCCGTGATCTTGCGCTGCGATTGGTCGAAATAGAGTGGCCGTCAACTTGATTGGATTTTTTGCATTTTTTGCATTTTTCGACGCATGGGCTGTCGCTGCTACAACCGTCGAAGTCGGAGCGAGGCGGCTGCCGACAATGATCGCGTCTGTCGATAGAAAGCATCATGCGCGCTGATTGCTACTTGAGCATGTGCGGCGGAGTGTTTACGGAGGAGGAGATTCCGGTGGACTATAAACAGTGCTTCTTACATGTTATGGGCATAAGTTAATCCTGCGTCGTGGCAATCAATAATAAATAGCTCGTTCTGTGCATCCTGGTACCACCACTCAGCAAGTGTCCGGCGTCAGGCGCTTGGATTGCGGAGCATCGCAAGGCGTTGCGACACGCTTGCGCTTGCGCCGGAGCTCGGCCGCCGTCTCGGCGCGCGACTTGCGCACTTCGATGGCCTCCATGCAGAAGTCTGCGATATCGCGGCCGCTATAGTGGGCCTTCTTGAGAAGCTCGACGCGCTGCATGTGGTCAAACTTGCGGACGCGGCCTCGCTTGCACACCTTGGAGGCGCCGAGCTCGACGCAAGCGACATCGCAGTGGTACCGTGCCATGCCAACGCCGGGGCCAGCTTCCTTGGGCACTGCACTCCCGCCGTACGCGACGTTGAATGTGTACGTGGTGGCGGTGCCAAAGTGGACGCGTTTGGTAGGCTGCTTGGTGGCGGCAGCAAGCACGAGCTCGACGAGGTCGCAGTCAATGCTGAGCGGGCTCGCCGGCGGCGCGAGGTCCTTCGTGTCGTCCAGCATCTCGCTTGGGAAGCTTGTCATGCTCATCATGGTCATCGATCGGTGGCTTGTTGGGTTTGTTGCGTATTGAGGTCTGCGAGCTGCGAGCGTAACGACGCGAGGTTGAGGTTTTTCCGAGTTCCAGTTTTTGCTGGTTTCTACCGTTGAATGATGTTCAGCAACGGAAGACTCGCACTTTTGACACGCACGTAGGTCTTCCCGAGTTAAGACCCCATTAGGCTCATATAAAAAGGTAAATCAACGTGTGCTGCACTTAACAAGAGTTGAAAAGTTGTGTCGATGCGCGTGTTTTTAGCCTCGCATAATATAAAAAAATATGCTGCTAATTATAGCGACCGGCAGTGCATTTTTATTCCGCGTGCGGCAACTTGATCGGGCCAATCACGAGAGATCCGGTCGATGCCAGTTCGTAGAAAAGGAAACCCGGCGCGAGTTCTTTTGATGCTGACGCGCGGGCCTTTCGCAGCGACGCCGGCTGGACATGCGTCCGGGCCAATCGACGGGAGCGTTCGTTACTGCAGCCGCCAGACGTCGCGGGTTCAGCGGAAATGTGACACGGATCCATCGCACAGAGCACAGAGCAGAGCTCGACTGACTCCCGTGGCTGGTTCGTGAGCAAAGTGGAGCCACATATTTCCAACGCCAGCATGCCCACCAGTGTCTAGACTGGGAACATAACAAAGAAACTGCGTTTGATCGCTGCAAGCACCGGCGTCGATGGGATGGCGTGAACGGACCAGACAGGAAGCGAGGCCGCCGCGTGCTGGAAAGCTATGACGTTGCGCAGCTGACATTCATGGCTCCCATGAGCCTCGACACCGCTACTACTACCAAGCTGTTGTTGGTCCTGTGAGGCCATTCTTGGCTGTGCTGGGGCCAACCACTCGTGTCGGTGCATGATTCCCAGGAGTATATAGCGTATTCGATAATTAGTTGTTGCAGCGCTAAGCGTCCATATCGTCGTCGCTGCTGTCGCTGCTGCTGTCGTCATTGTCTTCCTCGCTGCTGTACGTGTCGGACGAGTCGCTCTCGCGCATGAGTGGCTGCATCATGCGTGGGCGATGCCGAAGCAGCACACGCCGGGCGGCAGCGCGCCTTCGTATCTTATCAAGGCGCGCGCGGGTGTCTTTTCGCGAGTTGCGAACATCCATCGCCTCAAAGCAGAACTGCGCAATCTCCTTGACGTGGTAGTCGGCGGCCTTGAGGAGCTCGATGCGCTCGAGGTGGTCGAACTTGCGCACGTGGCGACGCTTCGTGGCTGACGCGGCGACAGCGGCCGTCGTTCGGTGACAATGGTTGGGCGCAAGGCCGATGGGCGGTCCGCTCTCGCTCGGGAGCGCGCTACCGCCGTACGCAACGTCAAAGTAGTATGTGGTCTCGGTCGTAAACTGGACGCGTTTCGCCTTGCTCGCTGCAGCGTGGTAGCTGCAGCTGGTACTCGTCGCTGCCATGACGCAGTCAGCTGCCATGGTCCTTGTTGGTCTCGTCTGTCGGTGGCGGCTCGTGCTTGGTCGTGGCCTCGCTTGCGTGCTTGGCTCCGTCGTGTTTCCGCTGCCGGGTTTTGTGCAGCAATGACGGCGGTCAGACACAAGGCATGTCATGCTGCAATTAGATACAAATGGCAAGATAAATCGGAGGGGTGGTCATCCGGATAGGATCTTGAACCTGAATTTGAGCCAATGAAAAGGGGCCCGGCCGCCCAAGCAAACGCCCTGTCCAGAGCGCCGCAACGCCCACGCGGCTCTGTCGCTGTCGTACGAGCACCGTCAGTACGGTGCAGTTGAGGCGATAGGGCACTGCGTGCATGCAGCGCTGTCGCGTCCAAACGGAGTAGCTTACGATCCAGGAGAAACCTACGGTCTGGACCAACAGCAATGTGGGCGTCCTGGCAATTTATCCGACGCTGCGATGCCGGGTCCGATTTTACGCATCGATGCCATGGAGGCAGAGTCGTCGGTAGCTAGTATCGGTGCCGAGCAGTCTTTGCCAAAGGACCACACTTCCCTCGTTGATCAACACCAAACGTCCTCAAACCCAAAAACTGGGACGCGGGGTCCACCACAACCATCGGCACAAGATGACTGGCCAATGGAATCTTCTCGGGTCGTTCGCTTTGTTTAGTGGCGCCACTGATGGTCGGAGCTAGTTTGTGTCGTTGGTTGCCTAGCGCGAGAGGTCCAGCGACGCCTCGAGTCGCATCCAACATCTTGTCCGATCTTCCTGGCCGTCCGTGTTGCCAGCAGGTGGTCAGTCTACAGGAAGCCAGCGCAGTACGCATGCACTTGCTTCACGCCGCCAGCCTCCCGAGCGTAGTATCGAGCGCCTATCGTCAATGTCTCTAGCGGCGGGCGCTTGCAATGTGTGCCGACGCAACGACACGTCGATTACGATTTCCATCAAGACCGCTGTGGCACGCAGGCCGGGCGGCCATTGGCGGCTGCGACAGGTGTGTCACTCTGGAGGGATGTCATGGTACGCGACATACATTTTCAATGAGCCCGTGGGTGGGCACATCCGGTAAATGAGCCAGGTGGTCCGTATCGCAGTCGATGGAGCCACAGACGAGCGGTTCGCCGAGAGCCGTCCATCGTTCGCGTGGTTCTGATCGGTGTACAGTAAGTTCGGTCTTGCCCTCTGTACTGCGCTCGACCGACGAGCACGGCTTTCACCTCGTAGTATATAAAGCTTGAGGCTAGTCGTTGCTGCGTATAGTACAAGGAAGACTAGAAGAGGCTGTCCCCCACGACATGTTGTACTAGTGGTCCTGAAGCACGTGCGACTCCATCATGGGTGCTCGGCGTTTGCGACGACGCAGCACAGGGAGCTGACTATAATTACCCCCACGGTTGGACTCGATAAGTTATGGCATGGCGGCCGTTAAGTATACACTCACTATAAATACGAAGCACGCGATGGCTTACTCGTCGTCGGCGTCACTGTCGTCATCTTCGTCGCTTGTATCATCGTCTTCGTACTCCATGAGAGGCATCATGCGTTGGCGCTTGGCGATCGGCGCGGCCTCGGCGGCGCGCTTCCGGAGCCGCGCGCGGAGGCGGCTCTCGGCCTGGAGTCGCTCTTCCTCCGTGTCAATGCGCGACTTGCGCACGTCAATGGCCTCGTAGCAGAAGGCAGCAAGTGCTTTCGGGTCGTAGAGTGGCTGGAGCAGCTCGAGGCGCTCGGTATGATTAAATTTTCGCACACGGCCCCGGCGCGGACACGCGTCTTCGATGCGTTCGATCGTCACGCTGTGGTGCTTTCGGGCGAGCCCGATGGGTGGTCCACTCTCTTTGGGCAAGGCGGACCCGTTCACGTCGACGCCAAAGAGGAACGTCGTCGCAATGCCGAAGGTGACTTGGGTGGGCATGCTGCTTACTCGCGACTTCTTGGTCCCTCGGCTGCTTGTTGATTTATGTGACGTTACAGGTGCAGTGCAGTTTGTGCATGGGCCGACCTACGTCGCGTCGCGTTCGGCTTTGTATACCCTCCGGAGGGGGGGCACGCATACATAGCACAGGGGTAGGGCTGGCAACACCTCGAGAGATAATATTATTACTCGAAATGGAAGGATTGGGTGGCCGTTTTTTATTGCCAAGCCCATGCAACGACCCGCAACCTGGGCATGGACATCGATGACGGCGGCCCCACGTCGCGCATCCCGTGGTGAGGAAGGTTGCTGACCTCTTGCATAAATTCGATGGGCGAGCGTGTTTTCGCGCCGGGGAGTGGAAGTGCTTCGTCCCACCTCTCTCACATTTTCTTGAGCTTGGCATGTGGGCCTGATCCGCTATGACAAGCGCGACGCGATGGCCGCCAGTCGCAGGTCCAAGGCCACTATATAATCACGTCCCGTTCGAGCGTAAGAAAGCCCAGTCTCTGCGTCGAGCAGTCAAAGGCTAGTGCCATTGTAGTATGCGCGAGACAGACTCCATCTTGAAGGATGTCATTGGAGCGAATGTGTCGAGGGTCGCTTGAAAATTTCGTCCCAGCGATCTTCTTCAGGCCAAATATTGCTGTCACAGGACTCTATCAACCGCGATGCGCTGGTCTCGATCGCCACCTTGCAAGTGGCAAGCGCCTTATCATTCGACAACTTCTTGAAGCAGCAACGTTGATGGGGGTGGAGACATGACGGTGGTCTTGCTGCAGCGAGATATCGTTCTCGCGAAGTGGCTTTGATTTCTTCAAAGCTCGTGCTCCTACCATGAAAAAAAGGACCGAAGGGAAGGACCTCGGGCCATACGGTACGCTCGCACGCTCTGCAGCCATTAGTCGGCGTGTATTGTGCGGACGGGCACATTCGAGTGACATCCCTTGACTTTGCAGTGTTCTGTGGCCGCAACGCTCGGCTTGGTCCTCTGCTTTTGTGATGGGCCAGGACACACCTGACGTCAGAAGGAAGCGGCCGACGACTAGGCCGTGCGAGCTTCTATCATCCCGCCGCTGGTGCGGGCTAAGGGTGGTAGCTCTATAATGCCACGAACGCGACGCGTAATGCGAAACAAAAGCCAGAGGAGGGATGCTGCGAATCTCGGCCATCGAAGCCGTGTGCTATCTCAGAACGCGCGCTTGCGAAGAGAAGGCGTTTGCACACACAGGCAGGCGAACTGTCTCCGTATTGTTGATCTGACGCGAATCGATCACCCAACCGATGGTTGCTGCATTGTATGAGGGTCGAACGCGACGAACCTCGCCTCTTTGTTCTCAGTTCTTGCTCTGCGCAAGGTTTCGACAACAAAGCAGCTCCACGAAGCACGCCTTTGTTGGCGCCAGCATAACGGACGGCGCTCCCATTCAAAGGTTCATGATGGATTGACACACCTGGACGGAACCATCAGAGTACAAGCATATGCAAAGCCTTTGATAGTTTTCACTGTCTCGTCGTAGACTTAGCTGCTTTGTGACCCAGAAAGCTCCACCGAGTATCGTCCTTGCATCAGACAGCGCGTTGACGTAGCAGCAGCAGTCGTGAGGCCAGCGACGAGGAGCTTCATAGCGCTGTGTCGGCCCTTTGTCCAGCTGCGACAGTAATGGCCCAATCCAGAGGGATGTCATTTTGTCGTGGATACTTTTCACTTGCTCTTCGGGAGGCTCGGACCAGATGACTTGACAGCTGAACGACATATCCCACGCCACGCAAGCCACCGACTTCCTCCTTTGTGGCAGCGGCAACGACAGCCACCGAACGAGGTTGTAGACGAGATGCTACGACGCGCTGGGTCGCCCTGTAGTCCTCCGGTACAGCGAGTGCAGACGCGAGCCCGTGTATTGCGTCCGATTACAACACACCTGTCGGTACACGCATGCAATATGTATGTATGTGCAGCCCACAGTCCAGTGCGTCTCCACTGCTCGGTCCAACGAACTCGGGGACGCAGAAAGGGCGTCTTTAGACATAATTTATTCTACCTACTAACTACGACGATATTTCGGCTGTCTACTCGTCGTCACTGTCTTCCTCTTCTTCCTCGTCCTCGTCGTACTCCATCCGGCTGGTCAGCATGCGCGGGCGCTTGGCGTGCGACGCCCGCGCCTCTTCTGCGGCGCGCTTCCGTGCGCGGGCCTGCAGGCGGCGCTCGTTCTGCACAAGCTCTTCCTCGGTCTCGATGCGCTCCTTCCGCGTGTCGATGGCCTCGTAGCAAAAGCTCGCAAGCGTCTTGGGGTCGTAGAGCGGCTTGAGCATCTCGAGTCGGTCGAGGTGGTCAAATTTGCGGACGCGGCTTCGGCGCTTCACAAGGCCATCGAGGGACGCGACCGTCATCGCGTGGTGCTGTTGGGCGAGACCGATGGGGGGTCCGCTCTCCTTTGGCAAGGCCGACCCGTTGACGTCGACGTCAAAGAGGTACGTCGTCTCGGTGCTAAAGGTCACGGTCTTCTTCATTATCGCTCTCCTCTTGGCCACACTGCGATTTGGTATCTGTGACGTTACAGGCGGCTTGCTGCTGCGGCGAAGGCCGACCTACGTAATCATGCAAAGCTGGCGTATGTGCTGCGGAGGGGTCGCTGGTATACACAATCAGGGGTAGGGATCACGGCCAATAAAATGGAAAGTTCATTTCCACCATACTGAAAAGGTGAAGCGGTCGTGACGATTTGATGCCCGAATTTTATTCGAGTCGCTGGTTGTCCGAGGACAATCAACGGCGTCAACCCACGGACTGCACGACCCAGCTATGGGCCCATCGACATTGGAGAAGCTACTGTAGTTTTAGTAGTACAGCGTCTAGTTGTTTTAATTCATAAGTCGAACCCTCACTCCGATGCATGACTAGAAAAGCGGCGTGTCGCTTGTAATAACTTGCGCTCGCGAGCAGCATCCGCAATACGGTGCTTGGATGATCTCGACAAAGATTGGGTCAGTTGGTCGCGAGCAGCGCGTACGGTACGTACGGTGCTTCTTCTCTCAAGAACGCAAATACGCTTGCCGACTGTCCTCGTCGCCTCCTCTATCAGTCTTCTTGAACCTGTGCTTGAATCAGAAGTGGCTGCAATGTCTTTGTGCAGGCAGGCTCGCGCCTCGTCACGGCCAAACTTAGCACCGGCGGTTGTTTCTATGTCCGTGCAACCCACGTCATCACGGTCGTCGTTCCATCGGGCGCTGCGGGACGACGCAAGCTTTTCTTCACCATCATGTTCTGAAGCGCCTTCTATTCACACAACACACATCAAAATAACACGGCCTACTGTTCGTCGACGTCGTCCACTTCATCTTCGTCATCATCGTTGTCGTACTCCATGGCAAAGAGCATGCGCGGGCGCTTCGTGGCGGGCGGTGCCGTCTCGGCGGCCCGCTTTCGTCGCCGGTCGGCCAGGCCACGCTCGGCCTGCGCGAGTTCGTCGGCCGTCTCGAGCCGTTCCTTGCGGCTGTCGATGGCTTCGTAGCAAAAGACAGCGAGCGTCTTGGCGTCGTAGAGCGTCTGGAGCATGCGAATGCGCTCCGTGTGGTCGAATCTCCGCACGCGGCGGCGGCGTTTCTCAACGAGCCTCTCGACGCTCGGCTCGATCGTGATCGTGTGGTGCTTGGACGCGAGTCCGATGGGCGGGCCACTCTCCTTGGGCAAGGCTGATCCGTTGACGTCGATACCAAAGAGGTACGTCGTTCTCGGGCCAAAGGTCACGGGCATCTCGTGTTGCTGCTATTCGTGTCGTGGAATCTGTCGCAGAGCCAGCGGGTTGACAACTGTCTTGAACGTGTGTGCGATTAGACTGGAACGGTCAGTACCGCCTCGATTTTGCACTTGATTTTTGTATGGAACAAGGCGGGACGACACGTATACACGTTGCACGGGGTAGGGTTTCCAGCCCTCGTGGCTTGCTGGACTCACGCTGTGGGGATAATTTTTTGCAAGCGTGGATGATAGGCCTGTCTTTTCGGCGAGCTTTATCGCACCACGTTGGGTTGAGCGAGGAGTCTATCGCTAGGTCTAGTCATTCGAGTCGACTATAGTCGCTCTGCCGAGAGAGCATTATGGTGCAAAATATATATCAATCGATATATTATTATCGAGGGATTCGCGTACTAGTAGGAAACGGCGGGAGGAGAGGGTTTTCAGGAATGGCGTGGTTCCAACGCTTCGCCGGCAGCAAGCGCACTGGGCCTATCCGCTATTGCACCACGTCCCAATATTGACGTGGTCGGGCCAAAAGAAGCCAAGTGCGTACACGGTGAACGTAATGCGAACAGCGTACGAGACACCTTGCCGCACGTTTGAGCTCGTCAAGCCCGTGGCCAGATACGGCCTGCGCTTCGACGCTGCTTCGGACACGACCGGCATTGTAGTGCGTGAACCTGACGTTTCGGCACAGCCGTGACAGGTTGCGGTAAGCGGCAACACATCGGTGTCAAGCAAGCCAGAAACTGAGAACGCATCGCTTTGGAGCGCCGCCATTGGTCGAGCCGTTCATCGATTTACCAGCATCAACTTCGATGGTTGCCAGCGGTTGTTTCTCGCATGGAGCTGGCCAGAATGCCACGTGCCATCCTTGCTAATTGCCGCCGCGTCGAGCTGCCATTTTTGCGTCGACTCGGTCGTCTCGTAAACGAAGAGACTGATCTGTCCTAGAGCTGCAGATAGGTATTACATGTATGTGACCTGCACGTGCGTCGGCTTCGAGAAGCAACTGCCTCTCTATGTCCTTGGTCGTTCGAGTCAAGTCGCTTGAAGTACAATCTAGTTGCTTATTGCTTATTTCGGCATGGGAAAGGCAAAGTCGGGGTTCTTGAACGGAATGAACGCGAGGATGACTGCCTGTTCGTAGTACGTACTGCGTGTGATGACGTCGTTTGTCAGCAAGCCGACAGACCCGGTCGCTTGCTTGGAGTTGGAGCGGCCAAACACCGCGTCGTCGGCGTGCCCGAGCTCCATGCCTTGGTCGACGAGCGCGATGACCTTGGCCGGGAGGTAAAAGTTGGCCGTCTTGGCCATGCCCGTCTTGGCTTCGTCTGCCGAGAGCACGACGATCCATGCAAACACCTCCATGGCGCCTGGATTCGTGGCGCTCTTCTCGACGCCGCCCTCGATGCCGAGCCAATACGTCGCGCTCGGCTTGGCGGCCTTGGCGCCTCTCGCGCGGTTCAGCGCACCGGCCAGCGTCTCGGCGCACGTCATGGGCTGGTCGCTCACGCCCGACGGGATGCTCACGCCCACCGCCGTGCACGCAGCGTCCGGAAAGAGCTTTTGGAAGCCAAGCAGCGCAGCTTGGATCTTGACCGGGTTGGTCGACGCGACAACGAGCTCCGTGGTCATCAAATTGCTAAATGTTGAATGATGGTCATGTGGCGCTGTGTGGCTGCGGATGCCTGCCGAACTCTTGAAAATTGGAGCCCTTGGATCGCACAGGATGCGTAGCCCATCGCAAACACCTTACTGTCACCTTGCAGCCGAAGCTTGCAGCTGCTTGCAGCCGAAGGTGGAGCCTGCGTCCCATGGTGGTCAGCAGCTCATTGCAAGCAATTCGTCCGCACGAGCTCGCTGGTGCAGAGCTACACATGGTGGCAGTACCGATTCGTCTCGCCCTGTTGCGCCGCCAGTGCATGGACATGCAGGCGACACACTCGGCCTGCCCACCTCGCAACGCACCAATACAACAAGATGTATCTAGTACAATAGTACTAAGAGACAGATTGTACAGTGCGAGTTGATGCACAAAATCGTCTGCATCCACGGGGCGCTGCCGAGTGCAGCGGCGTTGCGCGCCTCCGCCCGACCGGCGCAAGCTGGCTCCCGCGGTCGCTTCGAAGTTCGATGGACCTTGGGCGGATTTATATACCTTGATACATGTATGAAATAAAATAAAGGACCTCGATCGCAGGCTGTAACGAAGAACGCGAATCGAAGTTGCTGGCGTGGATGCTGGAGCACATTACGCACGTCGCCATCATCAAACACGCCGAGACTGCGAGTCGACATGCGTACCCCCGTAGCGCTCCTCGTACGGCGACGACGACGACGATGAGGACCACGGAAGCTCATCGACTGCCATGTATGTAGAGCCTCACGTGGCTGGGCCTCCTTGGTCTGGCAGCTGGCCAGGCGACGAACGCGACCAGCGGGACCATCACGGTGCCGACGCTGGCGCCAACCACTCTGCCGCCTGTGACTGTCGACTTGACCAACTTTACGACGGCCAAGAATCTTATCTCGGCCGACTCGCCTGTCTGCCGCTACCACGACCGCCCGTGCGTGCAGCTGCCGACGATGACCAACAACCCGCTGCCCGCGACGACGCGGTACACCAACTTTTCGACCGCTGCGGCGACCGACCCGACGGTCTGCAACGACCCGTACAGCGCGTGTGGTACGTCGTCCTCTCTGCGTCTTGACCAAGTACGGACCGCGCTCTAGTGCCCACAAACCTCTATGTGCCCAACGCGACCGTGCTCGCCAACGGCTCGGTGAGCGTCAGTTTCTTGCTCATTCGCACGGATCTGCTCCAGTCGGACGCAGCGAGCCAGCTCTACTTGTCGTTCAAGCTCGATAATGCGGTAGACACATCGTCTTGTGCATCGTGTCCTCATCCACTGTGGTGTTGCTAGTCGTACGTGTCGCAGTCCGTGTTGATGATTGATGGCGCGCTGGCCACGCCGGCCTGCGACCTGTATGTCTTCAACTGCTCGAGCACAAAGCAAGTGACGTACGTGCCAAGCTCATTGGCGCCGTCGCCGGCGACGACGCTCGCGCAAGTGAATTTTCTCTTGCAGCCGTACGCCGACACGGCGCTCATCACGGTCGAGCGCTACAACAAGGACTCAACCAAGCCGATGCTGCTCGTCGCGTCCATGGCGCTGCCGCGGTTGCCGCCGACGCCGATCGCCCAGCCCACGATCGCGAGCGAGGAGCGTCCGGCGCAGCTCATTACGTCGTTTGAGATGCCGCCGGCTGCGATTGCATACAAGCAGACGATGCTGTGCATCAACCTCAAGTCGTCGTCGTGCCAGGTAGATGCCATCGTATCCGTAAGAACGTAAGGGGTACATGGATCGTGTAGGATGCGACAACGGCCCAAACCGCTTCGTACCACAACATCTCGACGATGACCCTGGACGTGGTCAACGACAACAGCTGGATCAGCCGGCCCGTGGTGCTAGACCACTTCAACGAGACTGCGCTCTGCGTGCATTTGCGCTGGAACTTGACGAACTTGTCGCCGTTTCCGCGCATCGGGCTGGTCGTCAACAATACGTACCTTCGGTCTGGCAACTACTTTATGAACCTCTCGTCCTTGACGGAAATGTCGTTCACATCCAACAACACGCTTCTCGCGACGAGCTGCGTCGTCGCGGCCCCGTACCCCGCCCCCCGTACGCATTCCGCGACCCCGTCGATTCTGATGGCCTCGTGTGTAGCACTCTTGAGCCAGCAAGTGCCCGACAACCTCTGGACTGTCATTGCGGTCGTGGTCTACGTCTTTGCGTTTCTCGCAGCGCTCGTGCTCGTGCGCATGGTACCCTACCCCTCTCAAAATGTGGTATGACAATGGACGATAGAATGGTCTTGGTGTCACGAGCACGACCGTATATACGGACATTGCGTCCATCTCGGTGCTCTTCGTGCTCCTCTTGTCGCTTGCGATGCAGTTTTACTGGTACGGGGAAGCTCTCGTGGCGTCTGTTGCAACACAATGAACCGTAGGCTGTCGGTGCTCAACCGCCTCACCAAGACGGGCAAGACGCAAGAAGTCGCATTCCTCGTTGCGGTCCTCGACAACATTCGCAGCGCGGCGGTCTGGAGTCTCCTTGTCTCGATTGCGATCCATTGGCTCACGGCGTACCACCCCAAGTTTCGCCAAGCGCACATGAAGTCTACTGTCTGGCTCGGGTGGATGGTCGCCATGGCGCTCTACGTCGTATTGCTCGTGTGGCACCTTTCCCAGAACTTTCCGTTCCTCAAGTGCACGTACATCGACTACCTCCTCAACCGCAATCCCGCCGGCGACTACTACATTGCGCTGCTCGAGCCGCTCGAGTGGTGGCACGCCGGTGACGTGGTACCTCTAGCTACATCTCTAGATACGATCGCAAATCTGGCGTAGGCGTGTCGGAGCTCGGCCAGCGGCTTTCAGACGACGTTCCTTTTGCTGCACGCGTTCCACCTCTTTGTGCTCTTGTGCGTCTGCCTTCTCGGGTCGCTCCTCATTCGGCAGGGCCTCGGCATGGCCGTGGACTCGATGGAAAGTTCGCGAGTCTACAACGGCGCGCTCCTGTACCTCGTCATCACTGTGCTGAGCTTTGTGGTGTTTCTCGGCATCCAGCACGGGCTGCACATGTACCTCTACCTGCACGACGACAAGATCAACATCCTTGTGTGGCTCTTCCTTGGCGAGTTTTGCCCGACCTTGATTCCGTGCATGGGGTTCCTCGTGCTGCAGTGGAACTCGAAGCTCTTTCAGCTCGGCGGGCAGTCGTCGTCGCTCAACACGTTCACAGCGCCGCGCCAAGCTGCTGAGACTGCGGACGCCGAAGACATTGACTGGAAATCGACGATCGCGTGCGGCGAGTTTGACGACTCGAACATGGACGAAGAAGCCCAGCAGTTCGAGTACCTTCGCATGCAGCGCACAAACCTCAGCGCGCTCCACAGCTCGGTACTGACGCGTTCTCTTTGGAGCTGATTTGAAGGATCAACTTGTAGATGTCGCTCGCGCACCAGCAGAGCAAGAGCCGATTGAGCTCGATCGACAGCAACGACACGATGGTTGCGCTCTGCTTGCAGCTCTACTTTCCCGAAGCCACGACTGCGAGCACGCACGCGTTTGTGGAAGTGTACCAGTCGACGGACGCCGCGGTGATGGGCGACGACTACGACGACGTCCCGCGGCGGTCCTCGATGCGCACAGGTGGCCTCTTTGAGTCGCTCATGGAGAATGCCGCGACGCGCCGCCGGGCGTCGGCGATGCACGCGCATCCGACGCCGCTCAACTGGATCCGCCGCGGCTTTACCGAGACGGCGTTGAGCCAGCAGTACCAGTTTGGCTTTTGCACCGGGTTTAGCTCCGTCTTGTACGTGCCGGTCGAGAAGCCGTCGACTCTGCGGTTTCTCGTGTACGAAATGGACCTCGATGCGCCGCGCGTGCTCGCCGAGTACGTCTGTCCGATGGAGCACTTGCTGCAGTCGACGAATGCGATCGCGACGCTGTCGCCGACCGAGCGGTCGCAGGAGCCGCTCGTCTTGCGCCCGTCGAGCATTTTGCAAGAGGAGCCGGACGCAGTGCTGAGTTTGACGCGCCGCTTCAGCTTTTTCGGGAACCGCCGGCACACGAAAGCGCGCGCAACGTCGGCGTCCGGCGTGTCCAACATTTTGAACGTCGTCAACCACCCGGTGCTGCCCGTGCTCAAGCTCAAGCCGACGCTCGTCTCGGGCGGCGACGAGCACCACCACCTCGTGGGCACGTCGGCGTTTGGGCTTCAGACGTCGTCGTCGTTCTGCACGGCCAAACACTTTCAGTTTGGCGATGACGCGACCTCGGATGGCATCCACGTGGTCGAAGAGCTCCTCGAGTCGGTGCTGCCGAATGAGATTTGCCGGCAGTACCTCGAGCAAACGCTCATGCAGCGCAACGCGGCCTTGTCGCTCGCACAGAGCGACTTGCGCCATTTCGAAGTGCTTCGCGCGGAGAAGACGAGCTACACCAACATCATCGACCAGATCCAGGTGCGTCGGTCTTGCCGTGATGCCCATGTCTCATATTTTTCGACTAGGGCGAGGCCGACTTGCAGCTCATCCAGCAGTGGCTCGAGCAGCGTGTCGCCAAGCGCACCGAGTACTGCGCGTTTTTGACCGAGTGCATTGGCTTGTACCACGAGCGGTCGCAGGCGTCGCTCTACTTTAAGAAGAGCGTCGAGAAGAAGGAAACGCGCCTCCGCTTCTTGCCGACCAACCTCGTACGCGCGGAATTGAACTGGCGACAGAACGACTCACACATGTATAGCACGTTCAAGAATTTTGGGTCGGACCAATGCAGCCGCTCCAGTCGGAACTCGGCCGACGCACGAGCAGCGACGTGCAGCTCTACGAGACGATCACGGTCGGCGCGTTCGCGGCCCACAACTGCAAGTTCCGCCAGACGATCCCGACGCTGCAAGCGCAGCTCGAGGCGATGGCGGCGCCGCGCGAAAGCGGGAGCGACCACATGTCGCCGGATGTGGCGACGCCGCCGCTGCTCAAACAGACGTCGTCGCAGCGTCTCCAGGACGACTGGCGCGACGAGCAGGCCCGACTCCGCGACGAGATCGAGTGGACGCTGCGCTTGCGTGAAGACGAGTGCCACGCGCAGGCGCTCGCCGCGCTCGTCACGTCGTTTTGCCGGCACTTGGAGAAGGCCATGATGCCGTCGTCCGGGAAGCTCCTCGCGTATCTCGACCACCTCTACGCGGTCGGGTACCTCTTCCAGGTCGAGAGTCTGCTCAGCGACCACGGGAAGGAGAAGGCCATGCTCCAAGACTTCAGCGCCGCGACGTCGTGGCTGACCAACGTTCGGTTCGAGTTGGATCTGTGTGCCAAGCACCCCAAGCAAACGAGCAAGGCGACGTCGTTGCATCTGCACTTGCACGAAGTGGCTGTCCCGGGTGTTCTCTCGGTGCGCTTGAGTCCGTCGCCGCAGCAGAACGGGTACACGCTGCGAATCCGTTGGATATATGGGCTCAGCTCTTCTTTGTAGGTTTACGGTGGTCGTGGGCATTTATTGCGAAGCGTCGCAGGTCGAGCTGCAGCAGCGACTCGCGGTCGGGCATCGCAGCATTGCGGTCACGCCCATCTTCTTCACCCAAGGCATCAACGAGATGCAGACGCTCGCCAACAAGTCGACGCTCCAGAAGGACACGGTGCAGGACCTCATCAACCTCGCCAACCTTGAGAGCCTCAAGAGCTTTGTCGACCGGTACGTGGCCTTTGCGCCGCTCGAGAAGGACGACGTGATTGCTGCATTCGAACACCTCTCGACGCTCATTGCGGCGGCCAAGAACGAGTACGTTAAGAAGAAGCACCCGGAGATCCTCCAGGTGGCCGGGCACCTCACGCGCCGCCTCGATGGCGGACGTGTCGTGAGCTGCAAGAGCGCAAAGGACCGCACCGCCATGAGCGTCACGCTCGAACAAGGTACTCTAGGTCGCTGCACTCGCGTTGCTGACGCATTTCCTCTAGGCTGGGTCTTGCAAGCACTCTACCATGTGGATGCAGCGACATCCCGCCGGGCGGTGGCCACCATGCGCAGCTACGGCGTGCGCATGGACTGCGTCGAGAAGAACATTGGGAAGCGCCAGTATGCCTTCAACTCGCTCCAGCGCTCGATGCTGCCCGAGGCGTACCGCTGCCCCGAAGGCACGTTTGGGAAGGGCAATGTGAGCTAGATCGCACACTATTTCGATTCATACACACCTTTTGCAACTTCAACATATACTATTTTCGCATGGATTCGAATGCTCGTGCCAGCCGTTGGCAAGTTGACGGAAACATCGCTTCTTCCGGGCACACGATGGCGATGAGCACCAGCAGCAGCGTGGCGTCGGCGGCCCGCGGCGCAGCGACATGCGTCGCCTTGGGCACTGCGGTTGCAAGCCTCCGGGCGCGCCGGCCTTCGCCGCCCTCTGCGCTCTTCTCGGCGCTCGCCGCTGGCTGCGGTATCTTTCGGCTCTTCCAAGCGCCATCGCCGCGCGTTGCAGCGGGCCTCGCCGCCGTCGCCTTCTTTCGGCTCATTTCCGATGCGCACAAGCACATTGTGCTCTCGTATGCGCTCGTCGAATCGGCGCTCCAAGTGTATGCGCTCTGCCCCGCCTCGGCGCTCGTGGAGCATGCGACAAGCGTTGCCGTCACGTCCCGCCTCATGTACATCTACCTCTTTCGGTGCGAGTGGATCTTGCCGTCGCAGCTCAAAATGCTTGACTACCAGTCGTGCCTCCCGCCTGAGATCCTATCGGCGACGCGCCACGAGATCCGGACCGGCCATGGCTCGCGCTGCGATAGCTTTCACCCGAACAAATCCTGCGCCGCGTTCCTTCGCGACGAGAGCGCCAAACACCTCGTGAGCGGCGCCAAGATCTTTCTGCCAATACACCTTGCGAGCGCGCTCCTCGCGTGGAAGCAACGGCCGCTCGACGTGCGCAAGCATGTGGTCGACTATGTGCGCTCGATTCTCTTCCTCTCGGGCAACTACGTCTTCCCGTACCTCTTTTCGTGCCTCGTCCCGATCGCCAACCACCGCATCGCGATCGCTTTGGCGACGCTCACGCCGTATTTGGCACAATATTTTGAACCGGCCAAGCGGCGCCTCACGATCCGCAAGGCCGTTGCGTCCTATAGCCTTATCACAGTGTTCTATCAGCTCAAAGAGTACAACATCTGCGGCCAGCTCAAGCGATCGCACGTGCTGTCGGCGGCCACGGTGCTCTACGCAGCATGCATGGTGTGGCTCCTCGAGCACCCCGAGAAGCAAAACCGATGGCTCATGTACGGTCTCTACGGCCGCGACGTTCGGCCGCCCAAGCCGCCGAAGACAAACCATGAGGACAACAACAACGACAAGTGTCAAGCCGCAAGATGACGAGAATGACTAGAGTCGAAGCGAATCATCCGCCGAAAGATGTGTGTTTTCTGTCTCGATATTGCCTTGCCGGTGCAGCGTCCTTGTCGCCAGCGAACATTCGCCTGGCGAGATGCAGAGGAGAAGCGTACGTACTAGTACTGGCTTTGGTCGTGACACGAGCATCGATGATGCGGTCGTACATGGAGCTAACGTGCATATCTCAATGTATGAACCAGTGCTCCAACCCCTTAAGTCAATTCACGTCGAGTTGTCGTTATTGCTTTCGATGAAGAGATGACTTCCCACCGGCGACCTTGTCAGCACGAGGTCACGCAGAGTCAAATCTCTCCCGATGCAAGCGCCGTTGCTCTATCTGAACATACAGCGGGCAGCATGTTTCTTCAAAGAACGCGCAGCGTTTCGTCTATCGCTAGCTATCTCGTCCGCGAACCACTTCGCTCAGCTATCTCACTCTATTTCACTCGACAGAAGAGATACCCACCTCCTAAAACACCGGGTGTCGAGGGACTTGCGCAATAGACTGCACGACGCCATGCCCATTGCAAGCTCCGATACGAATCATGACTGCTTCTAGTCATAGTACGTGGTAACGATGCGGCATACGGCTGCCCCAATGATCTGTGCGACGGGCGGCAAACGGTCGCGGATTGCGCGAGATACGCTTTTTGGTCCACCAATCCGCGGTGCTCGTTTGAATTCCGGTGATTCGATTGGTCCAAGTCCATGGATACCGACCAATCGCAGCGGCGTATCTCGAAACCGTCGCTTCAAACGCCTCTATGCAGCGACTCCTCGCGCCAACACCTCGCGTATGTTGTTCACGCAAACGCCCAGGATTTGGATTCATTGGTCCTCTCTATGTGACGCTGTAGCGGCTTTGGCGCGGACAGTACCAGTAATTTCTGGCGTTTCTCTATGCAGCGGCGCCGATGACCTCGGGTGCTATCACTTTGATTTTCCCTTGGTTTGGCGCATGTTGGCCTACACAGTCGAGTCCACGCTGTCACCAGCACGTGACGGGGCGATCTTGTTGTGCCGTCATCGGGTGACGCGCCAGCTTCACGTCGTCAAGCAAGTCGACCGATCGCAGCACACTTTCGACACGATTGCCAACGAAGCAATGGCGTACAAACAGCTGCGCACGTCCACGTGCGACCGTGTGCTCCAGCTCCACGAGGCGTTTTCCGACACCAAGACCAGCTACTTTGTCCTGGAACACTGCGCACAAGGGGACCTCTACGCTGTCTTGAAGGCCATGCCGACGCAGCACTGCACGCCGCGACTTGCCCGAGCGTACTTTACGCAAATCACGTCCGGTCTCGCCCACTTGCACGCGGTCGGAATCGCCCATCGCGATGTGTCGCTGGAAAATATCTTTGTCGACGCGCACGGGAACCTCAAGATCGGCGACTTTGGCCTCGCTGTTGCGCTGCCCGCCCAAGCAACCGCCGCCGTCGGCAAGCCTTACTACATGGCCCCCGAGATGCACCTCGAGAGTTCGTACGACGCTGCCAAAGTGGACGTGTGGTCGCTCGGCATTTTGCTCTGGATGCTGCTCACGGGCGTCCCACTCGTCGAGGCGGCGACCCATGACGACGACGTCCTCCTGTTTCTCAAGCTGCACGGGGTTCGGGCCCTTGTGTCCGCCTGGGGTCTCACTACGTCCATTCCCGACGACGCCATCGCCATGCTCGAGCACCTTCTTGTCTTCAACGCCACCGAGCGACCAACCATGGAGAGAGTGATCAACCATCCGTACGTCCAGTCGGGTTGCCCCTAATCCCCACATCGGTGGACCTTCCGCACCCCTAGCCCTTTATTTACGACCCCTATCGCGTCTCTTTCCAACTGTAAACCCTTTACTAGATATTACTAGCTAGTTGATCAATATTGCATCAGCATCCACATACTGTATTGCGTTCAACGTGTCATCAGATACGATTAGCCACCATTATTGTTGGCGTTGTTGCTGCTGCTGTAGTTGTTGCCAAGGTAGTAGAACGAGTAGCGCTGTTTGTCGGACAGGAGCGACGAAGTTGGCGGTCGCTAATACGCGCTTTCGTAAAACACTCAAGAGATAAGAAGTACCAAGGACGCTGATGACGACGCTGACGAGGGTATGGCATCGCCTGGCATGGCCATCTCGAACGGTGTGCTCTGCAGCGTATACCCGCGTGGCGCGGCCGTCATCGGACGGTGTCTCTCAAGCTTCGTGACGACGTTCTCGACAAACTCGACGCGCGGCTTGGCCAGTTTGGTTGCAACGATCGCGCGTGACGGACCACCTGCGTTCGCTCGAAGTGTATGTGTGCTGGCGGTCGTCGTCGCTCGGTCCTTCTTTGGCATCTCGAGCGGTTGGAGGTTCACCGTATTCCTGGGCGACACGATCGGCGCTGACGGGTTCCACGCCTCGTTTGTCGCTGCAAACTTGGGTCGCGGAAGGTACTGGTCGCAAGAGAGACACTTGAGCGGCATTTTGGAAAGACCGAGGTTCGTTTGCTGGTCATTCTGCCCCCGTTGCAAGCTAGCACCAATATAGTCCTCGTCGATGTCCATGAGCAAGAATGTACCGAGCAATGTCGGCTTTGTCGGCTTTGGTTTTGAGCGATGCGTGGAGCTGGGAGACCATTTCCGAGGTCGGAAGCGTCTGGAACTGCTGGCGAAGCTCATCGAGCGCCGCATTTGCACATGACGACGTCGTCGTGGTCTCTTGGGCGATCTAGCAATGTATCGATTATGAAGCAACCATGAATGCGTACTTTGTCTTGGAGAAGGAGAAGCTGCTGCAGGACATCTTCTTGCCGAGGGCAAGCCGCGAGCTGCGTCTCGAGCTCCCGCTCATGATCTTGCAGCATCTAACCGCCAATTCAAGTCGAGTTCCAAGGACCATTTGTACCTGGAGCTCTGTCGAAAGTGCAAACATACGTGCGTCGTAGGCTGCTTGCTGGTCGTC